TATCACTACGGTGGCTATAGTTGATAACCAATTTTTAATTGCAAATGTACGCTGTTTAAAACATTTTGGTTTATGAAAGATTCATGTCAAAGTGAAAATTGGGTCGTTCGAACCGCAACAAAATCGTGAGCTCGCTTTTACCGTGTGCTCAGACTTGAAAATGATTGAGCTTGCAAATCATGTCACCTGCTTTAGCTCGGATCATCCTGTGACGATTCTTACCCGCCCTCGAAAGAAAACCCAGCGACACAAATGCCAGCAGGCTGTTGTCTGCTCTTAGATTTTGGCCATTTGCATAGCCTTCGCCACGGGCAGCGCTCACCGTCTCCTGTACGGTTATGACAACTACGGCAACGTCTGCGGCATGAAGAACTCACCAATCGAGGGCGTGTCGCGCAGCGGCCAAGACTACAGCGACGAAGGGTCAGTGACCTCCAGCGCGGTACGTGCTCTTGGGGTTAGCTGGCAGCCAGCGGCCGTCACGGGCTATAAGAACAGCGCACTGCTCTGAACAGTCGATGTGCCTGCCATCCTACAGTTCCTGGCGTTGACTAGGCCATAGTTCCCATTTGTGAGGCATAACGCCCTTTCGGTTGCTGCGAGTGAGCTGGAGGTGAGGTGAACAGCTGCAGCTAGGAGCACAAAACATCCGTGCATATCTGCCGTTTTCCTAAATTGCTTCTTGCGAGCACCGGAGCCGAAAGCAGGCACATACATGTAATTCATTTATTTCATTTATGAACCATAGCGGAATGACCAAGTAAGTAAGAGAAAGCAGTCTTTCTTCCGTGCGCGCATGACAAACGACTTAAGAACGTCATAAGTTGCAACCTAACTTTGGGCAACTGGCGGAAACTCGACTGTTCTCTTACGATGTAACAGCGTGCGTCCATGCACCGTGCCTGCCGGCACCAATGGGGCGGCAGCTGAAATAGCCCCTGCTCACCTGAAACATAGACTGTTCCGGTAAGCTGACATGCATTGCGGAACAGCCCAGCCAAGGCCTGCACCTCTGCCGCCCGTCAATTAGCCACAAATATGTAAACATTCGTGCACATCTGATGTGTCTATAGAGAAACGTTATGATATTTGTGTTATTATCCCACTTTTGATTGTGCACAGAAAAAGCGCAATATGTTCGAAAGTTATAGCGAGGACAATTCACAGCTTTGCACTGTTCATTATGATCGGCCGTTTATATTTTGCATCTCATCCTCCAGGGTTCTTCTGATCGAGAACAGTCTCAGCTTTGCTGAACAGGCGTCGGCCATACGAGACTTCGGTATCAACGTCTTTCACACGATGAACCGCACGTGCGTCGATTCCTGTCCCAGCGATGGAGGGTAAGTCTGGCGCTCAATCGCTGGTGGCTCCTTCCATTCAGAAGACTCAACAGTTACCCAGCTTTATGCATCGAACTAATTTCCGCTCCAGAACAATGCGTTTTTGTAAGCCATGTTACCTTTCTGTCATGTCCGTAAACCAAAGCCCGACGTGTTGTACGGCTGATGGCGGTTTTTGATGGCGATGGTACAAATGGGCGGAATTTTAGTGCTGACAGCACAGATGTCGTTCTGGAATACGACGTGAGTCAGGAACGTCACTTTATAAGCTTTCGAGGACCCTTAGTCATCCCCCAATCCTGACTTGAGCAACCCCATCCCTATGACTTAAGGGTACTAAGTATGCGGTAGCTTTTAAATGTATAGGGTGGTTCTGATAAAAGTAAACGCATGTTTTCGCCCCACAGTGACAAGTATATGTGTTGCACAATTGTGCCTGTGGTGGTTGTACAACACGATCAGCGACAGCAGCAGACATCAGTGATTCCCTACTAAGTTGTACTTAACTGTTTTTTCTGTGAATTACAGCCCATTCTAAGCTTTTTGCAAAAATGCAATTCTCTTCAACTTGAAATGGGCTGACATTCCCCTGCAGGGGTGTAATTTGCAACATACGGAATCTTAGGAAATCACAAACAATTTTGCCTTCGAGGAAGCAATTTAAAGTGCCCAAAATCAGGCGAGATATCAGGGTTTGGATGCGGGTGTGGTCAACGTTTTTGGCTGAGTCCCTAACCCAGTTGAAGAAGCGACACCCCTGAGAGGAGTTCCTGTGAGCCAAGCCCTCTGTTCTCCTGCCATTATATTATGATAATTGCTAAATGCTGCTAGGTTCTTCTCGTAATGAACTTGGGACACAGACCGTTTTTACCTTGTTTCCCATGGCCATTTTATGAATTGAGGCATAATATTCATGACTTGCTCAAAATCGTCATTTGTATTAGCTTGTAGGCATGTGGTTTTGTGGTCGCCTAGCCGGTTTCGTTGAGCCCAGGTTTCCTTAACGCCGATTTCTCATTTTGTCCCCTGATGATAGCTGGATAAAATTGAAGTCTTGGGGGTTTTGTAAATGCACCAGCTACTGAAGCCATCGCGCAAAAAATGTCGTTTGAAAATTGAGAAACTTAGAATAAAAACTTAACGTATTTTGCTTTTAATCAAGATCCTAATTGATAATGTGTTTTTGTGTTCTTCATAGCGACACCTCCTTCATTTACGCGCTGTGATAACAGGAAGCTAACTTCTCTGTCAAAAATAACCGCTGTAAAAAAACACCTGCGAAACGTTAGGAATATTCCATAAATTGAGTGGATCCCAGATTCGAAGGAATCCCCACCAAGCTGAGATGGCTCTTGCAACATATAGGAGCCACAAACCTCCGCCCGGGGGATATTTGACATTCCTGCTAACTCAGCTGTCTACTTCGCGAAGAACTGCAGATGCGCCCTGTTACGACTGCTGGGCTCAAGCCGAGCTCTGCTTCACATCTTCCGGCTGGCTTTCAGGACGACGTAATATAAGCTTACATCAGTTACCAAAGTGTTGTTTCGGGTTACTGTCATTTACAACGCCACCGGAGACGAGCGCTGTACGCAGGCCTCAGTACTCAGCGTCGATTGGCTTCGGACGAGCGGCTGTTCCTCACAGCACACCGCAAACAAATCGTCCTCTTTGGCAGTAGTGGTCGCTCCGCCAGGCGCCTGACAGTTGTAGCTGCCGACAGCCTTCTTCTGATCCTCGATGTGCCCCCCCCCCCCCCCGCCCCCGTATATGTGCGGTCTCGTGCGTTGGACATTCTCACACATCGGTCCGACCAACCGCGGGCCACGCGAATCGTGTCGATTGATAGCACTCCCGGTCTTTGGATGTCGCACGCGTCACCAGATCTGGGAGAGGCCGTGCCGCCCCGACCGAGTCCGCCCCGGTTGGGATCACGCAGGTCACCGTATAAAGGTCCGCATAGGCGACGCGCGGGATGCCCGAGGTGTTCCGACCATTCGAAGCGGGCGCATTGAGTCTCGGGGCGAGCCGCCCAGCCGCTTATCATAGTGGAGCTTCAGGTAGATACTATGACACATCACGTGGAGCAAGATGGCCAGCTACACCTCTCGGTCCCCAGCTGAGTGAGGACAAATTCAGAGCCGTGCACATTTTAAGCATCGTTAGCATACAGAGGTTTCAAACGAACTCAATGAAATCGGCATCAGACAGTTCGGTTGAGTTTAATTCGTATGATCGCGGGTTCAGGGAGGGAGCTACAGACAGGCAATACAACATATGACCTTGACCCAGACCCGAAGTATGACCCCACACGGAGCCCCACCGAGTGATGCGCGTTCCTGGGAGGGACTGGCAACGGGTATGGTCGAATGGTGCGCGTTCCTGAAAGGGATTGGGAGCTGGTGTGATCCATTACTGCACGCTCCTGGGAGAGACTACGGGCGGCCAAAGTCGCGACATATGTCTCTTGTCGAGCGGCGTCACAGTAAGGCATCGGTGTGGCGAGGCAAGCGATTGTCTTGGCATGAAAAAACATAGGGAAATGTGTCAGGTGTCAGAGAGTGTTCAACCACAATTTTGTAATTTTTGTTTTCCAAGGACACATACCCCACGAATTCCAAGGCGGCTGTTGTGTACTTTTGGGATCTGAATGAATGCGTCCGGCCGAGACCCTCCCAGGCTGCGTTCATCCGCCAATCAGAGCAGGAGACCTATCCAGGCTGCGTTCATCCACCAATCAACGCACGGGGACATACCCAGACTACGTTCATCCACCAATTAGTGCACGAAGACCTATCCAGACCGCGTTCATCCACCAATCGGCGCACAAACCTAGGGCGTGACCTCACCTGCTTCCCGTGCGCCCACAGCCAGCTGGTCATCAACTACTGCTTCTACTCGGAGCCGCAGGCGGGCTCATCCAACGGCACGGAAAGCGCGTCCCCCGAGGGCATCACGTACGGTTCGTCGCTGTTCGAGAGCGTGTCACGAGACCTGGAGGCGGCCTGGCCCGAACTGCTCGGCATCTGCGGTATTGCCCTCGGTACGGCGTCACTTCATCGGGGTTTGGGTTTTCTTCTTCGGCGCCGACACCCTTACAACACGCATTTGGGGTGGTATTCATGTATAAGCAGAGCGTTTCAACAGAACGGAGCTATTCTTGAATCATTCTCGAAATTATTGAGATGCTTAAGACTTCTGATACGACTCCTGAACGTGCCGGCGCAGAAAAGAACTGTCCCGAATCTGCGGCTGAGCAGGGATCTGCGATGCGTCGCTGATGAGGTGTCATGTTCTGCAGCTCTGTCCGTGTTGCTGCTGGTCATCCTGCGGTTCTTCGCCTGGTTGATTGTCTATCTGGTGGTGGCTGTCGTAGTAATTGGAGCTTTCGTCCTGACTGGGTTTCTTTGGTAAGTCTTACGTGGCCGTCTTGCTTCAAATTCTTGGACGGTGGATTGATGACTACCTATGGTCAGAAGCCAAACTCGGTGAAGTATATGCCGTCTTCTGGAGATTTGACACGCTGGAGCGAAAGCCAGCGCTGAACTTAGCCCCTGTTCATTCAGAACTACAGCATTTGTGCGCAAATTGTCCAGCTAGCAACTCTATCACCCTATTTAGTTGATCTCATGACTCATTGTGTGCCAGGTACATGTACTTCGACAGCAAGAATGCAGCTGACAATGCCAACGGGGTTGCGCGGCAGTTTTACAAAAAGGATGCCAACACCTACATGGCATTCGCTATAGTTGCCTCCATCTTTACGGTTAGTGCGGCATTCCGTGAAATGAGTTTCGTAATGCGTGCGCGCAGTGCTTTGGGTTCAAGTTTCGTTAAGTGCCAGTGAAGCCAATAAACCTATATGATGCCAGTTTTTAATACGACTTGTAAATATTTGTAGCATCCACCATTTCATATTTCCCGGCTAATAGTGTGTCTATTGCAACAATGACGCATCTAGCTCCTCAGGCTAGAAGAAGCAATGAAGAAAAAGCATCTGCCATTTTTTGGTCGCCAATTCTTGCCACGTCTTGCTCCTTACTGTGGAAGATGCCGCTGCGCGTGAGCTCATGGTATCCCAGTCGAGTGACTCGTCGCTCACGAGAGGCGCAGCTCGCCGCATGCCTGATTGTGACTTTTACGGATGCTGCTTGGTGCTTTTATCCCGAGCCAAAAAAGTCAAAAACGCGTCAGCATGCTGTCTCGCGCAATGATGTGAAAAATGCAACGCTTGCTCGGGAAACGTCTTACATGGGAAACGGCTTCTACCGACAGGAAACACATGGGAAACGGCTTACGTTGCGCCCAGAAAACTCCCAAAGTGGCAATATAACCAAGCAAGTACTATGACCCAGAGCCGTACAGTCATTGCCAGCCTTGTTAGAAACATTAGAAAGAAGTGCGTGTAGATGACGGTGGCCTTTGTTTGCAAACGATGTACAAGTTATCAAAATACTCACGCCAACATAAATCATCGTCAGAATCCCGTGTGTTCACACGCACATTGGACGGTCTCTGTAAATACTCACGCTGAGAGGAGGCGTTAAAACGGAAACTACAGCCTTCCGGTCCGATCCATCGACCGCTCCGCACGCCTACGATCTCAGTATAAATCAAAGATCGGAACACAAATCCACAATGCCTTTGAAGGAAATGGAAGTCAAGCTCTTGATAAGCTGTGCGATATATAAGCTTTTCTCACCAGTTTGGTGGCGGTCGGTCATTTTCATCTGGGTGATTTAGACTGCATATGGCGTATGCAAAAGCTATCAACTATGTTTTGCGACCGTTCCTTTTAATAATGTTTACGTTTTACGGGAGGGGGCATAATGCAATTAAGATTCATTTGTGATTGATACAATTAGCCTAAAAAGAAGGCAGAGAGCTGATGTGTGTCTCGTTGGGTCCCGCATGTATGTAAATACATGTATGACGTATTTCATGGAATCTGCTCATTAGGGTGAGCTTTCTGGATATATAGTAGGAGGCTCACTTCACCATAATTTCAATGCCATTTGCGAATACAGTGCAAAGAAACTGCTTTAGAATTGGCTGGAATATGGGATCATCTTAGATCATCGGATATTAGAAGCGTTGAGACAATCTTCCATCACGGGCGTCACTTGTGTGCACTGTATCATGTTGTTCGTCACTATCGCGATTTTTCCTCTTCATCGAGACCCAGCGAAAGCGGACAGGGACAAAACCTGTGTCCTAAGGCAAGCAAACGAAACGAAAACCCCACGCTGGAGTCGTAGTCGGTCTAGTTGTGGGCGACTTTAGCCGTGTGCCTGTCTGGCTGACCTCCGCCCTCCTCGACCGGCGTGCCTCCTTGCGCTCTCAGGTGCTGCTGCTCATCGTCCTCTTCGTCATGCGCAAACGCATCAAGCTGGTCACAGCGCTGTTCAAGGAGGCCGGGAGGGCCGTGCAGGCCATGCCACTTCTGCTGGTCCAGCCGATGTTTGTGAGTGCTCAGACGTCTTCTTCAGGAGGGATCGCGAGCTGCTTATGCCTGTCGCCTGCTCGTTTGTCATGTGACCAATCACGCATTGCTTTGCATTTGTTTGTAGCCAATGGCCCTGCAAATGGTAGTGATTTTAAGCCTATTGGAATTAAGCAGCCTCATTGAAGGATCCTCATTTCAAACACCGCCCTGCCGCTTTGCTTCCTCGTGTTGTTGAGCAGTGCTGTCGCCTTGATGCGTTTCCTCCCAATCCCATGCAGCAAAGTCATGCTGGTGTAAACTCCACACCGCTGAGGCATGTTTGACATAAGAGCGACACTTTGCACACCTTGGTTTACTCACACCGTACTCACACCGTACTCTCTCTCTCTCCCTCTCTCTCTCTCTCTCTCCTCTCCTCGTCTCTTCTTCATCCTCTCCTCTCTCTCTCTCCTCTCTCCCCCTCATCTCTCTCTCCTCTCCTCTCTCTTCTCTCTCTCTCTCTCTCTCTCTCTTCCTATCTCTCTCTTCTCTCTCTTTCTCTCTCTCTCTCTCTCTCTCTCTCTCTCTCTCTCTCTCTCTCTCTCTCTCTCCTCCTCCCTCTCTCTCTCTCACCCCTCTCTCTCTCCCTCTCTCGCCCCGCTGCCGGCCGACCACCGCCCTTGAGGCGGTAACGGCATTGGCGGACCCGCGCACCCCACATTGCATGACGCCGTCGCCCCGACAGGACTGCCGGCTGCCGTACGTCAGCCAGCGCTAACCTGTCGGCCGAGTCGTTATTCATAGGGCCTTGGCCGAGCTCGCAAAATGGACGTGGGCTCGCTGGTCGTAGCGGGGTGGTGCGCGGTCATGCGAGCTCGTGATGTCAGCAGAACCGGCGGATGATGACCTGGCGGTGACGAGGTGGCCGCCGGCTGCGTGACCGGGCCATGCTCGGACATGTACTGATGACTGGCGCTGGCTACAGCGACACCCTCTGTCAGTGTCAAGGGCTTGTCCGTTCTCCAAGCGTGTAAGCCGAGTTGAGCGAACTGATGCGACGAAAAAGACAGACTCATTTATTATTCAACTTCGGCGACAGCTCCTGAATGTCTGTAAAATGCAGCGCAATGGACATGCTACAGCCTCAACAGCCCTTTTCTTTGTATCCGGCATGTCATATCATGAACTGAGCATAAATCCTATTTACGCCTATACAGTGAATATACACCCAGCCCACCTTCATCATTCAGCGCACATATTTTCCTCAAGAAGCTGACGGTGTCGACTTCCGATCTTTGCAGGGTCTGTGTGTGTGTCATTGGGGCTTTACGACGCACTCAGCTGCTGAGGCTATACGGCGTCGCCTGCCTCTCACCCTGCCAGGAAGGGCGGGTACTGCGGGGAATCGAACCCCGTACCTCTGGTTTCCCAACCGTGCAGTGGTTAACGCAGACGCGTTAACCACTACATTACCGGGGTCACTATTTGCAGGGTCTGAAGATAACAATTTGTCAATGGGTGAAGCAACAACTCGTTGGAAAGCTATACTAATCTTTTGATCTTTCTTCAACCCCGTCGCCAGACCAAATTCACAAACGGTGCAATAGCGAATGAACAAAAAGGTGGACGTCTGGTGTCAACGCGATCCTTTTTCGGCCTGGGACAATTCTATTTCCATCCAGCGTTGCATGAAACGATTTTGTTTATGTCCTAATGCAAGCTGTGCCGATTGGGAGGAAAGATGTGATATGGTCGGGACAAAAAGCAATAAACACATCTTACAGAAGTCTTTGCCACCCATTTATTACATATTATTACGTGATATTTGTTTGCAGTCTTCGCTGTGCTATCTTCTTGATATTTCAGCTTTGTTGCCTGCAGGCGCTGCAAATGCCCATGCTTGCTGAGGTAGGCACGTGACGAAATGACTGTGAAGGAACTAGATAACAATCGTTTACGCGAAATCGAAAGACTTACAAAACACAGCTATGCATTATGCACAAATTCGGTATTTGAAAAACCTTTCTACAGAAGCTATCTACTACCATCCATCAAAAGATGCACGTCAGACTGGATCCTTGGTTTACGAATGCGGGGCGGCGCCTGCTGAATGCGGACGTATCATAGACGCGACATCCCAACAACAAAGATGCTCCATCTGTCACCCTTATCCTCTATCTTGCTTCATCCTGCATTCTCGCGACACCCCGCTTGTCCGTGGCAGGCTGCATGCGTCAGTCACGAGTGGGCCGAGAGCCCCGTGGGAAGGGGGACCCCGGCCGGGTACCCGCGCATGCGCGGGTTAAAGTTCGGCGGTCGGCCCCCCAGGCGCATGCACGTCTGTCCCATCGTTAACCATTTTCCTTCATCCCATAGCCCTGAAATGATCATGTCTGGTCGAAAGGGCTCTAATCCAAAAACCAAACCAATAAAGATGCTCGATGATGACAAGTGGAAATGTTCGCAAAATGTTTGCTTTTGAAACAGGTTCGTACAATGGCAGAGAACGCCAGTTCTGTGGTGTGGCACGTTTGATTTTAGTCGTTTTATCGTTTTAGATGGCACGATGCACAGTCGTTTCAGCCGATGGCTTCTTGTTATTAACCCATGAAGCCGAATTCGAGGCTAGCTGCTTAGAACCACGCGAAGTAGAAGCCAAATTCAGCAGCGTCCAATTTAGCAAATTCGAAGCCAAAGCTAACGAATAATACGGTGCCGGAGATTGGTAACCAAATTTGCCATGAATCAAGTGCTGATAACGATTCTTTTCTGCAACGACTGTTACAAATATCATCAAAAGAAAGGGGCTTCATCCAACCTTCGTGAACCCCCCCCCCCCCCATACCTTATATACAGACTGCACAGAACAAGGCTGGGGAAGGGGAGGGGCTGCATCGCAGATCTCAGAGGATCCAGGGGCACCCAGTGCGTATCCCAGGGGAACCCAGTGCACTTACCTGATTGCGGGCCTATCCTTTCCTTGAACAGTTAAACGTTCAATAACCTGCCTGCCGCCGGCCATCATCGCCTCCCGTACCCCGTGAGTTTTGCACCAGGCTAGAGGATTTGGACGGTGCCGTTGTGCAATCATTGCTTGCTTGCCGTTGCAACGTGTGTTGACAATTTATATTTTGATTAATAATCTTATTTCTGACGAAGCTGTGTAAACGACTGGAGGTCTCATAACGCGCCAACGTGGTCGCGTCGTTGTCATGTGTTGATATTGCACTCATGCTGCGACTGTAATTGTGCCGAATCGAACAATGAACTACAAGCTGGAAGGATTCGTGAATGCAATTATCTAAACTGAATTAAACAGTTCAGTTGACACCTGATGATCGTGTGATCGATCTATCCATACGATTGTGATCCTTCGGTTCACCCGCAGTGAGCGCTTTACTTTTTTGGGTTGTTGGCTGCAACAAAATGTACCCTTTCAGATTACACCTAGTGAGCACTTTTCTTCGGGTAACACTAATATGCGAGATTTTTGCAATACGATTCAGACCATAATCCGCACCTATAACCGCCAATACTCCAACGCACAAGTTACCCAAACGCATCCAACCCATAAGTCTCACCGAAATCCCGGAGGGAGTGAGCGCATGGTAGCACTTTAGCGGGTGACGGGTGAAATCAGACTGGAGTTCTCACTTCATGGTGTCGTTACACTATTGCTACTGGAAGTATTAAGATCGACAGACCCACCACGACAGTAATTGTATGCATAAGGCTCTAGTGCTACTCTCCCAAAACTACAGCTTTTGCTCGTACACTAGACACCGCAAATCGACAAAATCACGTCACATAACGCTCCAATAATTTTCGTATGGGCACCACGAACTTTTTATCGTAGCACTGCCCAGTTTGCGTTCCCTCCCACCTTACGCGTTGTTGTTACGCCCCTGCTAAATGTCGACCAATTTTTCACTCCACGGCAAGTATAAGCAGTGGAAGTAATGCTGCGGATACGTAAAGACTGTGTATTGTAACAATATTACAGTAAAAGTAATGGCTTGTACACATTTTTGACGTATAGGTTTTTCGTTTAGCATTTATGCAGCGTATAAGCCTTTGCAGTAAAAGCAGGTAATGTCGTGTAAGGGCAGAGTGCATACGTTTCTGCTTTACTGCTGTACGAATAATGACTATTATAAGTCTTTGGAGCATAGTTTTGGCGTCAAGCACTGATGTCACCGTATAAGTCCTTGGAGTATAAGTTGTATTGCGTAGCAGTAATATCGGGTATAAGTCAGTACAAGGAATGTCGTAGCACTCCTGTCGGTAGAAGCATCTGTTGCAGCACTCCTGTCGGTAGAAGCATCTATTGCAGCACTCCTGTCGGTAGAAGCATCTATTGTAGCACTTCTGTCGGTAGAAGTATCTACTGTAGCACTAACGTTGTGAATTCCGCAGTGTCAGCGCCTGCCAACGCCTCCACTTTAAGGCATCATCTCAATGTTTGAATTTCACTTGGCGAAAGGCAAGTACTACAGGCGGAAAGAACTTGGTCGAATTTGGAAAATTACACTGAATAATAAATAGCCCCTGAAAGCTCTGAAGAGTGGCACCAGTTGGCGCCCAGTTGGTAAGACCTGTGATACGTCATGTCCTGTCAAAAGGGCGAAGACCCTTGCTAAATCTGTCTCTGCTACTCAAAATTTCAACACATGATCTGGCATGATCATGACATGATGCCTGACATGATCCGTTAAGAGTGCACTTCATCAACTGCCCAAGAAACATGGCATCGTGCTCATAAACATTGCTACGCTTCCAGCACAGTCAACCTCGGTACGTCATCAACGAGACTCGACGCCTGCTCCCGAGCTGATATGTCGTCCCGTCGTTCCGGAGCCGGCGTGCTGTGTCCCAGTGACGTCATCTGCTCGACGGACGTCTTTCGCACATCTCGATGTCTGTTACAGGGCCGCTACGTCGTCCCGCCGCTCTGGGGCTGACGCGCTGTGCCCCAGTGACGTCATCTGATCAGCTGACGCCGTTCGCAGACGTTCCTGGTGCTGGCGGTCACCGTGTGCGTGTGCATGGCTGTGGCGCTGGCCATCGAGTCGGTCGGCACGCCGGTCCCGGGCCGCTCCTCAGGATTCGTCCAGTACCGGAAGGGCGGCGCCCCACTCGTGAGTGTGCGCCGCCCCGCGCCGCCCAGTCACGTGGTCTGGGTGGCCCAGGTCACGTGGTCTGGGTTGTGGGTAGCCCAGGTCACGTGGTCTGAGTTGTGGGCGGCCTTGGTCATGTGGTCATCATCCACTGGAACGAAAAAATGCTGAACAAAACGAAAAGGTTTCATGATCCTTTTACTGCCTTGGCCGTGCTTAGCCGAAGCAAAGGAAATAACGCGTTTGCCCGAATTCTTCTTTACATCTGCCTTAGATCCTACTCTAGGGCCTAGATTCATAAGTCCTTTTGAAGAACCCGGGTCCATAGGTCCCATCCTAGTACCTAGATTCGCATGTTTCATTATAGGACCTACATCCACAGGTCCCATGCTAGTACCTAGATCTATGGGCTCGAGGTGCTCCGGGTCCTGGGACGGGTCCCATCATCAGGCATGGGTCCCTCAGATGGCCTTGAGAAGCTTTGAAAAGGTCACGGAATTGTCTCCAAGGTCAGGTGGTGATCAGAATGTCATAATAAGATCCGAGCCCAGACCAGTTCCTCAAATATAGCTCAAGCCTGAGGCTAGCGGGCCGCCCAGACAGGTTACTGCTGGTTGGCAGGCCATGGGGCGTTTACCGCCAGCATTAAAGGCCACGTGGCACTGATCAATACCGCAAGCTTCCTTTGTACAGGTTAATATCCCACAGCAGGCTGCGGGGGTCTGGATCGGCGGCAGGCCGAGGGGAGCCCGCGAATGTCAGCTCCGAAATCGTCATCGACACGGTTTGAGAGCTCCAGGGGTGATGCAGAAATCTGTGATGTTATTGGGGCTCCAAAGCTACTCATCATCACACTTCTAGTGAGGCCTCTGAGGGTCTATACTACGTGTTCCATGAGATAATGTGGCTCGCGATTCAGGGACTAATTCGAATGATCCAGAATCAGAGCTAGAGTCAATCCTGCCACTTGGCTTCAATCAGCGGTTGATCCAAATCAGCAATTCAGAAGTAAAGTTGACTTGAATCATCCGACCGTTAATTCTGGCCCGAAGGCCTATCCGAGGCCCGAAGGCCCATTCGAAACTGGCCTTGCGCCAGTTTCGAATGGGCCCGAGGCTGACCTAGGCGGTCAGTTCGACCGGTCGACCATTCACGGGGTCCTCTTTGATATAGCAGGCGTACACTAGTAAGCATAGGTGTACACAGTGGGGAAAATTCGGGAGCAAGGCTTCTACAGCATAGCCTGGTTTATCAGTCATCGGAGGTCATGTTGTTCCCCACCAATAGCGAATCATCTCTGAGACTTGGCTACAGCATGTTGTCAAATGTGTGGTATAAGTTGCACTGAACTTGCGGGGGATCCCGACTCTTAAGGCTCGCAGACAACATGAACAAGAGTTGTTTTGTTCTTCCGTAGTGCGGTGGTTCACCTACGTCACGTCCACGTCCTCGACTGTTTTATGGCATAGCGTGCGCTCGGCACCAAACATGAGGACCTTGATATGTGGGGCCCACAGGCCACGTCGATGGCAAAGGCATCGCAGTAATGGAACTTTCGCACAGTGGTAATGACTGCCAACCATGATCGTCCTTTGTGACGGCCTAGCAGCGCCAGTTTAGCGATATCTATGAAGGTGTAATGGGTCATACATTTCTGGACCGTTGCCCAGCACGCATGCATGAATGTTGCGCGAAAGGCTTACGATATTACTAAAAGCCTCAAGCTTTCAACACCACCTAATCCATGGCGTTGTTTCTACTGGCCCAACGCGTGTTAATGCGAACCGATAAGTCCATGTGTGGCTTTGTAATTGGTGTAGCACACATGGTAAGATCAAAGCAAACATGGCTAAACCCTCAGTTTCCTCATAGCGAAACCCTCATCCGCAATTCACTTCGTCTCGCTCACCTCACCTAAGCCCCCAACTTCCCCGCCCTACCTTCACCTGGCTCACCTCACCTAAACACCTCACCTCACCTCACCTAAACCCCCAACTTCCCCGCCCTACCTTTACCTCGCTCACCTCACCTAAACCCCCAACTTCCCCGCCCTACCAGCATTGTCTTGATCGAGCCGGGTGAAGCTGCAGTGGCCGTCAGCTGCTCCGTCAGCCTCGTTGGCCGGGGAGGGAGAAAACAGACCATCCGAGTGGTCTTCTCCGACCTCACGCGCCACTGCCGACGAGGGGTCGCCTGGTGACATGCAGGCCTCGCCACAGACTCGGCAGTCGGCACCCGTCGCGCTACATCACTACGGCTACACTGCACCACGCTGCCGCGGGTGTCCCGCCAACTGAGCAGTCTGGGGGGAGGGGGAGGGGGCAGTTCCGTCCTTGTGACCAACCTGCGCTAGGCGGGGTTCGTCGTTGGCTACCAGGCAGTATTTGTTTAATATAAGTTTGTGTATTATGGAATATTAGTTTAATGTATATAGAATAATGGTAATAGGGAATATATATATATATATATATATATATATATATATATATATATATATGTATAGTAATATATAGAATATATGTAATAATATGTGTAATATATATAATATATAATAAATAACAAATATATATAATAAATAAATACATAGTAAATAATAATAGTAATATATAGAATAATAGTAATAGGGAATATTAGTTTGTGCTGTCATACCTCTGTCTCCTTCACCGTCTCCGCCTCCACCATGATTCTGGTGGTGCTAATACACTGTCTTTGGTACCGAACCCCAACCTTGCTCACCTGCCAGCCCGACTCGCCCTGCCCGAAGCTCATAGGTGTTGGGTTGACCACCACCCGGCTCAATGCTGATTGGTCAATCCTGATCGAGGGCAGCAACAACAGGCAGTGAGCGCCAAGACACTTGCATAACAGTATGAAACAGGTATGCCTCCTCGGCACCCAAGGGACTGAAATTCACCGCAGTGGCGCCAGGGAGGGCAACCCTTCTGACCGACAACAAGCAGTCGGACCAGATCGGCTCCGTCGACGTTCGTGGTCGGCTCGTGGCGAGCGCGGCGCACGGCCGACCGACCGAGCCGTGCTCGCGACGAACGGCCACGTGACGGGGCTGGTCGTGGGGCAACGCCCGGCCAACACCAGCCGACCGAGACCCGCAACATTGAACGTCGCTGCACCCCTTCAAAACAGGCACGGCCGTTGCCGGCTGGCGGCGCCGGCCGCGCGGCCGGCGCCGCCAAGGCACTGGTCGCCGGCCCGCCGCCGGCCACCAGTGCCACCCAGAGGCCACCGAGCTCTGCGCACGTTCCGCGCCTTGAGATACTTTGGGCGCACCTTGGGGAGACGGGGGACTCCGTGTTACCCGAATGGGAAGTAAAGCAAAACATCTTGGGGTGCCTTTTGTCGCAGTTTGCGCACGGGCGTAGGAAACGCGGGCGCGATGAAGAGCAGCGTTTTTTTCCATTTTCGTGAAAGTTCAGGATTGGCACCCTGGCGGTGCATGGAAAGAGTCGACTTCAAAATGAGCCTACCCCATCCACCCTCCGCGACGCTTCCGCGTCCCTGTCCCACGTCCCATTAAAAGCCTTCTCGCCTCGCGACGCGTACCCTCCAGCTCCTTTCGTACCAGATGAAGCCACCTGATTGGGCCGCACCTTGACCACTGAACCAGCTGTTGATGGTATGTACAGTCAGCTATTCCAGCTGCTCGCCACACGCTCCGTTTTTCCTTGTCTGCAGTCCACACAGGTACGCCAACTCATGCGATTTTGTGCGTACATATCAGCGTACCGTCGGTGATGTTGTCCTGATGTAACCAGCGCTCGGTGGGTGCGTGTATTTTGCAGTACTTCCGCTGGTACAACCTGTTCGCGTTCTTCTGGCTCACCCAGTTCATCGTCGCCTGCCAGGACATGGTGGTGGGTGGGGCCATCAGTAAATGGTTCTTCACCAGGTACGTGCACGGAATTTGAAGCACGCTGTGCAAAGGCGCGAACCCCAGATGGGTCAAACAGGCCTAGAGCTCGTCCTAAGACGGTGGAGAATGTCAAAGTTTGCCCATCCTTGCTTTACCTGAGTGCCATTGACCACGCTCTTTCGAAAAGCAAACATTGGGGCACGCAAAACTTGATGCTGGATCTGCCATGAAGCCATGCGGCTTGATTGTACAGACGCCAAAGTGTGGCGGTATAACGCCAAGAGCTTTGCTCCACTCAGGTTGTAACTGAATTTGGTGTAAGAATCGGCCACATTGCGTTTTTGTATGAAATGCTGCCCTTGAATGCATAAAAGAACTCCTGGTTTTTCGGCACTACAAGTTTCTCATGTCGAGTTAACGGCCTTCAATATACGAGGGGTAACTTGTTAAAGGACGTTGTGATGAAAAAGGTGAGTATATTGACGGTACTCAATATCTCGAGCTGCGCTCATTCTCAACAGTTTGAGTCGTGAGCAGAGCATGGCTCGGAATACTGATTGCCGTCAATGTAATTATCTTTATCTAGCACTACAACGTCGTCATGCCAGCATCTCCTGGTATTTGGAAGCTCGTTAATACAGCATAATAATTTTCAACTTGTTAAATTGTGCTCCAGTTAAATCTAATTCGTCTTCAAAACATTTTAGTCGAGCATGGAAATACCTGTAGTGTGTCGCCTTCAAGCAGTAATTCGTCTCATTAGGACCCAACTGCCACACCCAGCTATAAAAAGCTTGCAGGGGCGGATCCAGAATTTTGTCAAGGGCGAGCCACATAACTTTGTGGGACCTCCTCCAAAAACCACATTGCGGCTTTTAAGATTTTTAGTATGTAGATTCTTATTTATACGGAAACCCATTTTACTATGCGCAGCCCTAGAAAACTAGGTGTGCTACGTATCGACATGAATGGAGGTTATTCATTTTCTCTAGATCATTGTGAATTTTGTCATCGTGGGGCGAAGTATTTCGGAGAAATGGCAAAGCGAACTGAAGTATGCTGCTAAATACCACCCAGATCAAGCACTGACTTGATTTCTAGCTGATTTACGGCTAGCCGGCTGGTTGGTATGATCAGCTGATGGTTGATGACAATTGCAGAGTTTTTGCTTTGTCTATTATGAATAAGCGCAAAATACCCCAGCGCTCAAAATGCGTTAAAATCTTGATACACATGCATAAAAGGTGCCGCGAATTCGATCATCGACGGAAATGATACATACGACGTCACCGACACGTAAAATTACGTTCGACAATGGCGCGTAAAACTTCAGTCTCCGCATTCATCAAAAAATCAAAATCATTCAAAATCATTGTCATTCAAAATCAAAATCAAAAATCATTCATAAAAAATCGACTTCAGTCTGACTGCTACTCTAAGGCTAAGGCACCGAGGTCAACATGGTGGGCCCCTGAAAAATCGTAAGTGTTCCGGTAGGCTACCATATGGGACCCCGGCCAGAGCACAGGGCCCTCTGAGCAATGGGAAACTACCAAAAACCAGCGTCCATGTATTAATGCCCTTGTGCGATCAAGAGTGCCCAGGCAGGTTTACAGCCCAGGTTCCGATGGAATTGAAGGGTCTTCCGCACATGAAATCAAAGGGAAAAGGCGTTTACCAATGTAGAGAGCCCCTGAGCATCGGTTGACTGTGCCTTACTTTATACGGGCCCCATTAACATCTTAAGGCCCTCCGACCAACGTGGAAAGTCATGAGGCCCTCCGGCGTGGGGAACCGAAATGTGGAGCAAAAGCGTTTAAACCCGTTGCGGTAAATGGGGAGAATCCGTGGAGGACGCTTGGTTGATCATGATTATCCAGGCATTTTGGCAAATAGCGCCCCAACAGCACCGTAGGGTCCTGCGAGAAAATGCAAAGAGATCAAGACAGCGTGGAAGGTTCCTTAGCAATCGGATGACCTGGGAAGTGGACATATAGGGCCTCGGCAGCATCGCAACGCGTCTGGACAACGTAATGAACCTCAGAATTCCCCCAATCACCCTCCTCTCAATGAGCGAAAAACTACGCTGCTCATGGGTTCTTCACTTTTATTTGCAACCGTTCCTGGAAGTCTAGAGACCCAAAGACGCTTAATTTCGTTGTGTTTTGTTAGAAGACTGCGTCCGCTCGGCCGGTTGTGGGCTTCCCCAGAGTCTATGGGTCCGCTCGTAGCACAAGGGAGCATGCTCTTGAGGGCATGCTCATGCTCCTCTCTCATCTGGATCCGGCACTGGTCCGAGCCGCTTAAGAATTGGGGCCCCGAAAGGAAAATAGCAACTCATCCATTCAAATAAGCAGTTCCTAAGACACAACATATAGGACCCCCGAACGATCGAGTGTACCCACGCAGGTTATCAGATAAGGCCTCCGACAAGAGCGTAAGGCCATCCATTAAAATAACAAGTACTCAAGACTCGATGTGGAGGTCCCTGAACGGTTGAATGTGTCCAGGCAGGTCATCGGAAGGGCCGCAGCGAGAGCGAAGGGTCCGAAGCGAGAGATAGAGAGTTGGAAGGGCCAAAGTGGGGAGCCCACGAACATATCGTGAGTGTGACAGCGGGTTAACCGAGACCATCGTGAAAGAATGCAGGTGCTCCGTTGTGGTTAAGTCCAACACAAACTCAACGACTTGCGCTGTCTAAAGCAGGGGAACTTCCGCTTTGCACATTAATTTTAACTTATTTCGTTGCGATATCTCGGCCTCGCACGCTACCGCCGGTAATACCAGCTGATGGCCTCTCCTGGGAATGCCCTGACCCGAGCGGGCGTCATAATGCAGGGACAAGTCACGGCTGGGCAGTCCGATCCTGCTGGCCATCAAGAACCTGCTGTTCTACCACTTGGGCTCGGTGGCGCTCGGCTCCTTCATCATCGCCGTGGTCAAGTTAATCCGCTTCCTGCTGAAGAAGTTGGAGTCGCGGATGGGCAAGAACCCGTTGGTAAAGGTGGTCTGCTGCTGCGCCCAGTGCTGCATCTGGTGCCTGGAGAAGTTCCTTAAGGCCCTGAACAGGAACGCTTACGTGGAGATCAGTGAGTGTAGCCGGTCATTGGCTAGAATGATAAGCCGCAGCCACAGAGCACCCGCTGCCGTTTTTATGTTGGAATTTGATCATCGAAAAAAACCACATGACATCAGGAATCCAGTCTTAGTATCGAGTAACACACACAGAAACGAACTAACGCATACAAGCACGCACGCACGCACCCACCCACGCACGCACATGTTTACAAACTGATTTTTACGGTAGGGCTGGACGGCGTGGAAAGTCATCACTATGGCGACGGCCAAATATAGTTCAATGTTTCACCACGGCAGGCCATCATAACCAAAGTCATCGTGCACTTTGCTCCGGCCCACAGCCATCCACGGCTACAACTTCTGCAAGGCGGCGCAGGAGGCGTTCATGAGCCTGACCCGCAACGCGCTCCGTGTGGCGGCCATCAACAGCATCGGCGCGTTCGTGCTGTTCCTAGGCAAGGCGTCCGTCACCATCTCCACCGTCTTCATCGGCATCGAGATCATGAAGGTGATCGTCATGCTGCGCGTGTTAGTCTGCAGCTCACCCGTCGTGATGTTGTTTTTGCAAGGCTTGTTGCGGACGCAGCAACCGTGCTTGCATGAGTCACGCTGGCATGGACCTATCTTGGACCACGCATTCGGCGCGATCTGGGAAGTCGGCTCTTTTTCCTGAGAAGAAGTAAACACCGGTAACAGTAAATGTCTCGGAATGCCTTCTATTTTGCATTTCACCGTGAACCTGTCCTGCAAAGCTGAGACTGCCATAGCCCCGATTTGGTGGCATCATTAGATCCCTGTATTACCCCACAACCACGGTACGGACGGACACTCGGCCCTCCACTCGGTCCCGGTGTGTGTGGCGCCCACGGTACGGAGGGACACTCGGCCCTCCACTCGGTCCCGGTGTGTGTGGTGCTCACGGTACGGAGGGACACTCGGCCCTCCTCTCGGTCCCGGTGTGTGTGGCGCCCACGGTACGGAGGGACACTCGGCCCTCCTCTCGGTCCCGGTGTGTGTGGCACCCACGGTACGGAGGGACACTCGGCCCTCCACTCGGTCCCGGTGTGTGTGTGGCGCTCACGGTACGGAGGGACACTCGGCCCTCCTCTCGGTCCCGGTGTGTGTGGCGCCCACGGTACGGAGGGACACTCGGCCCTCCTCTCGGTCCCGGTGTGTGTGGCGCCCACGGTACGGAGGGACACTCGGCCCTCCTCTCGGTCCTGGTGTGTGTGGCGCCCACGGTACGGAGGGACACTCGGCCCTCCACTCGGTCCCGTGTGTGTGGGCACGGTACGGAGGGACACTCGGCCCTCCACTCGGTCCCGGTGTGTGTGGCACCCACGGTACGGAGGGACACTCGGCCCTCCACTCGGTCCCGGTGTGTGTGGCACCCACGGTACGGAGGGACACTCGGCCCTCCACTCGGTCCCGGTGTGTGTGGCACCCACGGTACGGAGGGACACTCGGCCCTCCACTCGGTCCCGGTGTGTGTGGCGCCCACGGTACGGAGGGACTTACTCGGGCCCTCCCACTCGGTCCCGGTGTGTTGTGGCCCCCACGGTACGGAGGGGCCACTCGGCCCTCCTCTCGGTCCCGGGTGTTGTGGCACCCACGGTACGGAGGGAACTCGGCCCTCGGCCTCGGTCCCGGCTGTGTTGTGCGGCGCCCACGGTTACGGAGGGACACTTGGCCCTCCTCTCGGTCCTGGTGTTGTGGCGCCACGTTACGGAGGGACAACTCGGCCCTCCCTCTCGTCCCGGTGTGTGTGTGGCACCACGGTACGGAGGGGACACTCGGCCATCCTCTCGGTCCTGGTGTGTGTGGCGCCCACGGTACGGAGGGACACTCGGCCCCTCCTACTCGGTCCCGGTGTGTGTGTGCTGGCGCCCACGGTACGGAGGGACACTCGGCCCTCGCCTCGGTCCTGGTGTGTGTGGCGCCCACGGTACGGAGGGACACTCGGCCCTCGCCTCGGCCCAGGCGTGTGAAACATCCACGGCAGCTTCGCCGGCCGACCTCTGCAGCCGCTCCTCTGTTTACAGGGTCGACCAGATGTCAAGCACAGCTACCTGATTGTGGGACTCGGCGGCCTCTTCGCGTACATCACATCGTACATCTTCATATCGATATACGATGTAAGCATACTGGCGGGCTCAGGCAGGCATGACGGCGTGCGCCAACAGGAGACGTTTGCCCATCACGTCAGCTTTCGTAGTGATGTGAGGATCGTTTTCAGAATGTCGGGATTCTCGGCATTGTGTACGGGGGGGGGGGGGGGGGTGCAGCTGCTTAAGACGCTCATACCCCTGAGCGGGCGACCCAAGGCGAGCGTGCTGTTAAAAAAAAACTGGCCAAGGCCACTGCTGGCGTGGGAGGCAACTCGTCGCACTTCATTGCCGCATGCTGCGCACTTCAATGGCTGGCTTACGAACTATCCCCTTTTTGAGGTTCCCGAAATACCAAACGGTTATCTAAACTCGTCATATAATTGTAAACCAGCACAAGTGAGTGAGTCTGGAGTCGAGATCAGTCAGTCGAGATGAGTGAGTGAGTCATGGACAAGTGAGTCGAGCTACTTGGCTTATCCAGCTGAGTCCAGAGTCCAGCTGTGGACTTATGCGTCAATCTGCATCATCCAGTAAACTCGCTCAATCACACTCGCCACGTGATCAGTCGGCGGCGGTTCGGGGCCCCGGTCCTTCCGCCGGTGTCCAGCCGTCACGCGCTCCGACCACGTGCGGTCTGTCGACCACGTGCAGCCGCGCTGCGCCTCATCCGTGGCTGGTGTTTCAGATGGCCATCGATGCTCTTTTTATATGCTTCTGCGAAGACTGTGAGATGAACGACGGCATTGAGAAGCCGTACTACATGAGCAAGGGCCTGATGGTGAGGCGCGGGCTACCGAGCCGTTCCCTGTTACCCGAACCAGTCATAGTTTTGTTCGACAGCTGCGTCTTAGGCTGCTGCGCCTCGCGTTTATTCTTAGTCACATATCACGGTAGTAACATTCTGTGTTACAATGAAGCGAGAGGGAGAAGGACGCAGATAACGGAGGGTGATCACGACATTGCCGCCTCATCTGATGCAATCAGTGGGCCTGTACAGTGCCGCAGTTACAACAAATCTTACAAACAAACGCTGTCGGAATAATCACTGGCCATCGCGCATTTAGGATTCCACATTGGTTTCAGTGCATGTCAGGTATTGTATCAGTCCTCAAGCATCTCTGATCTTTGCAGGAGCTCGTGCAAAACAGCAAGAAGGCACTGGCGGCCTTGAAGAGCCGAGACGGCGGAAACACCGACAAGCCGGTCTTCACCAGAAGCCCCAACGCTCCGAACACCATGCCGAATGTCGGCTGACGAAGCCACCAGCGACGCCAATGCGATTCAGCGGCAGCTGGCAGCGAGCGGAATAAGTGCCTTTGAAGAACATGTGATACCGCCATGTGATAACGCCATGTGATACCGCCATGTGATAACGCCACGCGTCACGTGCGGAAGCGGTGATGGCTGTCACTGCGGTCGATGCTCATCTCACTTATAGGTCGACTGTCGTTCAGTTTAGTGTGGCGTGTTGTGTTTGGTGTAGTGTGGCGCAGAATTATTTTCTACACGTGACAAGTCATCAGCTCCGCAAACCACCCTAAAGGCAATGGAGTTCACTACTGAGGCCATCTTTAAGATCTAGAGAATAACGTTCATACTTCTTTCGCCGTGCAACTGATGCATGACTGGTGCGTTCCCAACCAGCTCCAATGTGTTAGCACCAACCTTCCACATTTGTTCTGCACGCCTCCCATAGCCGCCGCTTTGACGACTGCCACTCGAGTCTGACGCCGCCAGCATCGTGCCGCTCAGCTGTAGACAAAAATAGTTGGTCTCATTAGTCCTGGCACGAATGCACCCCTGCCCTGGCGCTTTGCCTTTTGACATTTGGAGCGCCAGAGCAGTATGACATTCCCGTCGGTCGTAGGAAGAATCGTTCTTAAATTTGAAAGGCAAAACTAATGTAACGGCTGCTTGAGACATTTCAGAAAAGGCTTTGCTCGCACGTTTCGAAGTAAGCATATTGTCGTGCACTGATGCAGGAACGTAGCCAATGTTTTCATCGGAGGTCAGAGGTAAAATTTCCCCAAAATCCCGCGACTTTGGTCGCGATTGCTGTAAGCTCGTTCAGCACCCGGCGTAAAATTATTGGCCCAGTAGAGGGGGGGGGGGGGGGCATGGATCCCTGGCTCTCCCCTTGGCTACATCTGTGGGTGGAGCCAGACGCAAATATGACACGTGGTGCCAACATAGCGCGCTAATGCCATTAAAGGCAATGTGCCACCGTTAGGTTTGCAAACTTTTGAACTACAATAGGTTGTAGACTGTAGAGATACACACGAACTAATGAATCTGTAACATTCTTTGTTTTCCCTTGAATACGTTTTGTGTACTATGCTTTACATCTTTTGTTTATTTGCAGCACGGGCTCACTTTAGTCGACACTCATTACATCGTCAAAAAACTTGCCGAATTTGCATAATCGTGGCTTTTTGGACTAAAGGCTTGCTGCTGAAAGCAAAACGCAGAACAGCGAGTTTGGGGATGCTGGGTTTGTTGAATTGTGGGCGATGAAACGTTGCTCTAGGAAATGCAGTTTGTTTAGGTAATAACACAACTTCCGACTGTTATACGAAAAATAAAACAAGAAAACCCTGCGTTATAGTTTTCATTATGGTCGAGATAATTTTTCGAACTGCCGTCCTCGTCTGGTGTGCTGGTATGAGCGCGACGTTTCGGCCACTCAACTCCCTGACCTTCGCCAGGTACAATGAAGCCCTAGGAAGGGCTGGGTGATGCTTGGCTATCAGCCATGCACACGTTGCAAGCCAAATTTTCTCCTTGGCATCGCTGGGATTCGAACCGGGTTCTTCTTGATTCCGAGTTCAGCGCCCTACTAACTGAGCGATGCTCTACCAACTGAGCGTCCTTCCTGGCTAGCTCAGTTGGTAAACCACTGAGCTCACAATCCGGAAGACCCTGGTTAGAATCACAGCGATTTTCAGGAGAGAACTCAGGTTGTGACGCATATATGGCGGATAGCCCAGCATCATCCAGCACTTCTCAGAAATCGATGACGCCTGACAACGACCGGAAGTTGCGCTTATACGACCAGGCTGAAACGTTGCGTACATACTCACACGCCAGAGGAAAACGATAATTCGAACAAGTATTCCATCTGCCCTCGTTACCAATGCTACTTGTTTTGCAGCTTGAATTATTGGGCTGTTATTCTGTTTTCTTACCAAAATACCATTGCATTATGGCAGTCAATTACAACCCTTGTGTATCTTAATGCCATCATGAGCCTCGAAAACAGCCTACCGCAACCGATTAGCGCCGGGCAATCCATTAACACGCACTCGGGTGGGGGTCAAATTAACTCCCCGAAGGTTTTTCCAGAATGATTTCCGAACGGCACGGTGTAGCCGCGCCAAATTTTGCACAGCTGTAGACAGGTGAATAGCGGATCCTTTGGCGCAGAAATTTAGATGTATCTTGTAAGGTCGCTAAGGTATGACAGATCAAAGTCAGGCCATGGTTTCAGCGAAGTAGATTTCTAGGGAATCGTTCATTCTGATGCAACAACGGAGTGTTAGACGAAGCCACACATCTCCGAGATGCTTTCTTAGGCAACACAAGTATTGAATGAGCAAGTTACGTTGACCTAAAGCCAGGTATGAAGGTCAGGCCAAGGTCAAAACCAACTCGTTTTATTGCTCTAGGGCTTGCTGTGTGGGATGGTTGCGGGTGCTCATTTCGAATTTATTGATAACATGAAACGCATTATGCATCTTCCATGAACTTCTAAGAAGTCGGAATAGGTTAATGACCTAAAATGACTCAGGTCAACATTTCGTTTTTAGAAACACATTGCCTAGCGTTATCTTTGTCGCTTATTCAAATGCAAAACTCAGAGCGGTCTTGTATGCCTTTGGTTACCATGACCTTCAAAGGTCAAACAAGGTCACTGACCTTAGATGAGCATGTGACCTCTTGGTTAGAACCAGTTATCTAGGTTCTGGGGGCACTTTCGAGACCAACCTGGAGTTTGACCTTGTTTGACCTTACTTGACACGAAGGTCATGACCTAAGAACCTCAAAATGTGACCTAATTGAGTTTACGTACAGGTCAACACACCCTGCGAATTTCATGTCTCCTAGCTCTCTTAGTTCCTGAGATCTCAGGGGAGGCTCAAATTGACGCCCCCTCCCCACCACCCGAGCGAACGGTATCCAGCCGGCCACCCGGGCGCGTGTTAAGCGTTCTATAGCAGGTTATCGGACGGTGGTTCGCGTGCGACAGCGCAGACATTTTCAGAATATTCAAACGGCAGAATGACGTTTGACAAATGTCGGAGGCGTGTCCCAGGGACGGTGACGGATCCAGAATTTTGGCGAGGGGCACGCAGCGTTGTGGGCCCCCTAGGATTTGAGGCGCTTCCCAAAAAATCATCGCATTCCGGTCATGAAATCTGAAGATGAATGGTTTATATATATATATATATATATATATATATATATATATCACTGGTCGTAGTTATAGAAAGCTAGCCGTGATACGTATCTACGTGCACCGAGCTTATTCCTTTTCTCCTGATCGTGGTTAATCTTGTCATTCTGAGGCTAAGTATCTCGAACAAAACAACATCGCAAAGTAACTTAAAGTTGGTTGCTAAATGCCATCAAAATCGAGTACGAGCTCAATTCCTGATTTATTTCCGACAACAGCCGTTCAGCGCCAGCGCCTGGATAACGCTATTAACTTCGAGGTCGGAATGGTCGGCGGCAAACGCAGACGAGATCACGTCACGGAATCCCGAAAACAGCTATATTGGCCCAATTTGGACGAGACTGCCACCCACCGCGACTGCAGATGTTTGCATCGCGCCATTTACGTGCCTGCTGGGCCACGGGCTATCAGTAATCTGATCAGGTGCCAATCTGAAGTATCTCAGCGGCACACCAGAGCCACCGATGACGAAACTGTGCTGCAGACGAGCGCTGTAAAACACCCTCGCTAAGAGTGCGTGAAAAGGGCATTTCCCTATCGATCCGTAGCGGCGTGGAATCGCCTCCCTGCTGCCACGCGTCAGTGCAGAAACTTAAATGAGTTCAAGGGCAAAGCAATGTCTTTCATCAGAGAACTTACCTAGCTTGACCAACTGGCCATGACGTGCAAGTGCTGATCGTATCACAAGTCGTTCATGTTTCATGACATCGTCTGTGTATCGCTGGCGTTGCGTCTCATTTGCATGTGTTGCGTGTTCTGTGTTGGTATATGTAGTGTGTACTGACGCGGCGTTAGAACATCCACTCGCTGGATTTCGCCAAGGTTCGCAATAATAGTAATAATCATAACAGTCTCCGTAGACCCCGCGGAGTTGGACCGGGCTAACAAAAGGTATTTTTCACTTGTGCAGATTTACATGAGGAACAGATTAACGGAACGGATCAGCACTGCACCGCAAACCGATGCTGGGCTCTGTCGATGGAGGTAGGCATGTAAGCACAGGTTCTCTATTTGCGTACCTCTGTCGCTGTTGAGAGAACATCACTGAAATCATGCAGTGAAGATGTAAGCGAAGCCTAGCCTTTGAACCTAGCCTTAGCCTTTGTCATGATTTTGAAACTTTCGGGGAGACTATTTCACGACGACTCTTCTCGTGCGCCAGGTGTCCGCTGCCCGGTGTTAACTGCAGCAGCCAAGTCCACTTGAGTTGATGGACACTGCAACCCAAGCCATTAGTATCCTTGTTCCTCAGATTGCGAGCACGCAGACTCAAGGCTGGTTATGTAGTTCGCTTCACTAGTTGGTTCTGAACAGGCATGGACGTAGTCGTTCGGACCAGCCTCTGTCCTGTTTCACCTCATTTTGAACCGTCGCATTGGGCACTAACGGAAGCCCTTACCTTTTCCGGGCAAGGGACCCGGTGGGTAGAATACTAGGGGCACATTATATTTCCGGCCAGGGACCAAGTGGCCATTCCGTTGCAGCGCGGGGTTCCCGCCGGCTGTAATATCGGCGATAAAGGGACGGTGTCCCCCGGTCGATACAGAGGCCCTTAGAGGGACCAATCATACATCCGTCCTGCCTTACGCTGGAGGTCCCCTGACCCTGACATCTGACCCCGGATTGGCGCAAGAGGCCTTATTGACGCAGCAAGACACCTTGAGGCCGCAGGTGGTCACACAATTGGCACAGGGACTCCAGTTCGACTGAGAGAGAGACTCTCTGAAACATGGGTGAAAGGCACCGTTCAGCACTGGGGGCCGTGACTGACACAGAGTTTCCCATTGTCTCATTGGGTACCCTCATCATAAGCTATCATATCTCCCTTCGTTTTCAGAAGGCCCAAACCAACGCAAGAGGCCCCTGCCATTCGGGATTCTGTTCCAGGCCTTGTTCAGCAAACGTTTCTCTGGCCCACGCGGCGTAGCCGCGCAAAATTTCGCATAACGGTAGACAATTGAATAGCGGATCGTCTGGCATCAAAAATTTTAATGTGCCCTGTAAGGTCACTGACCTATGGCGGGTCAAAGCCAAACCATAGTTTCAGCGAAGGCAATTTCTAGGGATTCGTCCAATCTGATCCAACAAAGGAGTGTTAAACGAAGCCATACATCTCTGAGAGCCTTTTTAGGCAAAACAACAACTAAATGAGCAAATCGTATTAACCCAAGGTCAGGTATGAGGGTCAGACTAAGGTCAAGACCAATCTGTTTTATTACGCTAGGGTTTGTTGTATAGGATAGTTTTTGGTGCTCATTTTGAATTTATTGATAGCAGGAAGCGCGTTATACATCTTCCATGGACTTCTTAAAGGTCAGGACCTAAAATGACCCAGGTCAACATTTTGTTTTTAGGAACATACTGCCTAGCGTAATCTTTGTCGCTATTCAAATGCAAAGCCCAGAGTAGTCTTGTATGATTTTGGTCACCATGACCTTTAGAAGTTCAAACAAGCTCACTAACCTTAAATGATAGTGGGACCTTTTACTTCGAAACAGTTATCTAGGTTCTGGGGGCACTTTGGAGACCAACCTGGAATTTGACCTTGTTTGACCTTGTTTGGCCAGAAGGTCATGATCTAGGAACCTAAAACTTTGACCTAGGTGAGTTCACGTACATGTCAAGATGCCCTGTGAATTTCGTGCTTCTAGCCCCCTTAGTCCCCGAGATCGCAGGGGGGTCAAATTGCCCCCTTCCCCAACCGAGCGAATGCATGTATGCAGCCGGCTCCCGGGCGCGTGTTAGGCACCGTCCGTTCCTAATCAACAAATGCACCCCCATTGTTTCAGGACCCCAAACTCCCGACCAATGCTAATCGTGGGTCCTGGCCTTATCCGCGCTTCGAAAATGTGCTCCCAAGGCTCAAACCGATACGGAGCAGACTGTGCGGTATTAGTGACCTCTGGCCGAAATAGAGGCTCTCCGAGTCTCAGGAGTCTTGAATCGATGCAAGAGGCACTCTGACTAACATTTGAGGGCCTGTCCCTGTGGGCCAGGGTCCTTAATGTGACCTACAGATAGCCCTCCGTGTCCTTCAATTAGTCATTTGATCGTCTGCTCCGAAAGTCCCTTCGGGCTCCTCTGCGTTTCCCTCCAACCCTGCCCAGACCGAATCTGGGTCCCTTGCAAATACAAAGCCCTCGTAAGGCGGTGAGGTGCCCTGGCCGACAAAGGGGACCCTCCTCGGCTCAGTGGCCCTGGTCTATCAAAATCGTGGTCTCCGGCCCTGTTTCTGTTGAGAAATGGGCCCTCAGTGCCAGACTAGACGCTGTATTAATCTGGTGGCGAGTCCGTCGCGTGTCACGGTCGTTAAACCTCCACCACATTACATGTTTACACAGGGACGTGTTTCACAACATGGGATTGGGGGTGGGAGAGGGCTGAGCGGGCAACAACTAGCCCCCCAATGCACTTAAAACAGCTTTCTCCCTGTTCTGGTACGTTTCCCCACTCTGTCTCGGCGGAAGATGCTGTCATGAGGCATCGTAGTCATTTTGTTTGGTATCAATCGTCGAGACCAGCTCGAGAAGCAACAGGTCGATGTCCTGTTGCTTCATACTTTGTTGGACGGGTATGACTTCGAGAGAAAGGAGTCTTAGTTAATGTGTGCAACCGTTAAAGGCTACCGTGTAAACCAGCTACCAGCTACAAGCCGTCTTGCAGCTCCGGCTGGTAGCTGCAAGGCGGGGTGTAGATAGCAACGCGGCACTCATGTTAGACATGTTCGACACGGCTGGCGTTATTTTGGTGAGCCTTGTCAGCCGATTGCCACTACCAGTGTAGCCGGCTGGTGTCGATCGTCAGGCTTTTGTAACCACAGCTGTTCCATAAAATATCACCAAGTGAAGACCAGCACATTTCAAGGAGTCTTCCAAACGTAGACGGCAAATAAATTGGTCAAGTTTTTGGGTGTTGATATTTACTGGCTTGTTTTGAGTTTCCAATAAGACGCCGCGGCAAACTAATGCAGCTTGCTGCGGTCTGTAAAACCTGAAACATCGCTGAATGATGCTAACTCACTCAAGCAATGACGCAAAACTAGGTCAGAGTCAATGAAGCACGCTAATATTGTAATTAAAAACATGCAGGACACAGGAAGAGCAGAAGATGCTCAACAAAACAGCACGAATATGAAGCTATTTAAGTGTGACTAGCTCAGGCAGCTACACTCAGCTGGATATGAAATATTATGCTGCACTTTCTCTTCCCTTTGGCTTTTAAAACGATCAGCAGAAACCTGTAAAATTTATGTAACTTAGAGCTCCCATTTTCAATGTCTTGCTAGCACTTAGGCTCCAGAAGGTGGGGGCCAAAAACACGGTTGGGGGATGAATTGGGCAAGTGACCCACCCAAAATTATTAGTAGATTAGGGGAAAGCGACCCACCCAAAAGAAAACAGACCGACACCCATGATTACATGGATGCTTAAGCTGCAAACAGCTCGCATTATGCTTTCCCATTAGTTTATGGCAGCAGTTTAGTACACGCATCCTCCAGCCATCCAGCCCTCGTTGCTTATCTGTGTTGCGTTTCGCGATAAGCTCAGCGGCTTCTGGCGTGTTGGGGACTGCGCCCTTGGCGGGGATTCCGTAGGGTGATGAGCCTTAACATGTTAGTCGCGGTAGATCGGTAGGGCTGCCCCAGATTAAAAACTGCATGATAGTACATTATCGTTCCACGGGCGAGGTGTGTATTAGTAATGCTCGATGACAAGTGGTATGGACCGTCGTGCTGACATGGTCCAACAACAAATGGTGAGTTCGGAATGTTGATGTTAACGGCCACAGGGCAGGTGAATACACTGTGAAGGCTTGCGTGCTTTCGCTTGCATGCAAGCATTTTTTCATGTTTCTTTGGTGGACATTTTGTACATTCAAGGAGAGAAGTCCCATGTTGATGTGACCTTTGTTGTGAACTGTAAAAGTTGTAGCTTGCTGCAGTCGTAAAAAGTTGTAGCAAGCAGATTGCCTGGTCATCACAACCAGCTGATAGGCCCAGAGGTACCAGTGTTGCTGACCATGCCTGTATGAGGGTGCCTTTCATGTATGGTATCATGCTTAATGTACTGGCAGAAGAACCAGCACATTTTCAGTGTTATGCTCAGTCATCTTGAAGGGTTATAGCACAGATCTGCTTGTGCCTTCTGTGATTTGATGATTTTTTCCATGATGATATTTCCATCATACAATTTAGTAAAAAACTGATTCTATTTTGCTCAATTGACCATTTGTGCTATTTTACAATATGCTCTTGCATAAAGGAATGAAACATTTCATGCTATATTCATATTATTTGGATTTGTGCTTGCTCATCTGCCACATACATCTCTATTGACTTTTCATTGGTGTAATATGCAGGACATTTTCATGTTGTTTTGACATGATTTATCTGTTCTGCTACTATCTTCCTAAGATATGCATTATGTTTATGAGTTACATTATTTTAACTTGATGTACTTGGGATGATCAGAATGCACTTGATGCATCAGGCTATATGTATTCTTTAATGCAGGGTTTATGGGGATGACTACAGGGCATGTGTAGGAGAAATGATGCTACATGTATGTTCAATGTGATCAATGTAAGTAAACATGGTACATTTCAATTGCAAATGTCACTGCTTAGATATCATCTATTGTTCCATTGAAACAGCATCAGAAATCTCCATAGCAGAACTTATAAGAAAAAATTGTTTGAGGAAATCCATGACACCTACCTCAATAAAACATCACCAACCCTGTTGAGAAGAAATTAAGTTATGAGCCTATCAAAATAGTCTGACCGTTTTTGATTATCCTAGATCAAGAAGGAACCTCTCATTACAACAAGTAACTTCAGCTAGGCTAATCATGAACTCCTACAGTATTCCTACTGTGCTCTTTAACTTACAGGACCCAAAGGTTATATAATGACGTTGCAATTTTCTCAATGATCTTCCCTTCAACCTTGAAGTGCAGTTTCTGTATGCCCATGTCACCACCCAGCTCAGAAACAGTGTTATGTCCCTCCACAGAAAGCCCTGCTGGCAGACTAAGGTGACCACCCATCACCTACCCTCCCCTGCCCCTCCCTGCGGGCAAGCGCATGACTGCGCCCATCCTCCAGATGGCCGGTAATTTCCTGGAGCACCACGAGCTCCAGAGGACCAACATGCACATGAAGCACCTGGAGCTGGCCTCGCAGGCCCAGTGGCAGGACGCGCTGCCCGACGTCCTGCCGGGGAGCATCGACCCATTCAGCGACGACGGCTGGGACAACGCCGATCCGGACGTGCACATTGAGTGCCTCATGCCCAACGGCATCGTGGTGCCACTTGACGTCCCCAAGGACGAGACGCTGGAGGACATCAAGGAGGTGGGATTGGCTGAAAGATGTGGCTGTCAGCTTTGGGAGGGTGTGTGCGCGCTGGTAAGCATGTGCAGTTCAACATACAGAAGGGATGGTTTCATCATATCTGGCCTGTGCTGATGCTGCTGCTAAGATAGATGAATTTATGCACCACAACTGTTGTCTGTATTATTTGATTTTGGATAGAACGAGCAGAGCATGAATGTCTAGTTGTGTCATATTTGGTGACATGAGGGGTCAAACCTCTGCCTCGCAACTTGAGGGGCTCCTGGTTCACGCAACAAGCACTGCGCAGCGTGGGCGCTGATCCCAAAAATCCGTGCCAATCAAATCTTGCGGACTACATCTTTGAAAATGAGTTAACTCAATTTCTGTGGGAGAATTGGTTGCCCCAGGAATGTAGCTATCTTGTTTGTCTTTCCTGCTCTCAATCATTAATGCGCTTCTTATAGCTTGGTTTGAACTCTGAAATCCACGGGTGGCATTTTAGCCAGCTGCCACTAATCTGTGCCGCTTTCTGTTCAAGGGCAAGAATTCAGAAGATACACAGTCTGCCTCCTTATGTATTATTTCACCGTATTGTCACGATATTTTCTGTTCACCCGGAAGTTGTATGACCATTGACATGACAACTTGTGGTTGAAATGGTCTTAGAAATGTCTTAGGTCAATATGCCAATTCATCCTTTGATTGTATTTGAAAACCGTGCAAACCCATAGCGCATGCTGTGGTGCAACAAAAAGTCTGCTGATGTGGAGGGGGGCAATGGTGCCATAGCGCCGTGGCCACTAAAAACGGTGAAAAAACATTTTGTGACCCTCGTGGCAACGGCCACCGCTTGAAACGTTGACTTTACAATGAAACCAATGTTCGCTTAGTAATGTCGTTCAACTAGTATCTCTTGATATATGGGTTGTCATATATATGTCGTATGTTGGCTTGATATTGTGATTGGTAGCATAAGAATTGCGTACTCTTGGCAGTGAAAAATTGCGCTAGTCAGTGTATTTGTCCCACTATTTGCATATAATTTGTATCGCTTTTACCGTCAGTGATGCTATCTTTTCACCTTATTATCAGCAACTTTGGTAGTGAGACAAATTTGAAAAAATGCGATCTATACAACTGACCCTTGCGTCAGGCCCTGCATCCATTTTTCAGATGTCAGCTGTCCCGTGTGCCGACAGAAGCTGTGGGAGGGCCGGCTGCTGCTGCCTGACACGTCTCAACCCACGGCGCCGTCCTCCGTGCGCGCCGTCTGACGCGTGTGTGTGTGTCTCGTGCGCCGACAGAAGCTGTGGGAGCGCCAGCTGCTGCTGCCTGACATGTCTCAGCCCACGGCGCCGTCCTCCGTGCCCGCCGTCTGACGCGTCTGTGTGCGTGTCTCGTGCGTCAACAGAAGCTGTGGGAGAGCCGGTTCCCGCTGCGCGGCACGCTGCGGGACATGTCGCAGTACGTGTTCCAGTGCGTGACGCCGCAGGCGGAGGCCATCGAGCTGCTGGACGAGAGCTGTTCCCTGCTGAGCGTGCGGCCCGTGTTCCGCGTGCTGCGCGTCATCGAGCGCGAGGGCGACAAGCACGAGAAGCTGCGCATGTCACAGATCGGCAATCTCATCGGCAAAAGTAAGCACCAGGGTGCAGTCGCTGTGTTGATTTTTTTAAGGCTGCTGTGTTATTTGGCTATGCGATCAGGGTCTTGGGTTTGAGACGCCTCAACTCACGGTGGGCTTGCGTGTCTGATGAGGCCTCAGTGGGGTCATCTAAGCTCACCTGCGTCGAAAGACGGTACTGCCGTGGGAGACGTTGAGACGTTGAAGACGTCGCGCCCCTCGTACCTATTTGCGCCGCTGCTGCTTCTCATCCAGCCTCCCGCCTTCACTCTCGCCTCCTGGGGGGGGGGGGGGGGGGAAGGGGGGGACCCCTGAGGCGGTTTCGCCCCTCCGTGCCGGCCGTCGTGAACCGGTGTGCCGCTGACACCAGTCTCCTGCCCAGATCTGCACGACTTCGAGTCGCTGAACAACAGCGCCGAGGTGAACGAGTTTCGCAGCCAGATGCGGGAGCTGTGCACGGGTGTCGCCAGGGGCATGGAGTCGTACACGTGGGAGCAGCGCATGCAGTACAGGTGCGTGCCGCTACAGCAGTGGAGCGCCCGGCTTGTGACGCTTGTGGCGTGCCCGTGGACAATTCCAAGCCGATGTCGGCTTTGACGTTGGTCAGCAGCCGCCTTCGACCGAGCGCGAACTGACTATGGTGTTTGGGTGTGCCAGACACGCGGTGAGCTGTGCTGGACCTGGCCCAGCGGGCTTGCAGGGGCCGCCTGATGCACCGATCACCGGAGAGTCCAGCTGCGCGTGTCGCACGCGCCGTTCGTCAGCTCGGGTTTGGTTCTTAGACGCGGTGTACTGCGCCGCGTCTCCTTTCCTCCCCGCCCCCCCCCCCCCCCACCCCCCTCCTCACGCCTGTCTTCGTCCGCCGGAATCTGACTGTGGAGCGGGGATGAGCAGAACACGTTGTCGTCGTTGGCAGTCGGTGATGGCTGTGAGTGTCTGCGGACCGTCTGTCTGGCCGCTCCGCGGAGCGCGGCTGTTCGGCTGACCGTGCCGCCTCCCCGGACAGCTATCCGTGCGCCGTGTCGCGACAGCCGGAGGTGCCCCAGCTGCTGCTGAGCAAGCTGCCCCCCGATGGCAAGATGCCGGTGGTGCTGGAGCCGCGGCTGTCGACCGAGCACCAGGTAGGGAGGCGGCGCCGGCGCCAGCTCCGGCTCCGGCTCCGGCTCCGGCTCCGACTCCGGCTCCGGATCCGGCTCCGACTCCGGCTCAGGCTCCGGCTCCGGCTCCGGCTCCGGCTCCGGATCCGGATCCGGATCCGGCTCCGGTCGGGGCCGAGGCCCGCCCGGCCGGAGTGCGGCGCCCCCGACTGGGCCCTGCGAGGTGGCGGGCATGCAAGGGAGCGTGTGTGGAGCTCTGTGTGCAAGGCCGGTCCCTCCGCACCCGGCGTCCTCGGCTGGACTCGGCCGCTCACGCCTCAACGTGGTGTTAGTAAACGCGCACGTCCAGGACGGAAGGCCAGTTAACGAGCTGACTATGAAGGCGGGTGATCAGGTGCTACGCTGCCAACACAGTTCATAGCACGACGCCGTCATATCGCCCGTGTGGACTCACCCGTCGTCGTCTCACCCGTGTGAACTGCCTCCCCCCCCCCCTCAAACGCCACCCGCTAGACGGCGCCCCCGGTACCGGCGGCCGTTGACCTCTGACCGCGCTCGGCGTGCCCGCAGGCCGGCTACGTGGGCACGACCTTCCGCGTGGCGCCCACCATGACCACCCAGGATCTGGTGCGTCTCATGCTGATGAAGATGATGCGCAACAGCCAGGTGGCGCCGGCCGGGCCGCCCAGCGACTACACGCTCAAGGTGCTGGGCCGCCAGCAGTACCTGATCGGAGACCTGGCGCTGTGGCGGTTCGCGCCCACCCAGGAGGCGCTGTGTCGGGGCGTCCGACTCCGTCTGTTGCTCGTGGAGAACAGCAGCATACCACTGCCTGGTGAGCACGGCCTCGCTGCGGTGGCTGGGGCCGGGCAGGACAGGGCGGGGCAGGGCAGGGCAGGGCAGGGCAGGGCAGGGCAGGACAGGACAGGACAGGACAGGACAGGACAGGACAGGACAGGACAGGACAAGACGAGGCAGGGAAGGACAGGATAGAACAGGACAGGACACGACACGACACGACAGGACAGGACAGGACAGGACAGGACAGGACAGGACAGGACAGGACAGGACAGGACAGGACAGGACAACAGGACAGGACAGGGCAAGGCAGGGCAGGGCAGGGCAGGGCAGGGCAGGGCAGGGCAGTGATCGGCAGCGTTAGGAATGGGAAGGCCTTTCGTTTCACCTCTCTGCGAGACTTGTCTGTATAAACTGACGCCCTTGCGGTTGGCGGCCGCCGGACCTGCGGGATGCGCGGGACGGGACGATGATGATGATGGGATGGGGTGGGATGAGATAGGATGGGACGATGCGCGGGATGGAACGGACACCTGAGCTGCCGGTGGCCCCGGCCGTGTCCTCGGGTGCGGGACCCAGCCAGGGCTGTGGTGACCGGGAGGCGGCAGCGCCGGGTGCCCACGCTGAATGCGAGCGAGAGGACGTGCGCCGGCTGGCAGCCGCGCCCGGCTGACGGCGGCCGTGCGTGTGCCGCAGACTGGGAGCCGCTTGTGCCGAACCAGCAGGCGGGGCCGGACCTGCCGCGCGCCGCCTCCGCCGGCACGCTGCTGCGCCGCCGGCCGCCGCGTGCCCTCAGCAGCTGGGACATCACTCAGGACTTCAGCATGACCGTGCGCTCGGTGGCCAACCTGCCGGCCGCCGCCGCCGCCGGCGTGGCGTACGAGGTGCGGCGCGTGCTGGGGCCAACGTCGGCCGTGCACAACTCAGCGCTGTGCTGAGGGTCCGGCGCCGCCGAAGGTTCACATTCACTGTGTGCAGAGCATTTGTACAGGTGGCACTGGGATTAGGGATCCGCCTCACTGTACATGCACTATGGGTGAATATGGCGCCCCAAGAATCGTATGCGTGGGTTTTCTTGTATTCGTGCATTAAGGGGGCTTCAAGTTTTTCTGTATCGTGGATTGGCATTTCTTAACATGGACATGGGTGTGACGCGTCTCTCAATTGAAGAACAAATCAGGGTTGGGGGAGGGGAGGGAGCAGTCATACTGGGCTCAGATGCTAGCCTGACTTGGAAATGACGTTTGTGAGAAGAAAAAGCAAACATGCGCGTTGTACGTGGGAACTGGGTGTTGGGGGAGGGACACCCAATTCCATGTAGGAGAATTGCGCAAGAGACTCTTCTTACTCCTTTGTTAGTTATACCCATCCACGGACATGGAAGCACGGCATGCAATGCGTCCTTGACACTGACATCGCAAAGCGAGCTTTTTAGAAGACCAACCTAATGCATCATCGTACAAGTGACCGAGCTGCGTCGTCTCACGCCCGGTTGTGCCGGGCGCTCCGTCGTCCGTCGACGCGCGCGCCGCCGCTCGGCCCGGCCGCACGCCGACCCTGCCGACCTCTGACCCCCCCCCCCCCCCCCGCCGCCGCCGTGGCAGATCGGTCTGGTCGCGGCGCTGTTCTGCGGCGGCAAGCAGCTGTGCGAGTCGCAGAGCGTGAATCGGCTGGCGGCGCCGTCGGACGGGTCGGTGCTCATCATGGAGCAGCACCTGCAGTTCGAGGTGCAGGTGCGCGACCTGCCGCGCATGACGCGGCTCTCGCTGGCCATCTTCGACACGGCGCGCGCCCGGCAGCCGCACGGCGGACGCTCCGGGCGCCAGGACAACGGCGGCAGGGTGAGGCGCGCCGCTCTGGCGGACGAGGCGCGGCGCGGCGCCCGCCTGCGTGCGTGCGTGCGTGCGTGCGTGCGTGCGTGCGTGCGTGCGTGCGTGCGTGCGTGCGTGTGTGTGTGTGTGTGTGTGTGTGTGTGTGTGTGTGTGTGTGTGTGTGTGTGTGTGTGTGTGTGTGTGTGTGTGTGTGTGTGTGTGCGTGCGCGCGCGTGCGTGCGCGCGCGTGCGTGCGTGCGTGCGTGCGTGCGTGCGTATGTGTGTGCTGAGCCAGATCGCGGCCGATGGTGACTGTTGAACTCTTCGGTGGCGGATGCCCTGCCCCCGCAGTGCCGGCTCGGGTCCCTGGTGACTTCCGTTTTGTTGGCCGCCGTCGGCAGGCATTTGGCGGCCCGGGCTCGGTCCGGGGCGCGGCTGGGGTTCGAACCCGGGCCCGCCTGCGGACTCCAGTGCGTCGCCGCGGAAGCCGCCTTCCCACCTGAGCAGTGGTGGGAGGGCGGCTTCGTGCGCACTGCCGGCGCCGCGCCCGCGCCCCTGCCACGCCTGACGACCTCTGCTCCCTCTCGGTCGGCCAGTACTACAAGTACCTGGGCTGGGTGAACACGCCCGTGTACGACTACCGCGGCCAGCTTCGCTCGGGCGACGTCACGCTCTACCTGTGGCCGTACCAGGAGCAGTCGGCGGCCGTCGACGAGCCGCTGCAGCCGTTGGCCACGGCCGTCGCCAACCCAGACCGCTCCGACGCCATCCAGATCAGCGTCTGCTTCGCCAGGTGTGACGGCTGGGACGGGCGGGCCGTGATGTCGTGATGTGACGGCCGGGACGGTCGTGGTGTGACGGCTGGGACGGGCGGGCCGTGATGTCGTGATGTGACGGCTGAGACGGGCGGGCCGTGACGGTCGTGATGTGACGGCTGAGACGGGTGGGCCGGAACGGTCGTGATGTGACGGCTGAGACGGGCGGGCCGGAACGGTCGTGATGTGACGGCTGAGACGGGCGGGCGGTGACGGTCGTGATGTGACGGCTGAGACGGGTGGGCCGGAACGGTCGTGATGTGACGGCTGAGACGGGCGGGCCGTGACGGTCGTGATGTGACGGCTGAGACGGGTGGGCGGTGACGGTCGCGATGTGACGGCTGAGACGGGCGGGCCGTGACGGTCGTGATGTGACGGCTGGGACGGGCGGGCCGTGATGTCGTGATGTGACGGCTGGGACGGGTGGGCCGTGACGGTCGTGATGTGACGGCTGAGACGGATGGGTCGGAACGGTCGTGATGTGACGGCTGAGACGGGCGGGCGGTGACGGTCGCGATGTGACGGCTGAGACGGGCGGGCCGTGACGGTCGTGATGTGACGGCTGGGACGGACGGGCCGTGATGTCGTGATGTGACGGCTGGGACGGGCGGGCCGTGACGGTCGTGATGTGACGGCTGAGACGGGTGGGCCGGAACGGTCGTGATGTGACGGCTGAGACGGGCGGGCGGTGACGGTCACGATGTGACGGCTGAGACGGGCGGGCCGTGACGGTCGTGATGCGACGGCTGGGACGGGCGGGCCGTGACGGTCATGGTGTGACGGCCGGGACTTGCGAGCCGTCACAGTCCTGACGTGCCCCCTGACCTTGCACGGCGGACCGTTCCGGGCCGGCGTCCTGCCGGGCGCGGCCGGAGGCGTCTGACGCTCGGCCTCCTTGCCGCAGTTACTGCAAGCCCCACGGCGTGGTGCTCTACCCGCCGGTGGAGAACATGCAGCTTTACGTGGACAGGGCGGCCATGGACGGCCCGGCCGGCACCGACAGCCACACCGACCTGAACTTCTTCGGCAGGGGCAACGTGAGCATGGCCGGAAGCCCCGCGGCTGGCGTGGCTCTGTCCACTCCACGCGCATGTGTCTGAGGCTGGTGCTGGCCACGAAATGGTGACAGATGCCAGCGTGTCATAGATAATCATCAGTAATGGCACCATCATTGTTGCTGGTGCCATTGTCATCAGGAGCATCTGCAACAGCGTTGTCGTTTGATGGCAGTGTTCTAGCGCTGCTCTGTGTCATCTTGGTGCCCGGGTAGCTGAAAGTTAGATGCTATATGAAAATGTGGAATGATTTATCTTTTCTTGAGTACAAGGTGTGTTGTAAACAAAACGCTACAACCATGACTGGCATGGGGCAAACGGAACAGAGTCGGCGCATTGTGTCCAACGCGGACCTACCATCTTCCGTCCTACTCACCAGCCGAGGTCCTGCACAGCGGCCGGGGCCCTCCACAGCGACCGGGGCGCTCCACAGCGGCCGGGGCCTCCCACAGCGGTCGAGGCCCTTCACGGCGGCCGAGGCCCTTCACAGCGGCCGAGGCCCTGCACAGCGGCCGAGGCCCTTCACAGCGGCCGAGGCCCTCTTCAGTGGCTGAGGCCCTCCCAGCGGCCGGGGCCCTCCACAGCGGCTGGAGCCCGCTCCGTTTGAGTCCGTCTCTCTGCTGTCCCTCAGACAGAGCAGGTGAAGCAGGGCTTGGCGGCGGCGTTCGAAAGCAACATGCGGGCGCTGGACCTGACGGACCACGACAAGAAGGTGCTCTGGTCACTGCGCCACCAGTGCCACGTCAGCCACCCGAACGCGCTGCCCAAGCTGCTGCAGTGTGTCGACTGGTCCAGTCACCTAGAGGTCAGCTGGGGCTGTGGTGTGTGTGGGGGGGGGGGAGGGGTGGGAGGGGAGGGGACTTTTGACCGCCGCCGACCTCCCCTCGCCAGGAGACCTACCGAGGCGGGAGAGAGCACGGAGGGCCTTCCGCGCGGGATGCGCCGCCATGGGGCACCGATAGTGTGGTGGTTAAACTGCGCGTCTGGAAAACCAGAAGTACTGGTTCGATTCCCCGCAGTGCCCGCCCCTCGTGCTAGGGAGGAGACCTACCTAGGCGGGAGAGAGCGCGGGGGGTGGTCCGCGCAGGACGCGCCGCCATGGGGTGGTTAAGCTGCGTGTCTGGGAAACCAGAAGTACGGGTTCGATTCCCCGCGGTGCCCGCTCCCCCTGCTAGGGTGGGAGGCAGGCGACGCCATGTGGCCTGAGCAACTGAGCGCATTGTAAAGCTCCAGTCACGCACAGCATGCGGTGCGCGGTCGTGCGTCACGCGTCGCGTCCGGGTTAGACGACGTCGCGGTGTGAAAGAGCGGTTTGGTCAGTGTCAGGCTTGAGTGCGACCTTCGCACCAGGCGTGGATGATCCTTCCAAGCGACCGGTGGGATAACGGCCAGACAGGCGACCGTGCCGGCGCGGGCGCACGGGACCGGGCCATGTCCGGTGCTTGGGTCACCGCCTGAAGTCCCGGTCCGGTCCTGACCTGGGCTGCCGCCGCCAGGTGGCGGAGATGACGCTCCTGCTGGAGAGCTGGCAGCCGCTGGCGCCGGACAAGTCGCTGGCGCTGCTGGACGTCAACATCGCGGACCCCACCGTGCGGCAGTTCGCCGTCCGCTGTCTGGAGATGGCCAGGTACGCCCTCTCCCCAGCCGACGCGTCAGTGGTCAGGGATGATGCCCCCCCCCCCCCTCCGCCTGAAGACACTGCTCTGCCGTCCAAAGGCAGAAAGGCCCAAGAGGCATTAGTTAATACCGCACTTAAGCCTGTTTGCCTTTGGACAGCAGGCCTGTCAGCGGTGTGGCGGACTGCCCGCGAACGGTCCGCTCGTTGTGGGGGCCGCGTCAGACAGAGCCGCGGGAGCGGCCGGCGGCGGTGGTGCCCGCGGCCGGCGGCGACGGTGACCCTGCGCCGTGCCGGCAGTGACGAGGAGCTGCAGCTGTACCTGCTACAGCTGGTGCAGGCGCTCAACCACGAGAACTACCTGTTCTCGAAGCTGGCCGAGTTCCTGCTGACCAGGGCCGTCCGGAGCCGAGCCATCGGACACTGGCTGTTCTGGCACCTCAGGTACGGCCGTGCCATCGGACACGGGCTGTTGTGGCACCTCAGGTACGCCCGTGCCATCGGACACTGGCTGTGCTGGCACCTCAGGTACGGTCGTGCCATCGGACACTGGCTGTTCTGGCACCTCAGGTACGGCTGTGCCATCGGACACGGGCTGTTCTGGCACCTCAGGTACGGCCGTGCCATCGGACACGGGCTGTTCTGGCACCTCAGGTACGGCCGTGCCATCAGAGACTGGCTGTTTTGGTGCCTCAATGTATGCCTGCCATCCGACACTGTCTTGGCGCCTGAGGCTTAGCATTATGCTGGATGGTGTACAGATTTCGGGTTTTTATTGCATGAAGTCCTTACCTTGCAAGCTGTGTGTGTGTCTGGGCCAGATTGTCACCCTGTTGCGCCGGCGCTCTGGGCCGTTGCTGCCAGCCAGCAGGCCCTGCGCCGGAGCCGGCTGGCCCGGTCCGCCGCCGCCGCCGCTGACCGTCGGCGTCGGTCGGCAGGGCTGAGATGGACGTGCCCGCGGTGCGGGTGCGCAACGCCCTGCTGCTGGAGGCGTACTGCCGCGCCGCGCCCCGGCACATGCTCACCCTCACGCGCCAGCTGGAGGCGCTCAAAGCTCTCACAGGTAACGGCCGGCTGTCGCCAGACGCGTCGTGGCCGCGCGTGCCGGCTGGTGGACGCGCTCGGTGGAGTTTGGTCTGTGAAAGCGCGCGGTGTCGGCATGCTCCAGCGATCCCCCGCGCGGAGGTCGTGATCAGCTGAGCAGAGCGTTGTGCGCGGGGTTTGCTCTGTTCTGTCTGCAGTGAAATGGCATGCATGCCCTGGTGCGGCTAACTGTTTTGGATCGTCTCGGCTGTTTCAATGAAACATTTGGGTGAGCTTAGTCACGCAGCGTACGACATTAGGTGTCATGTAGGGGATACATTGCCGCTGATGCGACCCCATGCGTAAGTCAGCAGCTTGCTCCGGTCGACGTGAATTTGTGCAGTCTAAGTAACTGCCGCGTCCGCTCGATCGGACATGACCGGCGTTTTCAATTGGAGCACTCGAACCGTTGCCCTGGGGAGCACCATGTAACAGCGTCGTCGTGTTGCATCCCAAATGTTATTGTTAAATGTGTTTTTTTTCGTGAAAAAAGGAAAAGACTGCGTGCTGTCCCGAGTAGTTATATGAATTGGCTGGATTTGTGCGGTCACGTGACACTAATGATATGGCGGCATGCCTTTTCGAGGGAAATGAAACAACCCAATAAGGAATTTGTATTTTATCGCGCTCAGCTACTAGTGCGGCATTTTAATTTCGAATCTGACGCAAGTGAAGGACAAGCGTGTGCTTCGGCTGTACACATTTTGCACGCAGGATTCCCCTGTGCTGAAGCATACTGACACGCTGGTGCTAACTGTCACCCGCAGATCTCAGTGTGAAGGTACAGGAGCAGCGCGCGTCAGGCGTCGACAAAGAGAAGATCAAGGAGTCGATCAAGGAGCGCATCAAGACCACGTCCGTGCAGAACAAGCTGGTCGACTTCAGCAACCCGCTGGACCAGACGGCCGTGTGCAAAAAGCTGCGGTCAGTGGCGCGTCTCCGCCGGCGGTTGGGCTCGGACCGGCGTCGGCCGGCGTCGTGGCGTGCCGGCGAGCCGCGCGCGCCGCAGCTGCGTCGGCGGGCGCCGTGGCGTGCCGGCGAGCCGCGCGCCGCAGCTGCGTCGGCGGGCGCCGTGGTGTGCCGGCGAGCCGCGCGCGCCGCAGCTGCGTCGGCGGCGGGCCCGAACGCCGGCCGGCCGGGCGCACCGCTGACAATGGCGTCCGGCTGTGGTCGGAGGGCTTGGCGTGGGGCTTGTCCAGTCGTAGGTGGGGCCTGTCGGTGGAGGGCGTGCTGCCGGGGGCAGCTGTGGGCGGTGTCGCCGCCTGGCGCCTGACCTCGTGCCGCTTTGACGCCGGCCGCTGTGAGACAGCGCCGCGCGCCTTCCTCCGGGCGGCTGTGGCGGCCCCTGTGCGGCGCCGTGACCGCGCCGGCTCACCGCCGCTGGTGCGCCGCAGGCTGGAGACGTTCACCTACTTCGAGAGCAAGATGACGCCGTTCCGCCTGATCTTCGAGAGCGTGGACGAGGGCGGCGACCCGATCAACCTCATCTTCAAGTCGGGCGACGACCTGCGCCAGGACATGCTGACGCTGCAGACGATCCGCATCATCGACAAGCTGTGGAAGGATGAGGGTTACGATCTCAGGTGAGCCCCGGTGGCGGTCTGCGGCGACGGCGGCGGCTGCTGGCTCGGAGTCGGCTGGCCCACTCCGACGCTGCCGACACTGTCGGCCAGTGCGGCGGTGCGTCTGGAAGTAGCCGGAAAAAGCATCGGAGGGTGCGTCACGAAGCTGCTGGCAGCCGGTAGGCGGGATGTTATCAGAGAGAGAGAGTCCTTCGCTTGCGGCTGCTTGCCGGAAGGGAGCAGTGTACCTGACCGGTTGTCAGGACGATTCATCATTGCGTTGTCACATTGTCCTGCCCGCCACCAGAGTGTCTCCTCACCGCGATGTCACATCGTGTAACCTGTCGCCGTAGCGGCCCGCCGCCAAGTGTGACCACCTGCTGACCTGCCGCCGACCTGTCTCCTGCCACGGGCCGCGCCCGCCCCGCCCACCGCCGGTCCTGGCCCGGGTCCGTCTCGCGGACCGTTCGCCACGCGCTGCCCCGCCTTGAGACCTGTCGCGACGTCCCCGCCCCCTCCCGCAGGCTGAACGCCTACGGCTGCATCGCCACGGGGCCGCGCGTCGGCATGATCGAGCTGGTGCAGGACGCCAAGACGGTGGCCAACATCCACAAGGAGAAGGGCATGTTCAAGCCGACGGCGGCCTTCCGGCGCGACACCATCTTCAAGTGGCTGCGCGACTGCAACCGCTCGGAGGAGGAGCTGCGGCGCGCCGTGCGCGAGTTCAGCCTGAGCTGCGCCGGCTACAGCGTCATCACGTTCGTGCTCGGCATCGCCGACCGCCACTCGGACAACATGATGGTCAAGGAGAACGGCCAGGTGGGTGGCCGGGCGGCGGGATGGGGTGGTGGTGAGGGTGGTGGGCGGGACGTCGAGTTTCTGGTTCTCTCCGTGGTATGATCGCTGGAATGGGTCGCCAACGTCGAATGAGTGGAATGGGCCAACCGTTGTCTGTATTGCCAGCAAACTATGTGTGTGGTGAGAAGGTCGTTGTGTGCAGAGCCATCACCATGGAAGGTGTCTTTTTTTATTCACGCACGCTGGTTGTCCTTCCCTAATGAAATAGCTCGCTCGCATCGGATAGCGAAGTATCGTGGCAAACGTCGGCCAAAGTTCGGCGCCGCTCCTCACCGCGTCGTTTTCGCCGCAGCTTCTGCACATCGACTTCGGCCACATCCTGGGCCACTTCAAGAAGAAGTTCGGCATCCGGCGGGAGCGCGTGCCGTTCGTGCTGACGTCCGACTTCGTTTACGTCATCACCGGCGGCGACAAGCCCGACGACAGCCTGTTCGAGGAGTTTCGGCGCAACTGCGAGCAGGTAGGCCGGCGGCTCGTCGCCCCCGGCAGTCACTAGTCTTCCCCGGCCGCCGCTCCCCCCCCCCCTCCCCCCCCCCCCCCCGGCCGCCGCTCGTCATCCCGAGAGATAATCGATTTGTTGGGAGCGGTGGCGGAGCCGCCGTCCTCCACGTCAGCTGACGACCCCCGTGTGTGGACACGTGCTGGCGGGACTGCCGTCTCTGTGCTGGAGTGGGTGTGGCCGGCAGCCGCGATGGCGGGGGTCCTCGCCACGCGCGTGTGTAGGCTGCTGGCCCAGCCAAGTGGCGTACGGTCGTGGAGACCCGCCATGTGGCGTGTTGTACCCCGGCGGACTGGCTTGGGCGTCGTCTGCCTCCGCGTGGCTGACGGTCTGCGGACGCTGCGCCAGGCGTACATGATCCTGCGGCGGCACAAGGACTTCATCATCTCCCTGTTCGGCATGATGATCTCCACCGGCCTGCCGGACGTCTCCTCGGAGCACGATATCAGCTTCCTGCAGAGCACACTGGTGAGTGCTGGGCCTGCCGCGGCCGGAGTCCCGCGCCGGCCGGAACTGACTGCGGTGTGTGGCGCGACGCGAGCCAGTCGACATCTCGTGAGTTGTGCCGGCCGCCTGCGCGCTCTGTGGGGCGGCCGGGTGACCGGGCCAGGGTCAGGACGCGTCTGGCCGCTGACCGCCCCTCCCTTCCGCAGCAACTGGGCGTGTCGGAGGAAGAGGCGAGGAAGTTCTTCCGCGAGAAGTTCGACGAGGCGCTCAAGAAGTCGCTGAACGCCAGCCTAAACAACGCCATCCACGTCATGTGGACGGACAACACGGGCTAGCGGCGTCGGCCGGCGGCGCGGCGAGCTCTGGCGGTCGGCCGGCCGGCCGGCGCTCGGACGCTCCAACGGCGGCCCGGTCGAGCTCTGACGCGGCGCTGCGGTGCGCAGGGCCGCCGGAGCTGGGCGGCCCGCTGCGAGAGTGGTCACCGGTCGGTGGCCGTCGCCGGACTGCCGCCGTTCGCCTGCCGCCGCCGCCGTCGTCACCGCCGTCGGCGCTGGGTGTGGTGTGTACCAGGTGTGACAGACATGGGCTTCCCAGACTGAGCGGCTGCGGGAGGGGCGCACCGCGCCGATCAGAGCCAGTGCTTTCAGGGCGCGCCGTTCGGCCGTTGTGCCGTCTTAGCCCACGTCGTGGGCTGGCTCGTCACGTAGTAGCTGCACTCTGTGCTGATACCACGCCTGTGGTCCGTAATAATCTGTGCCTCGGTTCCCGATCCGTCCTCACGCTGGTGGGGTCGGACACCTGCAAGGTCGCAGGCCCGCCCAGGCCCTCAGAGTGCCGCGGGACCGCGGTCTCGGACGTCCGCGGGGTCCTCGGGGTCCCACGAGGGGAGCACGCACCCTTATCACGCCTGCGAGTCCCCGCACTTGGTGACAGGCCGCAGTTCCCTCAGCGCACGCCAGCGGTTCTCGAGGGGGATCGGGCGCCGTGCCCGGACCGTGCGCCCGGCCGCGCGCGCTGCCGCGCTGCCGCGCCGCCGCCTCGCGCGGGGCGGCGCTTCGTCTGCGCGCCGGCGCGGCGTTGACGCTCCCAGCTGGGCTTTCAGCGAAGCGCCGGCCGGACGGCGGCCTGATCTCCGGGCGCGTGGCCCTCGCCGCCGGGGGCGGCGGCCCCAGTCTTCGGCGCGGCCCCGGCCGTGGCGCTCGTGGCGGAGCACCCGGGCCGGTGGCCCCGGTCCTGTCCCGACGTCTCCTTGCCGTCGCCGCACTGGCATTCCTGCTAGATCTGTTGTCGTTTCATAGCCCAGGCGCCGCCGGCTCCCGGCGTCCATGGTCCGCGAGTGTTTTGCACTGCTTCCGCCTCCGGGCGGACGCGATCTGGAGCAATATGTACTGTGTGACCGAGCTGCAAATACTGCCCAAGTCAGGATTGCTGCGTCTGTCGTGTGCACGTGTGTCAAAGCCCTAGTCTTTTACACCGCGGCGAGCCTTCGAGTGCGTTGAGTCGCCGCGGTGTGCCAGTGACCGGTGGCGGGTGCCGGGTTACCAGGGTCGCTGAAGCGGCACTCCCCGGGGTCGCTGCTGGGTAACTGTGCCCGCCTACCGCTTTGACCACCGCTCTTCTTTAGCATAATGATTTTACAAATAGCGCCTAATGATTGTGAATATGGCTTTCATATACCGCCCGCGGGACTGTTGACCGCGGCCGCGGTGAGATGGTCAGATAGCGTTGATCTCTGCAAACGCCAAAGTGTGGCCGCTGTCGCCCGCGGGCATTGGCTGGACGCCGAGCCCGTGACTGGTCGGCGGTCGGTGTGACGTCACCGAGCCCTGGACTGGTCGGCGGTCGGCGTGACGTCACCGAGCCCTGGACCGGTGGTGGTCGGCGTGACGTCACCGAGCCCTGGACCGGTCAGTGGTCGGCGTGACGTCACCGAACCCTGGACCGGTCAGTGGCGTGACGTCACCGAGCCCTGGACCGGTCGGTGATCGGTGTGACGTCACGCACCGCGCCGTCGGGGATGCCTCATGACCGTTATGTACTCGTTGATTCGTCGCTTCTTGAGGCGTTTGTGCTGCCGGCGTCGCTCTGGCTGCCGCGCCGGCCGCCGGCTGCGGCTGTCTCACCGCGCCGGGCCGCCGGGCGCCCACGTCACGCCGCGCGTGCCGAGGCGGTGCCTTGCATGGGACCACATCGGGCGAGCCGGCGTCAAAAACTTCGTGGATGTGTTTTGGTGTGCCATATGCGATTACGAACGCGTGTCTGTGTTTCACGCGCGTGAGAAATGAGGCATTCTCAGTTTTGGACTGGTCAGCTGGGGGGTGCCCCCAGCGGTGATGTCGAAAGGGCCTTTAACGAGCAATGCAGTGCTGTTTTGAGCGATGGTCATTGATTCGACGCCACCTTCGCGCCGTGTTGAGAATCAACTGTTGACAAATTTGTGGTCCATCCGTCATGCAGTGCCTAGGGTGTAATTGTGTGCGGTGATTGCAGATTAGCGACTCGAGAGATTTATGCCAAGGATCTTCATTTTTCTGTCAGCACTTGAAAGCGGACACAAAAGACATGAACGGCGAATGTCTGTGATGACATCTGTGAATTGTTTGTTGAAAATACTTGCAACGCGTATGGCAAACGTCGCAGGGCCATCCACGATAGAAGCTTACCGGAAGGTCTCGAGGACCCCGTGACCGAATCACGCGGTCTTCTGAAGCCCTTCGTCACCGCTGTTCACATACCCGCTGAATGTGTACAGGTCTGCGGGAAAGAAGTTTGACGCTATTCCTTTTTACCCCACACATGCCAGATCAAACCATAGTTATTTTGTCTATCATGTGACGGCATGATTGTGATGCGTGTGTTCAGCATGAGGAGCGGCGTGTTCTTAAGACAGTTTGGACGTCTGAGCTGTCCTGCCTTTCGCGCCGGGGCGGTGCTGTGGGCCGGCTGGTCGCCGCGCCGTGTTGTACAATCAGTATATCAGTATTGTTTTGTATCCATAAACTGTGCCATCAATGCAGCCCGTGTTTGTGGAGCCTTATCCCGAACATACGAAGTTCTGTGTCCGTTTCGTTGACGTTTGGTGTAACGAGTCATTCTAGAATCACGAGGCCCGGATCTTACAGCTGTTATTAACACTCTGAGGTGGGACTTCAAACAAAGTGGGCTTACGGGGCAATGGCCTCCCGTCCAGTGCACGTCGGAAGCACACCCGACGGCTCTGGAATTCCGTTGTGGAAATGCGCTTGCGATTAGTGAGATGACCATGACTAGTGAAAACCGCCGGTGCAGAATAAGTTAGCTACCCAAGACAATTTGAACTTGGCACTTTCCGTGCCGCCATCGGTGGGATGGCTACACCAGATGCCATTGTTAGTGCACCTCTTCTGAAGGAGAGCCCAACGCTCACTTGTTCAGTTATTCGCGACGTGCTGAATTGCTGAGATTGTCCTCTTGTTCAGTCGCTTTCTAAACTACAATTGTGATAAGCAGACCGGCATTGTTCGGATGATTTTCCGCAGACAGCTGGTTTGTACCAGCCCTCCGAGCTGGGACCAATCAGGCAACAGCTGTGTTCGAGCGGCTACATTCAGGGTTACACCGTGCCTTGCCTGCGGGAGCGTTGCTTGACCAATCACCGACGACTGACGGTACAGCGCACAATTGAGACCGCTATCCGTGCGCATTACGTCGGCTCGGACGATTGTCCACGAGTCAGCTAGCTGCCACACACACACAGCCTGCCGTGTTCAATCCTGGGGATGTCGAGTACCAGGCGTTTATCATCTCGGGTGTAGAAACCTCAATCCCGAGCCAAATCGAGGAGCAAACGCGCACTGCTGAGGGAGGTCAAACCGGAACATTCTGGTTCACGCCGCAGCTGTCGGCGACGGAAGACATAGGCGGATCCTGGGGGGGGGGGGGGCACGTGGCCATGCCCCCAAAAAACAGAGTATGTTTTGGCGCCCCCCCCCCCAAAAAAAAACATTTCCAGAACTTCATAAAAGCTTCGTCTACTTACCGTCCGTTTTAACTTTAACTGTTTTACCTGTTTTGTTTTTACTTCTGTTTAAGATTCAAAAGCACTTCGGTGCTTGAATGGTGTCCCTACTAGGTACTCGCGAAAGGCACCATGCACTGAACCTCGGATCCCACACCAGCCAGCTGGCGACGAACGGTTGCCCCCCCCCCCAAAAAAAAACAACTCTATTGCTAGATCCGCCCCTGGCGGAAGATCGGGATTCCTCGTGGTACGAACGGGATAGCTTAGTTTGGTGGTCTTCGGCACCATCGGCCATTGCGGAGAGCTGTGGGATTAAGAGGAGAGGAGAGGAGGGGGGGGGGGGGATACGCCAGCCGTTCTGGCTCGTTGCCTGTGTAGAGAGTTACCGGTACGGTAACCCTTCGACGGAACGTAAGTGAACTGCCGACCATGGTGGCCTGAGGGGAGGGGGGGGGGGGGCTCATGGCTGATGATAACAGCATGTTCCCGGGCAGCGAAGCGTTACGAAGGTAGATCTAGCGGAGATGGAGTCACAGTTATATTGTCTCCTTAACTTTATCACTCACCTGTTGTGTAACAAGTAATGTATGGGCGCCACATGGCCAGTGTAGTCGGCGCGCCTTAATCCCACATCATCACCACAGAGACAAAAGAGGAGGGTGGATGCACAGACTCTGTCCGGTGTCACGTGCAGACGAGCGGGATGCGCTGACCGCAAGCTCTTGTGCATCATTTCACAGACGACGTGCCCGGAAAATCGAGGGCAGGAGCACGACTGAAGCTCCGTGAGCAGCTAACTCTTCTTGTCTTCTGAGCCATGTAGTCCTCTTTGTTTGCACTGGAAACACCGGAAAGCCTGGTGGCTGTTCTTTCGCCTCGAGTGCATTGTTTGATGCCACCTGAATACATTGGTTGATGCCGCCTGGTATTCACTACACAGCCAGCGGTGTTCAATGTCGGCTTCGCATCTTTGGGGCTTGGCCGGTGGCAATCTGCCCACACGCGTATCATTTCGTGTACTGATTGGGTTATAAATGTAATTAAATGTGTTGCGTGTTATAAACAATAAGATAGAGGTGAAATAATTTTTATTTGCGTAGATGCGGTTACCGTCACGGGTCACGTAAATGCGGAAAACACAGGGAAGAAATGCGCCTGTATGGCCCGAACCATCTGTGGCTTTTCTGAGTAACGTGTGGCTGGTTGTCGGACAATCATTTGAATAGAAAAGGCCAAACGAAAGAGATCAACTGGTATTTAGGTTGAACTGGAAAAGTTGAAGGACAAAGCGTCAAGATGAATAAAAGATGACAGGGCTAGAAGTCTAAGGGCCAAAAGACTTAAGGGATCAAAGCCAATAGGATGAAAGTTATTGGTGAAAAAGTTGCCGGGGGTTTACTTCAGGATTTAAATCGATAAGGATAAAAAAGCAAAGCATTTTGGCAGTGGGAACTAAAACACTAGTCGGAGTCATGGACTAGGCGGTACTGTTCGTAAGAGACCTTGCGGGAACCAAGCAACCAGTGTTTGGAGTTTGTGGGAAGGAAGTGTGAACCAGGGACTGGATGCTGGTGCCTGTAAAGGAACCGGTGGAACCAGAAACCCAGACTTGTATTTCGGAAAGAACCATTGTGGACTAGGAACTAGGGTGCTGCATTTGCAAACCACCGTAGTAACCATGCATCAGGGGATCCGCCTGGTTATTATGAAGTAATCAGCCGGAACCGAGGGCCCAACATCTCGGTTTCAAACGGGGGAAGCGGAAAGCAGAAATCAGCACTGGAAAATAGGTACGTGTCTGTCCAGTACCAGGACTAACGAAAGGACGGGACTCGCGATGGGCGACGCCTCTGTGCGCCACTTCCTGCCGCGGGCGCCTGCGTTCCTCGCGACCGTTCCTGAAAACGGCTAGAGCGAATTTTCGTGGGCTCAGATAGAGGCTAGCAGAGTACGTACAGCAGATCGGTCATCTGATCGCCCCAGGGCGCGCCCTGCACGGTTTGGTCGAGAAGGCTGGAGGGCTGGCTTCGTGCCAGGAGTGTCTGCCAGATGAGCGATGGCGGGCCCAAGTTCGAGGACCCACTGAGGTGAGGTGGCGAGACCCATGAAATCCGCGGACACATACGGATGCAGTCAGAAATATTCCCCTTTTGTGTCAGGTGTCAAATAATTGATAAAACTGTTCTGTGTTAAATCCTTCTGACTACCTGTGCATTTTCTTGTATCCCAATCGAAGCTTACCCACGTGGAGTTTTTGTCCATTAAAATAATTTCCAATTCGAGTTTTATTCCTCTTGCTATCAATCGTGATGACTTTTCCGATTTCAGTCTATCTGTCTCGAATTAATGTCCTTTGAAATATACTTTTATCCCTTTCGACTTTCCTCATTCGGCTCTTCCTATTGTCAACTTGTAATCCCATTCGGCATTTTTGTTTTGACTTTTTTGAGTCAAGCTTTTATCCCGTTGCCACTTTTATCCATTTTGACGTTTTATCTTTCGACTTTTCTCGATGTGACTTTTATCCCGGGCAGATTGTTCCATTTTTTCTATCATCGTTCGACTTTTTTCCATTCGGCTTTCTCCTTGAAACGTGCAACTGCATTGTAAGCTTATCAGTGGCATGACTATTGAGCTGAAGTGAAGCTTATTGGTGATGCCTGATGCTAATAAATGGCGCTATCCACTTATGATGTCTCTCCCTCATTTCAAAACTCTCTTATTGTGCTTTCGGGAGATAAATAGCCCTAATCCATCAAACTGAGGCGGAAGTAGGCATTTGCTCTTCGTCTATCAGTTATTACGATTTTCACATGCTCTCAACAGCAGTGCAGAATAACGTGAGTTCCTGGAACGGTGCGGTTGCTGCAACGGCCTCTGCCCTATTTTGATCGAAACCGACCCGTGCTGTGGTGCTTGAAATGGCAGCCGTACCAGCCAGACGTCGTCTGGTACAAACACCAGGTGAATTATGCGGATGGAAGCAATCGGTGCGTAGATTTATTCGATCCGGCACAAGGCACGCGTCGGTCGGTCTTAGGTCCTCTCCCGCGGCACGGTGGTCGTCAGCCGTACATGCGTACATGCCATTGACATTGACATCAGCGTACATGCCATTGACGGGACTAATTCAGCTCAACACGTCAAGTCGCCTGGAGCAGCTGCCGGCCTCAAGAGTCCGCGTTATCTTTGTGCCAGGGGCTGATATAACTTAGTCATTACAGTTATAACTCGTTTTTGTTTTTAACAATGGTATTCTTGGATGATGGTTTCCAGTGGGTGTTCAGTAGATGCTGTTCACCAGTTCTGTTCCAGACGCATGTTACATTGGGGGGGGGGGGGGGGGGGGGGGCGGGCGGGCGCAGAATTACGCCTCGCCACCTCATCGCTTGAAGTAAATAACTAGTATTGACGTATGTCCAACTAGAAACCAGTTGAAGCTTTTGGGATGCACGTCAAAAATTAGAATATTCATTTTTTCAATGGACAAGTATTGCAAAGTTTCGACAGGTCTGAGGCAACCTTTCACGTTGTCAAATCCGCATGAATCGCCGTGGCATTTAGCTGGTGCGAGCAGCTGTTGCTACGGCCTCCATGACGCATGCGTGACGTCATCCGCGAGACGCGCCGTGCGTCATGGTTCCGGCTGCGCAATGGCCGCCCAATCTCCGCTAATCTTTTTTTTAGATTTTTCTCAAGCACTGCGAGAAGTCAAATATTAATTGCTGATGTTGAGGTGCAATGTTTATTGAATAATGTTTAAGCATACGCGAATTAAACACTTGTACACTTCTGGTCCATGTTTCAGTCCTACGTAATAGTTTTGCGATTATGCTAATTCACATGCGCTATTTAGTCATTTCGTCCCTGTTTTAGTTATATTGGTATCTCGCTGTCGTGAAGCTGGTGTAGTTTCCCAGAATGTTCCAATTGCTACCAGCCAGACATTTGAACATGCAGTGACTCACCTTACAAACTAGATCAAAACGTGCAAGCTAAAAACATATTTCCAAAATCCAGGCCGACCGAAGCCGAACAGTCAAATTTGCGTTCTCTGCCGCCCGCAGGAGCGCGAGTGTCCCGGGCCAGCGCTAGGAGCCCCAGTACACCGGCTGGCCGAAGCCTAGGTCGGTCTGCCGGCTGAAGCTCTGGATGGTGCGGCGCGCTTGCTCGAAGCGGCGGCGCGCCTCCTCGACGATCCGCCGGCGCCGTTTCTCCACCTCAGCGGCCAGACCGCCGCCAGGGACCGGCGGACCACCGGGGACGCTCGGCAGAACAGCGGGGACGCCCGGCGGGCCGCCGGGGACGCTCGGTGGACCACCTGGAACGCTCGGCAGAACAGCGGGGACGCCCGGCGGGCCGCCGGGAATGCTTGGTAGACCGCCGGGGACGCTCGGCAGAACAGCGGGGACTCTCGGCGGACCTCCTGGAACACTCGGTAGACCGCCGGGAGCACCCGAGCCGGCCGCGCCCGGGACGGAGAAGGTCTGCTGTCGCGTGCGCGGCCGGCCGTCCGGGCCGACCTCGAAGATACGCCGCACACCCTGACCGTCCCGCACCGTCTCCTACAGGCCCACGCGGAGGGCGTCAGTGCGGGCCGTCGGAAACGGGACACATGCTGGCATTTGTAAAGGCCGAAATGAACTGACGGGTCACGTTTGTGTGGGCTGAATCTCGCCGAACGGTTAACGTGTTCGGGCTGGGGGACTCCGGTAAGGAAAACCGGCGGTAAGTTCTCGGTCGCAGTCGCCGTGACTCACGAAAGACATGCGTCTTGCACTGCTAGCTAGCTTACGTAGCGCTTAAGCGTTGGCGTGTTCTGCACTGTCAGAGAGCCCACAAAAAGCTTGCATCCTTAAACCTATGACCTTACAAATAGCCCATGGGTGCTTCATTACGCAATTAAAGCGTCGTAACTAATCCACTGGCGTCACCTCGGCATCTGGTCTGACCTCTACTGTCCTGATTTGCGGCCGTCCGTTGTTGACCGTTGTCGCAGAGCTAGAACTGCTGACCACCGACCGGAAACGCGCCCCGCCCGGCTGAGGGCAACACGGCAGGGGCTAGGGCCCAGCTCCGCCACCAACGAACGGCACGCCATGACGCGTTATACAAGCCGCGTACGGACTGACCTGAGACCAAGGTACTGCCACCGTATATAGGTCAGGGTGCGTACACGAAGGCGACACGGAGGAAGTCGTGAGGGACACACCTGAACTTGGCCATTGGGTTGTGCACTATCTAGCCAACACATGTGCGTCCCTGTTGTCGGGCGGGTGCCTCGAAGTTAATGCGCGCGTAAAACGTTCCTATTCCCATAGAGTAGAGTCGTCTCGACGGCGGTCACCGACGTGCTGAACCAGAGCTGTAAACGAGCGCGTGCAAGCCACAGAACGCTGAATATTACGAATTAAACCAACAAACCTGAAAGCAATCACACGTTGGCGAGGTTAAAGCGCGGGGCTCAGCTCACTCACATGTGCAACAGGGACAAAGTCCCGAGAGCTTTCTGGCCCGATGGCCAAGCCACCAAGCCAGTCACCACTGCGCAACGGTCTGCACCAGGCAGCTGCAGAAGCGAGCATCGCTCCGACCGCATCGGAAAGTGGCGGTGTTGCCACGAGCACACGAGCACACGGGAATTGTGGCGTCATACCCGAGGCTGTGTTGGCCTGTGTCAGGCAACCGAGCATGCGCCCTCACGCCTCATGCGAACATGCTCACTGCGCAGGCATGCGGTTTGTTGGCTAGGGGCCTAAAAGCTGACTTTTAGCAAGAGAAAAGAAGGCAAAGAAAGCAGGCAGTGCCCTACTTTGAGTGTGCGGCTTGTTATCTTTTAATCGGAAATTATACTTGCGTGACAAAATGTGAGTCTTTATTATTTCCTAAATCTTTCTTACAGGCATTCGAGCGAAAGTGACGCTTTGTTATATTGTAGTCGGCCGGACCATAGTCTGCCGTGATTCAAGGAAAAACATTACCTCGTGTAGAATACCTAATGTAGAAACGCCAGCTGACTCCCCATATGTCATAGACTCGATGCATTTAGAGGTACTTAATTTGCTAGTTATACAAGTAGGAGATTACGGCATACTCTCCTGCCCATCGGGCGAACTTGCTTTTGCTGTGAGATTTCTCTTTACGCGGAAGCACGTTTGGCCGCGGCTCATCGGAAGGCTGAGCGAACGACGTGATGACGTGATGGTACATTCGTCACGACAAGCCTTCTTCCGCAAAGTTACGGCCGATGACACATGGGAAAATGTGCAAAATATCAAGCGTCTGGGATTTCTTGCAGTCGTGACTGCTGTTTTGAGAAATCAGGATTGTCTGCCTCTTTGAATGGAATTGGACGTAGAAAGCTTTATTTGCCGAGCCAAATATGCTTAAGCTTCATTCAGAGGTTCTCGAAAAGCTTCGTCAGCTTCCAAGCTGCTGCTTTTCCTACCAAACGATAGAGATAACAAGAGGTCGCCGTGGTTAAAGTCCCCAGTCAAAAAATGTCGTGTGGCGTTTTAGAAAGCAAAGAGAAAACATAAGCGTGGCGGTTAGGTGCTCCATTTTGTTTGCAGTGGATGTATACAGCCAGCGCTGCACAATTGTAATGCAGTGCAGCAACTCCGCGCCCAGCAGCAGCGGCAGTATCTTCGTTTACCGTTGGAGCCGGCCGGCTGGGAGGCGTTAGTGACGCGGAATGCGCGGCCAACGTGACCGCCGGGCGTCGCGGCCATCTTCTTCGTGCCGGTCTGGTTGCCCGCCGAGGAAGAAGAACTGACAGAATGGCTTTTCTTAGAGGGAGAGAAGACATTGGCGATGGACTGTCCCAGAGCTGAGAACCATCCGGAGATAGAACTCCACAGTTTATGGAAGGAACCTCCGCTTGCTCGTTTCCCACTCGCCTGTCTGGTGCCGTTGGCGGCCATCTTTGGCCGGGCCGTCGTTTGGGTAAGGTTGGCCGATTGCTCGGTCGTTCCGCGACTGGACCCTGCCGGGGCCGCGGCTGTCGGCTGGGACCGGGTGGGAACCACCGCAGGCCGTTGGGGCTTGACGGGGACCGGTTCCGTGGTCGTCGCTGTCGGCAGCTTGCGGGGCGCATGCGTGACCGGCGCCGGCATGATGGTAGTGTGGAGCAGCATGCCAGAGGATTCGTCCGACTGGGGGTGCCCGCCGACAGTCGTCGCCGTTGCCTTGGTAACAGACGCCGCGCCGCTTTTGGTCGCGTTGGCTTTGGTCGCTGGGTTTACCTTGGGTGCCGCGCCCTTGGCGGGTCGTTTATGACTGGTGTTGTTGACCAGTGGTTTTGACTCCTGCAACAGGCACGGTTAAGCTCGAGAGCAACGGATCTGCCCGCTGCGGCGTGGTGTTGCTCCTTAGGATTGGCTTGACCATTCCCCTCCCGCCAATTTTGCCCTCGCGCACGCTAGTCCATGTAGGCATTGCGGGGAAGTTGGGACTAATACAAGCCTTGGCCATGTCTTAGTACTTAAGGCAGCCAATGTCGTAAGTTGGGAAATTTATGCACTTGATCACCCAGCTACATCTGGAACCGCCAAAACACAGCATCATGCGGGTGGAAATAATTCTAGATTGTGCGATGTTTAGTGCAGCCGTGACATGACAACTGATGCTGAATTTTGTGATGTTTCATCCGAAGATGTCAAACATAAGACTGTTTCACAAAGTCTAGCACTTAAAAGAAGTCTGAAGTGCTAGAAGGATTCGAGTTTGCTCTTTGATCCGGTAAAAAAGGCCTTCATGACTCTAGGATCCCTGGGGTTTTGTGTGAGCGAAATTCGAGCTAAGATCTGGTTGGTTTTTCTGTGAGATGCTAGTCGTATCTTGTTAGTCCCCTCACCAGTCCGATTCACGTGCACCGCCACCTAATCATGCACTGGCACATCATGCACACAATGACATCAGGCTTATGACGCTTTAGTCGGTCATTCGAAATGCACAAATGTAACTCGCAGCCAACTAGTGCGATCAAAAATATTCATTCGTTATTCCAACAGCGCAAAGGTGGCGCAAAAAACCGTTGCATGATTATGCTGACGACATTGATGCAACTGTTATGACTCGTGTATTTGCTTTCCGCACTGCCGTTTACGCACAAAACAAGATGACGAAGCTTCCACGCGGTGAGTAGTGAGCAGGAGATCGTTCTAGCGTCAGCAAGAGCCATGAACGGGGTTGACTTGTATCAGCGAGAGCTCACCTGTGTGTAGAAGGTGGGCACGGCTCTGGTTCTAGAGCCGGTGGCGAGCAGCACCACCACGGCCACGGCCAAGGACAGCATGATGAGCCCGCTGACGGCCAGGAGGATGTACAGACACTGGAAACGGAGGCAGACGCTGAGGGACTGGCGCGTGCAGCACGCACTCTAGTGCCGGGCAACGGGAGGCGGATACAGTACAGTGCAGACGCCGGGGACGCAGACCTGCAGACATGCGCAGACACTGGAAACGGAGGCAGACGCTGAGGGACTGACGCGTGCAGCACGCACTCTAGTGCCGGGCAACGGGAGGCGAATACAGTACAGTGCAGACGCCGGCGACGCAGACCTGCAGACATGCGCAGACACTGGGAACAGACAGACACTGAGAGGCAGGTACAGATGGGGCTCAGACGCTGGAAACGCTGGGGGGACATGTCGTCGACGTGGTCTGCCTTTTTGGGAAGGCATATTCGGGAATCTGCGCTTGCCAGCTTGATGTATGATGCGCGTAACGTTCCATTCGTCTGTTCCGTTCATGATGAGTCAAACGCGCTAAGTTTTGAAAGACTCGGTCACGGTCAGTGATTTAATTATACAGCTATGTGAGGTACTTACGATACGTCGGAATCACCACGTGAAGCACGCACGTGTGCAAGCTACCGTCCTGGACGTAATCCCAGCGGGAAACGGCAGGTGCACAGGTACGCGACGTACAATGTCAAATGCTGTTTTAAGAATGTCCGTCGAAGCAGTACGTTCGGCGCTGAACTGCTTGCCCCTTCGGCCGATCATTCAAATGTGACCCGAAATATGTAAACTTTTGCGGCCCTCCCGAACAGTGTGCATGCATGAACTGGGAGTATTTACCGAATTTCATCAGGATCGTGACTACATTCGCAGAAACGAGGGAGCGACACGTAATGTTTGCTCGTCCGTGCGAGGCTGGCGCGGCGGCCGCTTCTGCAAGCGCCCAGTCTCCTCCCCATAGCTCAACATTTCAGCTGTTTTTATGTCCGGATTGAACGCATAGCATCACGCTGTCAGCGTCAAGTCAATGCACCGAAGTATGGCTAGCAAAATACAGAAAAATATCACCATGTACCTCGGTGATTTCGGCTCGCTTCGGCAAATCTGACGTACGACAATTTTCCAACGACGCTTGGAGCAGGAGGAGCGGGTGTCCCTCCCCTGAACAGCTAAAAGGCAATGATAATGATAACAAGACCATAATACAGTGAGCGATAGACACGACCAACACTAGAATAAGAACGGGCGATGAAACACGCGCTGTGGCACACTGACGACACTGAGATGGCGTTAGCGAGGTACGGCATGGTGCTGTCTGACCCTCTCCTCTGCTGAAGAACACCTGCAGCACCACAAGAGAGGACGGATGCAGACATACCAATCGGGTCCATCGGGTACAGACCTACCACCCGCCTGTCGCGCTGCTGTGGCGGTGCAGCTTCGTCCAGCACTGCGCGCGGCAGCCGACGTCCTGCAAGACAATAGCCTGCAGGACGTCACGTGACGGCATTCTTTGGCGGCCGTCACTGTGTGGGCGGCTTAGGGGAAATGGGGGCGCGCAGTGGCACGTGCCTGCGGCCGCGCGCTGCTGGAGTCTGTCTGAGCTTGCACCGAAAGGCTCGCGTGATGAAACTGCTGCTCAACCCTGTGATGAGGGGCCGGCGGCGTGCGTGCGCGCGGGCCGTGCTCCCTGCTCCTGACACGGGAGCGGGCGGTGCTCCCTGATCCTGACACGGGAGCGATCCGTGCTCCCTGCTCCTGACACGGGAGCGAGCCGTGCTCCCTGCTCCTGACGTGGGAGCGGGCTGTGCTCCCTGTTCCTGATGCGGGAACGTACTGTGCTCCCTGGTCCTGACGTGGGAGCGGGCCGTGCCCCCCGCTGTTGACGCGGGAGCATGCCGTGCTCCCTGCTCCTGACGTGGGAGCGGGCGGTGCTCCCTGATCTTGATACGGGAGCGAGCCGTGCTCCCTGATCCTGACACGGGATCGCGCTTTGCCGCCAGTCGTCGCCTGTTCAGATGGACACCTAGCGGGGAGGGAAGGGACGGGAGCTCTCACATCATCCGCCCGAGATGACTGATGTGCTTGTTTCTCATAAAGCGATGCGTTGTTATCATCTCGGGGCGTAGTTTTCATTTCGTTCACTTTGCGCCATCGCGATCATAATCATGATCGCACATTTTAGCTCCTTCCTCAAAAGCGGGTCGTAAACTACATGGGTATGGGTAAACCACATGGGTAAACCACACGCTCGGTGGACACACAAAACGAGCCAATCACTATTCGTGCATAGCATGTGCACGAGGCCGGCTTGAACTGTGACGCGCATGCTTCGTTACTTCTGGCAAACTGTGAGTGACACACTTCAGGCCCGTTACCTCTGTAAGCGCACGTCCGTCGGCCAGCGGCAGCCGCGGAAGGCCAGAGAAAAGCGAGCCTCACCACGAACGGACAAGTGGCACCATGAACCTTTTATGGGGAAGCCTCTTCACCAGTTGTGGTGTGATTGTGTGGGGTGTGCACCCCAGCTACCATTTAGTAGTGTTTTGGGAGGGGGCGCCTGTGAGCTCGTGGGAGCCGCCGCGCTGGCGACGGAGCCGTGGGACGGCGGCTGCGATTCCCACGATGTGCTTTTAGGGCCGAAGACGCTCACCCGGCGGCGGCGGCGGCCTGTCGCGGAGGCAGCCTCGCTGTCTTCCGAGCTCTACATCTGACTGGGTGCCAGGAGGCGTCACGTGACCGCGGGTCTCCCGATTCGCCGGGGGTCAAGGGTCAGCCGCTGATGCGACGGCAGGGACCCGACGCTCGCAGGCGCCAATTGGTTTTTGGACGGGCCCGGGGGTACGCGCTACGTTCTCTTGCACCAGTTTAAGCGACGATCAGGTACCCATCAGCAAACAGTCCTGCGCAAAGGAGGCTTCCTAGATTGTAATGTCAAAAAGCCGTTTCGAATTTAGCAGCTTTAAATCGTTCAGCGACCACCATTGGTATGCTTTTACGTGGTTCATACAATCGAGAATGCAAAAGCAGCCCAATAATGTATTTTTCAGCCATATATGATCTATATCATTTTCAGTCATATAATCATAAATGTAATATAATATTCCACAATTGCATGCAATACAGTTACATATGCTCGTGTAGTTACATGCAATAACTATTACATGGCATAATATCACAGCAGTTAGCTACATGTAATATGTATTCGTGGTCTAATGCCGACTATGCATACCAAACGCACTGCCGAACATTTCGGCATTTTTTCAGTAGTCCCTTCGCCCCACATAGCCGGCTAGCCCGTTCGCCGCCGCCTGCGGCTCGTTGATCTATCAGCAGCTAGTCGTGAGCCAAACTTTATGTCAGGAATGTGAGCCCTTAGGAATGAAAACAGCTGCCAGTGGACGGCAACCGCTCGTCTTCATGTTTGGGGTGAATTGCGCATTTGGTTGATACCTCCCTCACGTCTTGCATTTAGAGAATGCTAAACGCGGTCAGAAGTTATAGTTTTGTCGAGCTAATTCGACCTTGAAGCGTTATTGATTTTGACTTACATTGACATTGACTTAGACAGGGTCAAAGGGGGAAGGGTTAAAAATAAAGTTTTTGCCATCGTCAAAGTTTCATAAAGCGAAGCCCGCCACTTATCAATAAGACCTGAAATATTGTGGGAACACGCAGGCAAACCACTGCTGCTGCCCACAGATGTAGAAATACTGAATAATGGGTCGATCTAATTACCTCTGGAGATATCGTATCACGGCATGTTGCGTCGGTGCTCCTGAGGCAGTGGCCGGGGGAACTGCACGGAATCTGTTGTCTAGGCTACCTGACTCCACCCTATATGCCTTGTAAGACATGTGCAAAGCAATACTGAGGTGGTGGGCAGCTGTTATAGAAATAAACCGAAAACAACTCGATTTGCCACTGGTAAAAATCCATACAGTCCCAAATGTTAGCATCAAAATATTGCCATTCATGCATATTGCCTGATTCCGACACTGTTCATATATTTATATAGACATCTTTGAAATATGGCCATCAGCACATTGTTCGCCGACTGACATTAAAAGGCATGGCCACTGCAGCCCACCCAATTTAACACGCGCCCGGACGGCCGGTTGGGTACCCTTCGCTCAGGTGGTAGTTAATTTGACCCCGCTGAGATCTCAGAGACTAGGGGAGCTAGAGACACAATTCACAAGGTGTATTGGCCTGTGCATAAAATAATCTTTGTCAAAATTTGAGGTTTCTGAGTCATGACCTTCGGGTTGAATAAGGTCAAACAAGGTCAAACTCCAGATTGGTGTCCAGGGTGCACCCAGACCTTTCCATGTAACCAATATGAACCTAGATACCTGTTCTAAACAAAACGTCACTGGTTTCCATTTAGGGTAAGTGACTTTGTGTAAACTTTCGTTGGTCGTGGTGACTAAAATGCAAGACTGCATTGATTTTTGCATGTTAATGAGCAATAAAGATTGCATTAAGCAGTATCTCCTGAAAATAAAATGTTGAGATGGGTTATTGCAGGTCAGTGACGTATTTTGACCTTCAATAAGTCCATGGAAGATCTATAATGCGGCTCCTGTTATTAATAAATTCGAAATGCGCACCAGAAAATATCCCCTTCAGCAAACTCTAGTATGCATACTCGACCATAGATCAGCGAAACTTGTTGATTCAAGTGTTGTGTTGCCTAGAAAACTACCACAGAAATATATAGTTTCGCCCCCTAGATTCTCCGCTGAATCCATGACCTGACTTTGAACTGCTGTAGGTCAGTGATCTTGCAAGGTACACCTCACTTTTTATGCCAAACGATCCGCTATTCAACAGCCTACAGCTATGCAAAATGTGGTGCGATTACGCCTCGCCGCTCGGAAATCATTCCGGAAAAACCTTCATGTGGTGAGTCAAACTGCCCCTCCAAGCTCGTGTTAAGCGCTTGACGGCTCCTCTGCGTGTACAGTTTTAGGGTTGATACACTTTATGTGTTAATAGCACATACTCCATGATTACAGCTGTCAGCAACCTCTAGCCGTTGATCCACCCCTGGCGGCTCAGGGGTATCACAAGTCACCCAAAGGTGACCTGCTTTGATGCGACATGCCGTGTCACATCACCTCAGCCAAACATCGGGCAGATACAGTTTAAAGTTCCGTGCGCAGCACATTCGGCTTCAGCAGCCCGTGCTGGCACGCTGGTGACAGGCAGGCTGGCTCGTCAACTGACATGACGTCTAGAAAGATTCCCTGGAGGCGTGTTTGGATGACGCAGGGAGCTCAAACTGGGGAAGGTCACGCGACGTCGCGGGTGGAAAAAGGCGCCAGGTTTCAGGGCTCTCGCTTGCTCCAACATTCTGGAATGCAGCTGCAGAAAACTACCAAAGGTGGAGAATAAGATGAACCACGTGCTTCAAGATAGGATTAAAAATAGCACAGACACTTTCCCCAGGCGTCGGGCACTCATAGAGTGTGCGGGCCTCGGCGATAACGTACTACCAGCCAGCCTCTGTGCGCGCGTGTGTGTGTGTGTGTGTGTGTGTGTGTGTGTGTGTGTGTGTGTGTGTGTGTGTGTGTGTGTGTGTGTGTGTGTGTGTGTGTGTGTGTGTGTGTATGCGGTGTTTCTCACCTTCCTGGTGGGCTGCGGAGAGTCCGCCTTTCCCGGTCCGGCTTCGACTCCCCCGTCCAACGCCCGCGACGCATCGAACGGCTCCGCCGTGGCCATCTCGGTCTTTTCTGTGACTCCGACTCGTCCGCGTCTCCGGCCTTCCTGTGACTCCGACTCGCCTGCGACTCTGCCTGGCTGTGACTCCACTCGGGCCCTCCTGTGACTCCGACTCGCCGCTGTCTCCGGCTGTCCGTTGGGGCGGGCTCCGGGTGGGGGCGAGCGTCGGCAGGCGCGGCGCGGAGCGAGTGTGACCCGTCACTGGCGCCCGCCGCCGGCCCGCCGACCGTCAGCGGTCATGTCAATCACTCGCTGGCGACAAGTGACGGCCCGCCGCCGGCCGGGCGGGCACCGGTCCGGGCACGCCGTCACGGCCTCAGGCCACGTACGCCCGGCGGCCCAGCACGCGGCTGCAAGGGATGCGCAACATACGGGCGGGTACCGCACTGGACGGTCAGCGGAACGGACGACGGACACCTCGAGGGTCAATGGAACGGACGACGAACACCTCAGAAGGACAACGGAACGGACGACAAACACCTCAGAAGGGCAACGGAACGGACGACGAACACCTCAGAGGGTCAACGTAACGAACGACGAACACCTCAGAGGGTCAACGTAACGGACGACGAATACCTCAAAGGGTCAACGGAACGCACGACGAACACCCCAGGGGGTCATCGGAACAGACGGCTAACACTTTGAACGGTCAGCAGAATGGGCCACTAGCACATGGAGCGGGAAATACGGGGACGCTCAGCACAGGTGGTGGTGAACGCCGGGACGACTGACACTGACAACTGGACAACTGACACACCAGACAGACAGTGCAAAGGACTGGGATTGCGAGACGTGGCGACACCGGACATGCAATGCAAAGGAAAGGGATCGCGAGGCGGAGCGATTGGTACACCGGACATGCAACGCAGGGAGCTGGGCTCTCGGGACGCGAGACATGCGGACAATTTGCTCACAGGATAGGCAACACACGGACAATTAGCAAACAGCACCAAACGGCACAGGACAATTAGACATGACGCGGTCAACAGTCAGACAGTTACCATATGAGACAGACGACAGTCGGACAATCAAAATGCCTGGCACCCAGTACTGACTGAACGGACGACTTACATTCGATCTCATAGTACATGGGACAGGGGACGAGCAGACCATTGGTGCATTGGTGAACAGCTCACGAACGCTCAGTAGGCGGTGTGGCCATTGGTCAACACACAGCCAATCAGCTCGCGATATGGGCATCACACGGCCAATTAGCTCGTGATATGGGCATCACACGACCAATCAGCTCGCCACATGGGCGTCGCACGACCAATCAGCTCGTGATATGGGCATCACATGGATGCTTAGCACCTGGGGGAGACAATTTGTGGACAATTGGCACAACGCACAGCCAACGAGTCGCCAGTGCCAGAGACAGGCAATGCATGGGCTTACGCAGACAAGGCCGGCAACACAAGAGGAATTAGCACACGCAGAGGCAACGCACGGGACGACTTCGTACTGGTCGACCCATGTGTAGTTATTAATTACGCACGGGTCAACTTTTGCGATAACTACGCTGAACCGAACACTGCAAAGACACGGCAGAGCTGTTCGAAAGCAAGGTAACGTTTATTGTTATAATTGAATCTTGGTAGGCCAAAGTCCTTGTCTACACATGCTTGCTGTGAATGAGCAAGTCATGCTGAGTCGCAGACCATGACCTGATCATCGACCAGCATTTGCACGCACATTTTCCCGATGCATGCAGCACTTTTTGTGTGCCCACGCAGTCGTCGACGATTATTAAAAGAGGTACGTACTGGTTGGAAGGACCGCGAAGCACGAATGCCGAAATCACCCCTGGTGATACGTGACGTGCTGCAGGCCGGGACACACATACATGCACGTACCCTAGACTTACGCACTTGGCACGAGGCCAACCCCGGCCGCTAAAAACAGGGCTGGCAGCAGTGACGACACGTCGGTGACCCACACATGTGACGGGCTATTGGCGGCTTCGCAGTTCGCAGAAATTTACCCCTCCCCCTTCCCACCCCCTGTTGCCCTCCATTTGATGATTGTTTCGACAGCCACATCTTGCATTTGCTATTTGCGAGGCCTTGATACTGAGTTCGAGAGGCGATGCTTAGTCTTTGGGGGCGCATATCCCTAATCATGCGCTTTCCCCGAAGAATGTGTCTGCGTTTATGTATGTACTTATCCGCTCGCTCTTCTAACGTCCGAACGCACAAACCAATGCTCTTTTCCTGGATATCCAACAATCAATCGGTAGTTTGTATTTCGATACGGTGTTTAGTCCAGATATACTTCAGCAATTCCTTAGCCCTATGCCTCTAGCCCCGTCGGTAGTTGGTATGTATTTGGGCCTGGAATAGATCCCCGTGTTGTGACATCTTTTCACTTTGAGGCTATTCATTTCTCAGGCATTTTATTCGCTTTCACGTTTGGAGCGTGAATGACTCACCAGCTCAATAACCACAATCTGACCCCATCGACAGAAGGGTTCCCACTCACGTCCAGATGATGGGCCAAGCCAGGCCTGCTTCACAAAGGGACTGTGACACTCCGCCTGGGGCATGCGGGGTACAGAGTTCAAGCTTCTCGACATTGGATTTGCAGCAAAGCCAATCGCCGCTGTTGGCCCAAGCTGCACCAGGTTGGCAAAGCGGAGTGTATACGGCCTATCTGGCTTTTGTATCGCTCCATTTTCTTGTCATTGCAAGCGTTCCGTCAACACATGCTGACGCAGCCGACCTGTCTGAAGCTATTGGAATGATTGTTGTTGTTTTGTTGTGTCCTGCGGGTGTGTAACTCACTCCAGACCTTGTCTCCTTCATGTTCCATAATCGCGTTCTGACTTGTCTATGTTCATATATTTGGTACTCATCTTCATGGCGCTGGCACCGGGGGTTCTACCGACAACAAGCTCCGCTTAGCTGGGTTGACTCACTGGAGATTTAGCTCAAGACCCAGCGTGAAAATGACCAATAACTGCCCCTCCGACTTGGGTGACTGATAACCGTCACTAACACTGTGAATGAGTGCTTGTAGTTTACTTGTAGTTAGCTTGTAGTTTACATGGCGTATCTAACGGGCTGTTATTAGCTGACTTTGGCTATGGCTACCATAGCGTTCTACTGTACGATTTGTCCCTGCCTATTGCATTACGTGGATCCTGCCGGGTCTTCATCACCTCTTCGCCTCGTTATTTGTGTTTGTTTCTACTTCTTAGCTGGGAGTGTCGCGACTCGATTTTATGTTTTCCTGTGTTGACGCACGGTTTATTGCGTCTTTGGGATAGAGGGATGGACACTCCTCTGGTCACGCGTTCTTGAGGAGCAGTGAAGCAAAAATTGCTCACGAGCGTTGACTTCGGGTTCGAGATGGGATGTGATGTAATAGGCCATTGGCCGGGGAAAGTTTCCTTCATCCAATCAAATGATCAGATGAGGCCATGTTACGTCGCGCGCGGTTTGATGCGGACAGAGCCGAAATCAACGGGAGCCGTGCTCTTGCAAACACCCCACATCACCGCCTCCGCCATCGTAACTTATGTGCTAAGCTATCTGCGCCTGTTTCATAATTCGTCTGCACCCAATTCGCGAAGTATCTACCACAGCTTCTGCCACATCCAGTTGGATGCCGCGAGACAGCACTGCAGTGCCCTGCGGCGCTGGCCACGCCGCTGCCAAATAGCGCCACGCGCCGGCGCGTGCGTCTGACCGGCGGCGCAGTCCGGGCGCCGAGCCCCCCCCCCCCCCCCCCCCCCACCATCCGCTGCACGTGCGCGCCCCACGCTTTGTGTGCGGGTGGCGACATTTCGCGCCGACGTGGTTCGAGCGCGAATCACATCGACGCTCCACGAAAGCGTGGCCGACGCTGTAGCCGCCGCTGTGTGAGGCACCGTCCAAGCCTGGCAGGCGATCATCGCGTCCGCCGATGAGCGCGGTTATCGCATGCGACCCGCGACATGTCGGGGGACGGCAGTGTGTGACCGTTTGGTTAATGCCGGCTACGGCCATCGACTTGTCCAATCCTCCCCAAGTGAGGTAGTTGTTAAATAGTAGTTATTTGTAGATTAGTAGTTGTACATACGATGAAAGAAGTGCTCACTTGTGTCAAGGGCATGGATCTGTCGATCAGCCGTGGTGCAAGGTCAACATGGCCTGTCGTGATTGATCACTGCACTGTCAGTGACACCACGGCTGGCTTTTACAACCTGCGAGTTTTACAACAAAATGTGTGTTGCGATACCAGGGCAGTCGTTCAAAAATAAACAAAACGATTTCAATCGGTAACAAATACTCCAGATGAGCTGTATGTGGCAGCCCCACTTGTCAGCCGTTGCGGACCATGTCAAGTCATGGTACTGCCGCCTGAGTGCACTTGGACGACCTTCTCTTCGCACTACGGTGGAAGTCGTCTTGAAGTCGTCGATTCGAAGTCGACTGGAAGACGTCCCTGTGGCCAAATGTGGGGGGGGGGGGGGGGTACTTAATTGCAGGTGAGATGGTGGAAGGCAAATGCCGTTTTCTCCACACTAGAAACGTAACAAAGAGCCCTGAGAAGCGCGAGCCCAACCAGCCATAGCGGGCTGTTCAAGAGAGAAACAAGAACGGTTCCCAACCCTTTTGGACCATTTCATGTCACGTAATCATTAAAGAAGGGCTAACGAACAGTCATCACATACGACAAGCCACAAGGCGGAACATCTGCGTCATGCGCATTGTAATGTCATGAAGCTAATGTGGGACCTTCCATCCCGTCCCCACCCCGTATTCCCGTTAATTAAACGGTCTGGCGAGATTATCTGTAGAGAAGACAGATAGGCCCAGCATGTGTGCCAGTTGCCACGTTATCTTTTGCTGCTGTTTGGACATTGCCGCCATGCCGTATTTCATCGTAATCCGCCCATTTTGATATCGACAGCTTCCCGCTTTCGGTTTGCTAAATTTGTCAAGTTTCCCGACAGACAGCTTTTCCAGGCCGAATTTTGATAAATATTCTTGGTCTACCTGTGCGCATAGCAGTATCTGTAGGGTGTCAGAGAACACCTATATGCTAGCCAATGAACATCTGCGTAGTTTGGCGAGCGCAGGTTAGAGGCACTCGCGTTCCCCTCCTCCTGCCCTGAGCTCCCCGCGCAAGGGACGCGGCAGCAGGGGCCAGGAGAAGAGCTGGTAATAGACGAATACTCTTGAGAGCCGCCGGAGCGAGGACAGACGGCAGGGCGGACTGTGGGGAGTGCCTGCGAAGGCTGTCAAATACAGAAGTGACTTTGGACGTAACGTGTGTACCAGTGAGCCGGAGGCGAGACACCGGAACAGCAGAACTTACATATCCACTATCTCATCGCATCTCGTTGTCTTTAACGTACATTCAACTGTGTCCCGAGCAGCTTAAGACAACCTGTAGACAAGGCCGAAAACTCTCGAGGCGTCCGACTTTCTGCCAAACGAAGCCAAACAAATAGGAATTATGAATGGTAGTGGCGAGGAGAGAGCCCAGTGAGATTTCTCCCATCGAAGCGGTTACCTCCAATAATTTTTTTAGCTTTTCTGGAGGATTGCGGGAAAACTAGTTTAACCGATGAAACTGAATCCGTGTGAGCTAACGATGCGTAAAAATATCATAAGGTGGGATGTTACGAAACACTGTTTCGCTGTTTCCTTGCCAACAAGGCCCAAAAAGCATTAGACCATTCCGTTGGTATGTCTTAAAAGTGCCGCAAGCGTTTTCCTTTTCTTCAACCTGACGGTTGGGGAAAAAGCCGGGCAGGGGCGGATCCGAGATTTGGTCAAGGGAGAGGCCACGTTTTGTTGTGGTGCCCCGTGGAACTTGGTGCCCCGCTGACATAGACGTTTCCAGATATCGGCCACTTTATTTCCAAATTCTTATTTCTTTAATGAGTGTAACATGCTCTGCAGGAATCGCCCCCCGGATTTAGTCCATTTAATTTCCTGGGGTTAACATCCCGAATTTGTGTACTGAAATTAAATATTAAGGGCCGTTTGTGGTGTCCCTGAGTTTTGGTGCGACTTCAAAGCCACCCAAACTTATACAAGAGTTGTGTGTACCCAAAGCATGACCCTATGCTGATATGTGGTGCAATATACATGCGATAGACTGTTTTATATATCTTTGCGATATGTCTGCCATTGATTATTTTCATTTCCCTGAGAACGTAATGACATTGGCTTATGCAAGCATACGAAACTGGCACCGAACTTGAAATTGGCAGTCATGTTCTTATTGACATGCATGCAAAGTGGCGCAGGTACTGCGTCATTAAACCTGGGATCTTGTGTTTCTTGCACCGTTCAAAGCGGCACATATTATGATGATCGGCTGATATTGCCCAATGAAAGCATCGTTCTGTCAACAGGATCCGAGCAAACGTATGTCTGATTGGCTGTAGTTTGGGATGTTGCGTAAGATACGAAACAATCGCAGAAAAGGAACAGAAACTATACGCCTGGCTAAGGTTCTCGAAGGAAGCAACGCCTTTTACGAGATAATCCTATTGGATCATGCGCAAAAGCAGAGGGGTGGATGCTTTTCATTATCAGGGCTGCCTCTTTGTGAGGGCTGCTTAGTCGTTACCGGACTTTTTTATTTTGCCAGTCCAGCTCATGGAAGTGATTGATATGTTTGAGGCTCACCGACAGTCTCTATACATTGAGCCACGGCAGGACGTCAGTGACAATTTGGGCCACTGATCCGCAACGTGAGGTACTGGACTGTTTTCTGTGTTTGGTCTGCCCATTTTAAGTGGACATTGTGAGTTTGCATGCCAAAGATAGCTGACAATGTATCGGGAGACACCGATGAAATGAGATGTCTTACTTGAACCAGTATTATCTGCAGATCCAGGGGTATTAAGTGAACTTTTGTTTGATATGCAAGGTCCAATCATGAGGAACATGGGAAAAATCGTCATGTCTGTATCTTGCCATTACTAGAATGTCCTTATCTAATTTGAATGGATGTGATGGAATGGTATGCCAATGCTACTTGTAAAAATAACTTGTTTGTGTGTTGACCTGATTGCCAACAGTCATATCTCTGAGAGCCAGTTTGTATTGCAATTTTGTGGTTATATATATATATATATACATATATATATATATATATATATATATATATATATATATATATATATATATATATATATATATATATATATATATATATATATATATATATATATACATTTGTGATGTGTAGTTTTACAAGAAACAGGCAGGAAACACTAAATATATCATAGATGCATGTGCATTAATTTTGCAATTCATTGTTCACAGCTTAAGGAGGTGCTAAGTTCCTCAGAAGATCAAATTTGATTGGATTATTTTATGTAGAATAACCATAGACTATTTGCAAGTTTTTCCGGCTGTTTGTCTGATAGGCTGCTATCTCATAGATTTCTGTCTTCTAAAATAAAATTTGAGACCCGCCTGAGCTTTCTGAAATTGCTTTGCTATACCAAGTACTGAAATGTTCCAACTATAATCAAGATGTGTACAAAGTGAATTTTATATTTACTTTTGCAGGAGCAGTAGTCACATTTGAACATATGATTGCATGCATATGATTGCACTATGGTGTGCTGCATAAATGCCTTGAAGGAAATCAGTTTGCAGATTTATATTCCCTTTTGAGAGGCATTATTGTTTGTTTGTTTCTACCAGCAACAGCTTTCATGCCATGGCTGACTTGAACACTTCAGTGACCTTAACCACAATGTACCAGGGCACTTCTATGTACACATCTCACTGCCAATGTACTTACTGCCAGGTAGTTGTCTATATTCCTTTTTTACTGCACTGTGACAGATAATTAGACTGTCTTGAGGTGCAGCAGCTTGGCATGGTTATTTTGGAACTTTTGCATACATTGATAGGATATTGTTAGAGATAGATTTTATCTGTTCAGTTGGATCTGATGCAGATGCCATTTTATTTTCACCTCAACATTCATTTATATGGTTTATAATATCATTGACTTCTTTGTTAATTAGATCAGTTAGATTTATATTATTTTTACTTTTTCTGAACTAGTAATAGTGTTAGGATATATATGCAATGCAGGTCATGATACTAACAATTTTAACACAGTTTCTCATTGCTTATGGTTGTCATATGGACAAGAAATAGGCATCTTTATCGCAGGAAATAGAGACATGTGAACCAGGATCAGCAAATGTACAGATTGTGACATTGAAATGACATTAAGAAAGAATGCAGTAGAAAAATGTAAACAATGCACAGAAGCATGTGCCAGTGCTCTCCCATTTTTTTTCATGACACAGTGGTTTGGATGTTCTTTAAATGGCTGGATGTTTTGATTTTTTATGACTGGAGATACAAAATAGCTTTGTCATATTTAGTCACCACAAATATCCATCCAACAAACATCTATAATGCAGCCAGTTAAAGTAGGGTTTCCATCATATGCACTAGAAGACCATGCTGCTGAGATGGCTTTATCAGTCTTTTAGAGATGATGCTTACTCTGGAACACCACATTATGAAATCTGAAAAGCCCCATATGTTCCAACTTTGGTTTTCTGGTGATGCAGCAATTGGCCTGAGCTTCAGCTGTTTGCTAGCCAGCATCTTCACGTCCCCTGTCCTCCACTGACGTGGCTCGATGCATCTGATCCAGCACATGCTGTGAGCACCACAGGGTGCAGGGCTATGGTGTGCCATGTGATGGGCGGCGCGCGGGCCTGACGGAAGCGGCGGACGTGTCGGCAGGTCGCGCCGCCATGGAGGCTGGCCGGGAGGAGGGGGAGCGTGTCAACGGCGCGCAAGGCGGTCAGCCGGCGCCGCTAGCCGCGGGCGGCGGCGCTCGGCCCAAGCAGCCGGCGCCGCTGCCGTCGCCGCCGCCGCCGGCGGCTGACGACAGCGACGAGGAGCCGGCGTCGCCACCGCCGCCGCGGCGTACCAACGGCCGGCCGGACCCGCGCCTGCTGAGCCACAGCGCCAGCGAGTCCGACTGCACGCTCGACGAGTGCGTTTACACGTACAAGGGCGACCGGTCGGCCGACCACAACCGCAACCACAGCCGGTCGGCGCCGGCGCCGCCGGCCGCCGACGGCGACGGCCGCGTCTCGCCCGACCTCGACTTCCTCGAGATGGACTTCGACCCGAGCGCGTTCGACACTAGCGACGAGGACGAGCCAGCGCCGGCGCCGCAGCCGTGCTGGCCGGCGGCCGGCGGCGCCGGGCCGTCGGTCGCCCTAGTCAGCATCACTCCCCCGCCGCTGCCGCCGCTGCCGCCGCTGCCGCCCTCCGACCGGAGGCCAGTACCGGAGGCGGCGCCGCCGCCGCCGCCGTCGCCGCCGTCGCCGGTCGGCAGCGGCTCGTCCGTCGACTCGCCGCCGTCGCCGGCCAGCTCGTCGCCGTCGTCGCCGGCCAGCTCCCGGGATGGCTCGCCGTCGGCCACCGGTGCCGCCGACAACGTCAAGTTCAACCGGCTCTCGATGGCCGGCTCTAACTCGGACGACAACCTGTGCTCGAGCGACGGCGGCGACCGCAGCCCCGAGAACAACGCGGCGTGGGGCCGGCCGGCCGGCGCGCGCCGCCTGCCCGAGCACAAGGTCACCAACCGGCGCCTGCCGCGCTACAACGTGGGCTCGAACAGCGCGCCGGCCGCGTCGCCGTCGGAGCCGGCGGTGCGGCTGCCGGCAGCGCTGCCGCACAGCCGGAGCGACCACAGCTCGGTCAGCGGCGGCACCGACAAGTACCAGCCGTGCTGCAGCAACGACCTGAGCGACCGCCAGCCGGATGGCTGCCGCGAGCGGCTGCGGCGCCGCGAGAACTCCGTGTTCAACATCCCCGGCGCCGGCGACCCGAACCTGCAGCATGACGGCTGTCATGCCACCGCCGAGAAGGCGTTCATGGCGCGCAAGGGCGACGCCGATGCCAGCCTCTTCGAGGTGGGACTGATGGGGCGCTGTGGACGGGTGCGGCGGGCGCTGTGTGATCGGGGTCGGGGCCCTGGTGCCGGCTGACTCGTTTGGCCCGTTGACTCGTTTGGCCTTCAGGCATCTGCGATCGCTGAATTCCGTCAGTCATTCGTTGAAGGTAGTTTTCTAGGATGCTTGGTATAGTAACTGCAGCACGTTTGAGCGAGATTCGATGTGTTATGTGCGGACGAATGAAATATGCGTTGGGTATGTCGGGTAGGTAATTTAATTTGTCATCCGATGTACGTGTGCTGTTTATAATTGGTTTTCCACTGGTGTCCATCTGGTGTCCACCTGGTGTCCTCTGGTGTTCAGCTGGTGTTGTCAGGGGTAGATCACTTGCCCCGTCATTGCCATATTGAGATATAAGCGGCCCCCACTCTCCTAAAATTAACGTGTACGAGGTCCATGGAGCTGTGTGTGCCGCCAGACCGCTTCCACTCACCACGCCTCCATGTGTGCTGTCCGTCCGCCTGTGGTCGGCTATCCACGGCCCCTGACCTGCTCTGACCTGACCTGCCGCCAGCTGGGCGCCGGCCCACCGGAGAAGGTGATGATCTGGACCGAGCGCGAGGTGCTGACCCGCCAGGTGACACAGATCGGCCGCTCCGCCTGCGGCGCTACCGCCGTCATCAACGTCCTGGTGAGGCCCGCCGCGCCGCGAGCGCCGCCGCCGAGGGAACGCGGCCGGGTCGCGAGCGCCGCCGCCGAGCGAGCTCCGCCGCCGGGTGAGGGCGGCCGGGTCGCGAGCGCCGCCGCCGAGCGAGCGCGGCCAGGTCGCGAGCGCCGCCGCCGGGCGAGGGCGGCCGGACCGCGCCGCCGGGCAGGTCGGCTGTCAGCTGGCGGACGTGAGGAGTCGCACAGCAGCGGGTGTGATACCGGACCAGCTGGTGCCGGGGGGGGGGGGGGGGGGAGAGGGTTAGGTTGGCGCGAGGCTGGCTTTCGTTTGCCAGTTGGTTGGTGCTGGCCTGTTGTTCCAATGTTCTTCAGATATCGCCCTGCCGGATGCATATTTCCTCGTTAGCTGGCTCTGAGCTGGTCTTGCTGTTTCTCTCATTTATTTGCTAATAGCCTGCAGCTGTGTGGGTCAGTCGTCGTTGGTTTGTGTATCTCCTCTGGCTGGACAGTGGCCTGGCGGCCATCCCCGCCCGCAGCCGGACCCAGTGTGCTGTGCTCCCCGCGGTGTGGCCCGCTCTGCCTGCTCGTCCATGAGGCTGACCGGGCCGCTTGTCTGTCAGCTGGCGCTGGGCTACCAGCCGGACCAGGCGGCGGCGGCGGCAGCCGTCAGTACCCGACTGCGCCGCGAGGCGGCGCCACTGGCCGACTACCTGTTCTCGCGCGCCGAGGCTGGCTGCACGCACAAACAGCTGATCGACGGCGTCAACACGCTCACCGACGGCCAGGTCAGCCGGCGGAGGTGTCGGGGGCGGGCGAGGTCAGGTCAGCGAGGGGCTCAGCGATGACCCGGGGCGGCAGGAGGTTGATAGTCTGCTGTCAGCTGCGAACGGTCGGGGGATTCTCCCCGGTAGTGGACCTTCGCCGCCTTTCGACAAGTCCCGCGGGACCGTGCACGATCGTGGCGGCTTGTGTCTCTAAAACCTCAGCTTTCGTTGGGTGACGCCCCTGGTTTTGAAAACGGCGTTGCCGACGCTGGTGTCGCCCTGGCGCTGGGTATTGGTGGAAGCATCGGATGCGATGTGGCGCGACGTTATTGGATGGTGACTTGGCGCACCGGCGCTGCTCCTGCCAGTCTGGTGTCAGCAGGTGCGGCGCACCGGCCGCGGCCCCGCTGTTTGCCGTTCACCGTTCCCGCCATCGCCCCTCGCCCCCCTCCCACTCACCGTGAGTCACTCAGACTGTGAATCACGCGGCCTGATCGGTACAAACGGCTCTGTGTCGTGCAGTCTAGCATTTATTGGCCACCACTACATTGGCCGGAGAGTGAGCAGAAGGGTACTGGCCAGAGAGCGCAGGGAGCTGTTGCCGTCGGTCCTGGAGTGGGGTCCGGTACCGAGTACTCGGTAACGGGTACGGAGTCGGTCAGGCCGTCTAGTAGAGCCCGAACGGCGACAGGCCGTAGTAGCCGCGGTAGTACGGGTACCTGCAACACGGCAGCACCGGTCAGGGGCGGGCCAGCGTGGGGGGTCGCTACACCGCAGACTGTACGCCCGCCGTCGGAGTGGCGGTGGCCGTGCTGGGAGCAGCTGTGACTGTGCTCGTCGGCTGGCGGTCAGCTCCCGCGCATCAGTCTGTCACACACTGTCACACTGTCACACGGCGTTGGCCTCGGTCGGCCTGCTGGCTGCGCAAACTGAGCGTCCGCCATACAAGGCGTCCCGCGCCAGAGAAGTCGGACTGTTGGCACCGCTCTCGGCTGCTTCCTCGGAGTCTCACGTGTGCCTCGTGCCTGTGCCTCTGTGCCTCCGTAACTCACGTGTGCCTCGTACCTGTGTCCCTGAGAGCTTCCGTATCTCACGTGTGTCTCGTGCCTGTGCCTGTGAGTGCCTCCGTATCTCACGTGTGCCTCGTGCCTGTGGCTCTGAGTGCTTGTGAGTCTTACGTGTGCCTCGCACGGCCGGGCGGGCGACAGAGGAGTGAGCCGTGACGTACCGGGGCGCCAGGCCGTAGCCGTAGCGGGCGCGGCTGTAGTAGGGGTAGCGGTAGCCGTAGGCGTATCTGGCCTCCTCGGCGGCCAGGTCGTGCTGATCTTCTGCCGGCGCGGCGGCCGCGACGTACATCACGGCCAGCGCGGCTAGGACAGACAACAGCTGCAACAGACACGTCCGGTCATGACCGGTCACGGCCAGCGGAGGCTGTAACAAGACCTAGCGGGGCGAGGGGAGGGGAGGGGTGGCACACTGGTGACAGGACTGGGCACGGCTCCGGGACGGCCCTCCGCCGCGGAGAATGCCGAGCTCTCGGCCCTGCGTCGAGGTGGGCCTGACAGCGCGGTTGACGGGCCGCCGCGGCCGGCGGACCGCGGTCGTGAGTCAGCTGCCGCTTTATGACCTGCGGTCGATAGGCTGCAGGATGGCACTGCGGGGGCTGCGCTGGCCGGGCGACGACAGCAGCCGACGTGGCGAGCTCGCCGGCGCCGGGACGCGGCGGCGTTGCGGCTGTCAGGCCCGTGGGGACCCGGATCGGTCGCTGTCGGCAGCAGGCGCCCGGCGCCGGCCGCCGCCCCACTCACCAGGATCTGGGCGTTCATGTTGGCGAGCGGTGCGGCGGCTCACTGGATGCCTTCTGCCGGAGGAGGGCGCGTTTTAAGGCGGCGCGGCGGCGGCGGCCTTCGCGGCGGCCGCGTGAGCGCGGCGCCGCGGGCAGCACGGCCGCCGCGCCCGGCCGGCCGCTGTCGCCCCGGTGTCGTGCCCGCCCCGTGATGGGCGGAGGCTTTGGCCGGCGCTGCCCTGGTCGCGGCCGCGCCGCCCCGGCCCCGCAGGTCAGCCCCGCTGCCCGCGCCGTTCGGGTCAGCAGACTGTCAGCTGGCTGGCGCTCTGCTGGCTGAGGGATAGGCCGTCGGCGCACACACATACTCGCTGCTCAGCATGCATAAGTGATCCGTCAGTATGTTCGACCTTCCCTGACTGCTAGAGCGCGTGGTATGCTGGCCTTTTCTCGCAACATGCACGGGTGGACCGAAGCTTCTTGACACTAAAAGCCCTAAAGTTAGTTTGTTTTCGGCATTGTGGGTTGCTGCACTTGAAATAACTGGCCTTCATTTTATTAGGTGGTACTGTTATATGAAGGTATTAGGAATTCACAAGTATATATATGATAGAATGCTCGACGTTTCAAGTCAGTTATCATATCCTCAGATAAATAATTTTGATCATCAAGTAAGTTGCAAATGCCTACAACTTCGAAGACAAAAATGTTCCCATTCTGTGAAGACCGCCCAGAAAAAGATACCAAAACAATCAGCCTTTCGAGCGTCTGCGTTGTAATGCCGAAAGCCTGGTTCTATACTAAAGGATGCTGAAAGCACAGATGTCTTAACTGGAGCGTCCAATGACCACACCGAGTACAAGGTCATCAACATTTCCCTGAAGAGCATCAGTGCAGTCATTCAACCTGTCACATCGTAGCACCCTCATACGGCGCCGCACCAATGGCTGCCCAAAACACAGCCTGCTGAACCGACAGGTTTTAGTGGCCTGTGTCGGGTATAAGGTTAAGAAGTAACTTGCTTCAGGACATCAGAGGTTACTGTATGCTGTTGTTCTAAGTTACTTGGTACAATACAGCAATGTTGAAAACCACAACTAGCGACCTTTCCTAACGTGCCTTACATGGAAAACGCCGCACAAATCATGCCCAAGACCACGCTTGCCTGGTTTTACTCCGCTGAAGATTACGCCATTGCGATATAAATATACATATATATATATATATATATATATATATATATATATATATATATATAAATACATATACATATGACTAGCATGGGGCTCGTTTTGAACTCAGCTTTGCCTTGTTGATGATATTTTGCAAACCCGGGCGGTTCAATTGGAGTTTTCCTAGTTGGGTTAGTGTGGAGAGGGTCAGGGGATGGCGATCTCTCTTCCCCTGCCGTATCCCGCACTCCTGGCGTTGGTGACCCGCAAGCTATTTTAAGTTATTTTATGCAGACCAGCATAGATTTTGTTATTGGCTGCTAACTTCTTGGTCGGCTCGTCGTGTCATGGCGATGTGGCCCAAAGCACTACTGAAATGATATCAGCGCAGTGTGGTGACTACTGGTGCCCGGGTGGCCGGTTGGATACCCTTCGCTCGAGTGGGGGTCAGTTTGCCCCCTGAGATCTCAGAAATTAAGGGAGCTAGAGGCACCAAATTCACGGGGTTTGTTGGCCGGTACGTGAACTCACTTGTGTCAAAGTTTGAGGTTCCTAGGTCGTGGCCTTCGGGCCAGATAAGGTAAAAAACGTCAACCCCCAGGTTGGTGTCGAGAGTGCCCTCAGAACCTAGATATCTGTTCTAAATAAAAGGTCACGGATGCTTGTTTAAGTCAGTGACATCGTTTGACCTTTCAAAGGTCATGGTGACCAAATCGTTTAAGACCACTTTGAGTTTTGCATTCGAGTAGGCGTCAAAGATCACCCTAGGCGGTACGCTCCTGAAACAAAATGTTGACCGTGGGCATTGAAGTCAGCGGTCTATTCTGACCTTTAAAAGCCAATGGAATATATAAAATACGGTTCCTGTCATCAATCAATTAAAAACGAGCACCAGAATCTACTCCATACAGCAAGCTCTAGAGTAATAAAACGGGTTGGTTTTAACTTTGTTTTCTTAACCCTGGGTCAATGAAATTTGTTCATTCACTTGTTGTATTGCCTTATACAGTATCCCAGAGCTGTATGGCTTCGTCTAATACTCGGTTGTTGCATCGGATTGAACGATTCACTAGAAATTGGCTTCGCTGAACCCATAGCCCGGCTTTGATCTGCCGCAGGTCAGTGACATTACAAAATGTATCTAAATTTTGACACCAAACGATTCACTATTCAATTGTCTATGGATCTATAAAATGTGGCGCGGTAACGCCGCGCCGTTCGAAGTCCATTCTGTAAACACCTTTGGGGGTGAGGGAGGGAGGGAAAGCGGGTTCTCTTCCCACCCGAGCGCGTGTTCACGTACATTTTCTTAAGATTGAAGTCGCACAGAAAATGCGCCGTGCATCTGAAGAACTCGCAAGCGTAAATGTGCCATTCCACTGTATGAATCAAGAGACGCGGCGCTTCCTACATGTTTGATAAAAAAGTGTTCTTGGTGCCTCAAAAAGTGGGGTTGTGCGTCCTCATGTAGCATACACGCCCTTTAACGACCCATTACATGGCCTTAATAAGGCTACTTCTCTCTCAGCAATATATGCGCAAAATTACATCGCACTTTCCCTTGGATCTGCCTCGAAGGCATTCAAGTGCCACGATGCAATTTCGCTCGGTTGCAATAACGTTGCAATCGCACTCGCGGCGACGTCGTGATGCTCCTGGGTAGAGTAAGAGCACAATCATGCATACGCTCAGAGATGATGCTCTTGGTTCCACTGTGCTCGCGCGGTACCGGGCCGAAGCGAACGCGCCCAGGGAGAAGACATCAGGGACGTCCCTGATGTCTGGCGCAAACCGGAGAGGCTGCCGGCCGACGGGAGGCCCCGCAGCATATCATGCGCTCTTTCTGTTGAAGCCACTGATGGCGCGCGGGAGCCGCGCGGCCTGGCGGGGCGCGCACTGAGCGACAGGCGCCCGACGGAGGAGCACGGGGCTGGAGCACGAACGGGAGTTAACCGGAATCGGAACACTGAGATGGGCGAGTTTGCATGCCGTGCAGTTGCGCTTCAAAGCCTCCAACTGATGGGGAGGGGGGGGGGCGCGTTCCCCTTTACTGATGGGGGGGGGGGCTTCCCCCTACTGATGTCGTGCGGGAGCCCGGCCCGCGACGGCGGTCCGGAGTCGGCCGGTGCTTCAAAGACCCCCTTGTACTGATGTACGGGGCCCGGCACGTAGTCGTCGGGAGTCGGCCAGGGCGGCACCTGATCTCAGCACCACTCGGTCAGGTGTGGACGTCTGTGTACGTTGCGTGTGTCTGAGCTCCTGTGAAATTACCGCTGTGTGTTTGTGTAGTTGACACAACGTAGTGGGATGGTCTCAACATGAGTACGGAAGGTGCACTGAGGGCACAGCCACCTCTGCACCGCGGCGGTGGGCCGCCTGTGCTCCGGGGTGCGGGTGGAGCACACCGCCGCGCGCGCTCGCCCGTGTCGAGCGCGGTGCTCCGCCGGCGCGCGCCGGTGTCCCCCGGACGCGCCGATGTCGCTACGGCCCATCGCACGTCCTTGCCGCCTGGAGCGGCTAATGGCGGCCAGCAGTCGTTTATTGAGCTTTATTGCGCCCGTTCTGACAGCGGAGCTGAGTGTTCGACCAGCGGCGAGGTCAGGCCGGCTGATATTAATGTGTCGATATTATTGGCTGTCGGTGGTTCACACAAGTACTAACTACCGCTGGAAGATAAAGTGACTTTTCAAGCTATACATGGCCGTTATAGTGTCATTACATCATTCTTTTTCAGGTGGGTGTTGTCTTAGTTTTTGCGTTAGGAACATCCATTCAGTATGGTAGTCTACAAGCACAATTTTTTATTTTCTCCGTAAAACGTAAAAGGAAAGCCTCGGAAGAGTCGTAAAGGTGCCACTCTTTAATGCACAGGGTTTTGTCCGGACGAGAGAGCGATTGAGTGTTAAGTCGTCGCTGTTTCGTTTTTCATATGCGTGTCACGTAGCACGGAATAGCAAGCTAATCGAAGAACAACCAATTCGGGAAATGTGTTCTAAGGCATAGTGAAATTTCAGCTGAACGTTTTATGATAATTTTGATGTGTACTTTATGTTGTATTCTAGGGTTACAGTTTTCTTAGTTTGATTGAGATTTGATTTTAAGTTCGACGAAATGTTGAATTACTAACTATTACTCAACTGCATTCACATTCTTCATTAAAATACATTTCAGTGAATTCAGATATTTAACCTAAAAGAAACTTCATGAAATATTTGCAAATTGCGTATTTTGTTAGTTCAAGCGCGCTGCGGAGGAGAGTCGTAAGAAGCCAGCTGACGTTACTCCACCACCATTTAGCCCTAACCACCTCAGTCGGCTAAAGAGGAAGCTATCGCTGACCTTTGGCCATTGCCGTCCAGGGTATTTACCAGGCGACGCCCGCCTGATCGGTATTTGCGCCAAGACGAGCCGTGCTTGGCATGGAACAGACTCGCGTGCGCTGCGATCGGCGCAGGCTGAAGCGTTACTGCGCTGTCGTCTGTTTCTTCACCTGTTTATTTATTTTTTGTTGCCGCCAGCTGCAATTCGAATGTGGGCGGAGGTGATGATTTTACGCGGTGACTACATGGTTGCGCTCGGCGAATAGCAAAGCTTTCAAATGGCCCTGGCCCAAAGCTTGAGGGAAGCATTTTGAGTTCTGTGCCGCCACGTTTTGCCAGCTGTAATTGTAAACACTCTTGATGCGTATGCGGACATAGCGTGGTCGCGTTCCTTTATTGGAAAGCAGAAATGGACCTGATCCAATACAAAAAGGAGACATTTTGCGTTCTATCACATCTTAGGCACTGGGAGATTGGTCAGTATGTTTTTTAGTTATACGTCCGTTTCGATGGCATTCCTGAGCTTGCTTTGAAATCCGTTCATTCAGTCATGCATCCACTAGTGGGATTCGGATCGAATTCGTATTCACATTCGGATTCCGATCGATTGGAAGAAGGCTCCGTGTATCGCTCAGTCTGTGAAATGCTAAGTCTCATTAGATCTCATGTGACACTGCATTGGATTGGATGTTTCTCAATGCTTTTGGTATCCCCGTGGTAGATTGTTTAGCGCTTTTGCGAGGAGCACCATGCATATAGGTAAGACAGTAGTGGTAGCGTTATTCCCCGGAGAAAAAAAGGCAGGAGAATGGAGATAAAGATGCGTTGATATTTTGGCAATATACCTTTATCGAAACATTAATACACCTATATCTCCATTCTCCTGGGTTTTGTTCTCCCAGGAATAACGCTATATCTACTGTCTTATCCCCGCGGTAGCTTTGGCAGAAGATCACTGCAACCGCCCGTTCGTCAGAGGCATCGACCCGTCCCCCACCGTCGTCACCGCCACCACCATGAAAACCCATGCATGCTTGCGTCCACCGTCCGTCGCTCGGGTCACGTGGCGGCCGGGCGGGGTCGCTGGGCGGCCGGTCCCGGCGTGTGACCAGACCACGCCTACTGCGACCGACGGCGGCGCAGCAGGGGAGGGGCAGTCAACCCTTCCCGGCAGACAGGCAGAAGGGGGAGGGGCGAGGGGACGTTTTTGCCGCCTCAAATTTTAAGGAAGGCTTAAGTTTATTTTGCCCAAGCTGAAGGCTTTGTAGCTACACATACTTGAACGAAATTCAGATCAAGGAAGCCCAATAACCACCGCAATTGTAACTGAGCTAGGGGTACGAAATCGGGGCTCAGAAGACTTTTCTGTATCAAGAGTCACATTATCCGGATAAGCAAGCCTCATTTTTTGTTAAAAGTCCTCAGCTGGCTTGGGAGGCCCCCGTTATGAACTATCGAGTCTCCTTTTCTGGGTCAGGGAGCATGCTCCATATCTGAAGAAGCCTATATTCTAGGCCGGGAGTTACGAGCCAGGGAAAAAGTCGGGAATCTGCCATGTGTCAGAAGTGCGCTAATCTGGATCAAGATATCCTGTCTTGGGGTAATGAAATCCTTTGCTGAGTTTTGAGGCTCTATTTGTCTGCTGGAAGTACCATGTTTTCGATAACGAGATTCCTCTATGCGTTGGAAGGCCCTTTTTATTGAGTCCGGCATGATGTCTTGAGAATGGGAGGCGCTTTCGCCGGGTCGGGGATCAGAGCTCCCTGTTCGTGGTTTTGTGATCACCGACATTCACACTTATGCCTATTTATACATGTCACGCATATGATAAGAGGAGACGTGCCCCCACCCCCTTGAAAAAAACACTGTCCAGGATCCCTCTCCCCCCCACCCGTGAAGAGGTTCCATCGACCGGCTTTCGATCGCCGGCCCTGACGCGTCCCTGTTCGGACAGGAGGGCGCGAGCCGTCGGCGTCTGGCGCCAGCAGTGGTCTGACCGAGCGAACTGCTCCCAGTTTGCAGTCACTCGCATGACGGCCAGCAGTGGTCTGACCGAGCGAACTGCTCTCAGTCTGCATTCACTCCCATTACGGCCTGCCGCGGTCGCACCAGCAGTGGTCTGACCGAGCGCGCTGCTCTCGTGACGGCCCGCCGCGGGCGCACCAGCAGTGGTCTGCCCGAGCGCGCTGCTCTCATGACGGCCCGCCCGCGGGTGCACTAGCACACGGCGCGCGCCGTCCCCTCAGCTGACAGTAGCCGCCCCGAGCGCGGCGTCGGAGCGCCACAGCAGTTTGTGGGCTGTACAGGTGTGGCGGGAATCTGCGTCAGCTGGCGCTTGACACGGGCGACAGCCCCTCCCCGCCCGTCGCACGCACACACGCGGCCCTCGGCGGCGTGACATTGGCCACAATGGGAGCAGACACGGTCAGAGGCGCTGGTAGGCGGCACGTCCGGTCGGTCGGTCTCGGTGCGTCCTGGCCCAGCTGCGGCGCGCGGCCCCCTGGACCGTCGCCACCAGTGGCGCCGCAGGGCGCTCTGGCGCCTGTCCCGGGCGGCGTGGGTCGGACGGACGCCACACCCTAGCGGGTGCTGCGCCTGGCCGTTAACAACCCGGACCGGCACTGGCAGTGTGGCATCATGCATCTGGTCTCAGCGCCAGAGATTGGGCTTTTAGTCGTCATTGTTTGATTTTCGCGACAAGTCCACTCGTGAGGGCCTGGTGACCGATGCGCTGAAGTCAGTGAGAGGCAGACCATCGGAAATTGCGGACGGAACAATCGCAGAATCCCAGTACACGCACGCACCCGTATATATCCCGGACTAAGCTCGGGTAGAATCGACGTGCAGCGGATTATTTTCTAGACGCCGTGAACAGTCCTACGCCTTTGCGGTCCCCGAAGCTGGTGCGGCGGACGCCAGAACGGCTCAGCCGACCGGCCGCCCCCGTCAACGTGTGCCTGGCGCCACGCCCATTATTGGCCGGGATGAGCGGTGCGGCGAGCTCGGGGGTGTTGGCTCGGGGCCACGATAAGTGTGAGAAAAGACTGTTGGTGGCTGGAGACAAACTGGCCAGCGGTTGGCGATTTCTGCTCCCTGACGTTGCAAGATATGTACTCTGTTGTCCCTTTCCACAGAACATACGAACGCAAAAATCGTAGCGATTTCTGTTGTCATGTTTGACCATGCAGGCGGCACATAAGTAGTGCGTTGAAGATGCCATACGTGCAGGGTTTATGTGCCTTCAATAACATGGCGTCTCAGATGGTTAGAACATGCTTTGCGTGGAAACGGGCAGCCATCCAGTGCGTCATGAGTGCGTGTGAGAGTGTCGATTGACCTGCCCATGCGACTAGGCGGCCGCGTTGTGACCGTCCCCTCTGTGTACTCTCATCACTGTTGTAACCCGCCGGTGCGCGGTTGGCCGTGTTCCGCTGGCGCCCACCGGGGACCGGTCACGCCCACCTCCCGGCCCGCGCCGACCGTGACTGACGGCCCGCCCGCCCCGCCGTGTCGGACAGGTGTGTGGCCGCTTCTTCAGCATGTACCCGCGGCGCAGCTTCCAGCTGGTGCGCTGGCTGGGCGGCTGGCTGCGGCGCGGCGCCGTGCCCGTGGCCACGCTCAACCCGCAGCGGGGTGTGCCGCCGCAGCAGACGGTGCCCGACGCCTGGCACCACCAGATGGCGTTCGGCGTCGGACCGCAGGTCAGTCGGGCTGCGGCGTGCTGGCTCCCCGTGGCGGCCCGGGCTCCGGCGCGGCGAGGCGCTCGTCAGGCAGATCAGTTACTGACGCCGAGAGCTGATGTTGGTCGCGCGCCATCCGTGCTAAACGGTCGTGGGGGAGCTTGGAATGTGTCAGTGGGAAGGGGCTTGGCTTGGCGGTCTTTTGTGTTATTATCTGACTTCGGGGAACGTGTGGCCGGAAACTGTGTCTTATCAGGGCTGTGCGCTGCTGATACGTGGCGCATGTGGCGGTGTGTAATCTCGGCCGTAAAACCCGCCCCAACCGGCGGCAAGGAGAAGCACGCGTCGGACTCGAGGTGTGCTAGACCACAACTCTGCTTTCATTTGGACCGAGCCCAACCTCTGTGTGGGCTGACCCTCCAGTGGCCGGCCGTGATACTTTGTAGTCACTTGTCGGACGCCCGCCACGGCTTTCGTTCGTGGCTGCCCGCTGGCGGGGTATCCCTGCCCTTCTGCGCCTGCCTGCGTGCCGTGTGGTGCTGGCCGCCGTGTGGGCCGCGTTGTCCCTGTGAGCGCGTCTGCGCGTGCGCCCTGACCCGGCCCGGCCGCCGCCGCCAGGGCGTGTACTTGACGAACCCGCTGGAGTGCGTGTCGGCCTCGCTGCTCGGGGAGCAGCTCTGCAGCGAGCCCGTGCTGCTGGTGCGACGCGAGGACATCACCTCGCGGTGGCGCGACGGCTGTGCCCTCCAGCCGCTCATGAACGCCGCCGACCCCCGCTGGCGACGCATGAACGTGCTAGGTGGGTACCGCGCGGCGCCCCTGCAACCGCCAGTCTCTTACAGGATTCGCATGACGCACCTCTGGCTGCCCCGATGCTTTGCCCGATGGCCGCGATATGGCAGCGAAGTCGAGGTGCCCGAAAGCCCCAGTGACACATTCGATAGGGCGGATGAACTGTGTGTCTGTCTGGTGTGTGCTTGTTAGTCTGCATGTTGCCCAGCGTTCGACAAAGCAGCAACTACGACTCGCTTTCACGACTCGAGGCCATTTGACTGTTACGGAAGATTGGATTTCCAAGGTAGTCTGTCTAATGTGAATAGGTTGTCTCATGTTGCCGTGTTCGTCCGACCCGATATGTGGTTCGGGTTCATTTGTCACAGCCGTTCGATGACATATTCTCAAACAACTCACTCCCGTCTTGTGGACCGCACCTATCGTTTAGCGCTCACATGGCTCGTCGGTGCGATGGCCTTAGTGGTGGTTGCCGCCGGTGACCCCGCCGGCTCATGCGGCGTCCCCGCCGCTCTGTGGCGGGTGCGGCGCTGCTGCCGGGCCGGACCGTGACGCCGCCGGCTCGCTCCTCAGGCCAGGTGGTGACGGTGCTGCGGGAGGAGCTGGACGCGCCGCCGCCGGGCGTCCGGCGCGTGCTCACCACGCACGTGACCGTGCCGGCCTGGTACCGGTCGGGCGTGACGCTCTTCCTGCGCCGCTCTTCGCCGCACTGCGCCGACCTCCTGCGCGAACCGGAGCTGCCCCGGCTCGAGGATTGTTAACGCCTGAACGATGCAGATCCTATTTATGTGCGCTTCGATCTATGCAATGACCTGTTTTTGTGTGTTTGTAAATATACGCTGCCATACCGCGCCCTGTCAGTCTGCGCGAAGCAGCAGGCGGGATGCTCGAGGATATTTTTTTTTGCGACGCGCATGTAACCAGATCATGAGCGGGGTTGAAGTGGAATTAAAGGTGCATGAGTTCATGCTTTAATTGGGACGTACAACGGGTCGGTCAAAGCGTAAATTGAGGCAAACTTCCGTGCATCTCATGCGTAGATGGGATTTGGTACCTGCCGAAAATATTTTGTTGCGTCGAGTTGCAGCTAACTTTTGCTCCAAGGAGCTGTGTGGCTGTGAACTGACTAGTGGAATATATCGGAGCATTCAGCTGCTGGTGTCTTCAGTCAAACCAACGGATGGAAAATAGATCCAGAAAAGCGATGTCTTGAACCGCTTCGTCCCTTAATTTTTCGAGCAGTGGGGACACGGACCCGGCGCACTGCGGCGTGGGCCGTCGCGGATCAAGACAGCGAGTGTGGCCGATGGGCGGCTCAGAGTACTCTGCTCGCATAAAGCGGAGGTTTGTGTTCTGCAGACAGACCATTTGAACTTGGGCTTCACTGTCGCGGCCTCTGGTGGTGATCTGGGCGACTCGGAGTGGTCAATGCGAGGGAGCCGAGCGGCTCCCCTGAGGAGGAAAGCCCCTCATAAGCGGTACAAGGTACTACATAGCACGGCATGCCATTGCCGCTGCTGGCCTTAATTCCAGGTTTGAGGTTCACAGCCATCCCAAATAAAATTCGAGGCCGTCAGGTACATCAGGGATCCGACTGAAAATCAAAATGCGCATCAATTCATGGGCAGAAAAAGTTTCCTCTGAAATTGGGCCGGATGGAAGTTCAGGAGCGTGGTAGAAAAAGGCAATGTTTCCTGCCTTGCAAAGTGAGTACAGCTTTGATCGATGATTGATCGAAAACGTTCTCGATCATTGCCTCCGTCAACCTGTGAAGGGCGGTACGGGTGCAGAGCAGACGAAGGGAAGAGACCCTATTTCCGGGAGGAGGTTAACACTACCTACGATGTTGCATAGAGAGGAACCATCTCAAGATCAGTTCCGCCTAATTCTCAGTTAATTTAGTTCCAATAGCTAAAATGGTTTGTGCCTGCCTTACGATTTGCCCACTCGTGGCTGGGTGAGCCGTTCTTTCCGATTGGAATGGGTCGCAGCTAGTGACAGTCGCCGCGCTTAAGATCAGGTGATGTCAAAGGGCAGAACGAACCATGCCGAGCATTACGGCACGTGCGTTCGTCCGGAAATCTGCCGATGACTCGCATCACGGGCAAATGTTGAGCCCAGGGCTTACACAGGCAGTGACGCAGCCAGGAGGTGAGGGGCACCCCGTCCTTTAATTCACTTAATTTTTGGTTTTTACTTTTTTACTTCCGCACCGGAGACAGCCCCTTCAGTTTTCCTATGGCGTTCAAAATAGCTGCTTTTGTTCTCCCGTGATGAGTGCTCACTGAGCTTGCCCCCTCCCTGACTGAAGTCCTGAAATCGTGCATGCGGCCCTGACAACAAGCGTGCTTGGCCTGTTGATGACCTGTCAGGGGCGCGGTTTCGCGAAATTGATTGGTTGTTGAACAGTGAAAAACGACTTCGCGCATGCAGCAAAACCCCCAACAAGCGGATTTACCCCAGACTTGGCCTTGATATTAATGTTGGGGAGGAGGGGGGGGGGGGGCCTGAGGCCCAAGTTAGATGCGGGGCTGGGGCCCACCCAACTGCATGAGGAAACTACACCTCCGTGCCTGACATACTTCTGTGTATGCCTGCAATTAAATAACCAATATTGTATGTCATCATGCCAGTTACACTTAGTTTAGATTCTTATCTTTTTCCTGTATTTTCGGACAAGAAACGCTTTACTATGGCGTATGTGCGAGACTTGTTGCACTAATACGTAGAGGCAGCGGGGGAAAATGATTTAGCTGCGTGGAGCCTCCGTTCATGGCCGAATCAGCTGTTTGATGCTTTGTGGTGGTTGTGTTGCGTCGTCAGTGGTGCTGCGCCATTTCATTTGCGTTCTGTTCATCGCAGCCCCGACGCATAAGCATATATTTGTGGTTGTATTAGACCCAAGCCCCTGTTTCAAAGATGTCTTACGCATATCTTTTCAAGTACATCATTATAGGCGACACAGGTAACGGTGAAATTGTTGGCAGTGGTGCGCTGAATTGGTACCTCCTGTGGGTTTTGTCCGTGACGAGACAATTCGATGCATATGTGTGTTAATTCCTAGGCAGGCGAATCCGATACTAATATCAAATGTTTGAACTTCTATTAGTAGCTTGTCAACTAGTGTATTAATGATATAATACTACCAACACTACACCAAACTAAAGATTGGGCATGCTCTCAATTTTTAAAGCTGCACCCATATCTATAAACATAGTCATCCTCCTGACCAGGCCACAGTCTTAGCTATGCCTTATGCACTGGCAGCTAAAAATCTATGTGTGGCGTGTACAGTGAGTTTTTCAGCTCATAGGAAATCATTCACATGTTAGTTAGGTGTTGGCCAGCCTGAATAAAGCCCTAAATAGGCTAACTTTTTGTAGCTTACTTATTAAGGTAAAGTTCTGTATTTTAACCAACTCCTAGAACATAATTTTTCAAGAATTTACATTGTTAGTACTGTGGGATGCCTAACTAAAGAATGTCACTGCACAATTTGTGAAGGTTGTCCTCAGTTATGTTTCAGCTCTAATTCCAGCCTAAAAGGGTTTTCTTGGGATTTATTACTTTCTAGACTGGTCTATTGCTATGCATTTAGCTCAGTGCAGAACTCAATGAAGCACATGACATAGTAGAGGCTAATAAATTCTCATCTGGGTATATAGGTACAATTGCATTTAAATATGTCTGATAGATGTTTCACTGGCTGGTTGCTTGTATTTTCATTTGGCAGATTAAAGCAGATCATTATATGTCTAAGCTTTTTGCATTTCATGTCATTCATGATATGTTTCTCAATGTTGTGGTGTGCACTAACAGAATTTCACTTCATGATTTGGTTGATAACTCATTGATTCTTTGTTTTTGGTTGGTGGTTGAATCTACACATAATCCTTGCATCCTATGTGTATCTAAACATTATTTTTAAAATATTTTCTCTTTGATTAAAAATAGGTTTTGGACACCATGTCATACTGAGGTCCTAGAACCTTCCAACTGAATGGTTGGATAGACAGTGCTCTCTGTGATTGGCAGGTGTTGGGAAATCCTGCCTTCTCCTGCAGTTCACAGACAAGAGATTCCAGCCAGTTCATGACCTGACAATTGGTAAGTATGCTAATGTATGTGAAGCAGTGGGGATGTGGATTAGAAATTAGCACATGGTTAATCAAAAAAGGCATTGAGTTCCTGTTTTTTAGTCCTATAAATTAGGGGTAATAAGCTGATGATAACTGGCTTTTAATAGACCTGGAGACACTGGCTGAGCAGCATTATCAAGTAAGCAGTGGTCTGCTCTCATGCATGCTGATAATTGCCCATGATTCATTTGATATTGTAGGATGCATCATCTTGAGTGTATGATTATTCAGCCAAAGTGTGCATAAGCACAAATCAGCCTGGTAATTTTGCTGCAAACACATTGATAGATTTTGTCTTGACAAATGGTTCTTGCCATTTCTATTTTCTTCTTTTTTGTTGATGATGTTATTGCTAGCTCTTCCACAACCCATGGATTTGCTCCCTATTGCTGGCACAGCTGTGTGTTATGAATGTGTTCAAAGCAAACTAAAGTTCAAGATTGTAATGTGCCTTTAGTGCAATAGGCATGTTGGTAGCAAGGTTAGTCTTATCATTATTGCTACATTTCTTGTGTCATCCTATTATCAGTTATGACAGCATATTCAGGTCATATGCTTAATGGCAAGCTGCATAACTTTTATGGCAGGGACATCAGCAGTGAAGTTTTATGGTTCTATCATGTTTTGCATGACCCTGTGCAGCGGCTTCTTACACATTTCTTTGGTTTGGCCACTTGAATCAGTGGCGTGGCTCCCTCAGAACACATTTTCCCAACCTTATGTAATTGATGCATCAGCTTTGTAGTTTCATGCATGAAAAATAAAAGATAGAAATAGAAAATTAAAGATAAAGTGTAGTTTGAAGTGGAAATGATGTCTGTTTAGTTTGGGTTTGATTTGCCTTTGTTCATTGTTATTTTATCCCTCACCCTGATTCACTATTTTTTTGCAATGCTGACAAATATGGAGGGGTCTGATGCGACCCCTTCTGCCATCCAAAAGCAAAATGGCCTAAGAATCATTAGTTAACATAGCACTTAAGCCTTTTGGCTTTGGATGACAGTCTCAGCATTTCCAAACTAATGAAGATAGAGTTTAGCAGAAAACATCAGTGGCTTGGTTTCAACAAGATCTTGAGTTTGCTGCTAGTTTTTATGCTTTCATGTTTGCTCAATAAGTGAAATGATGCCAGGTCAAAGGTAAAATTTCCGTGAAAATTGCACCTTTTCAGCTTTTAAACGTCACAATATGAGACTAGGGCTCATGGCAACACAAAACCTAAACATCCGTGTTTCTTGTTCAATTCTGGGTACAATGGTGTATGTTTTTTTGTGTATTTTGAGCATATGTTTATGATGTATGACTATGTTAACACCTGCCGCGCGCGTTCCGCAGCATCGTCGGCTGTCCCCCCCACGGGGCGTGGATCGACGTACAGTGTTCCTCGAAAACCGCCGCTGCTCCGAAATCATTAAACTGAGGAATACCTTTTTGGTGTCAAAATACGCGCAGTTGATGCCCCAGAGGCTAGGGGGGGGGGGGGGGGTCACATCGACACCCCTAACAGGGCGAGAGGGTTACGGCACAATTTCATTCCAATCCGTGTGTTAAGTCATGATTGGTAGGATCTGTGGAGGAGCACTTTGTGTGCGTTCGATATTTTCCGAGTCTTAACCACGGGCATGGCTGCTATCTCGGTCACATAAGGCCGTGGCTGCCGCGGAGATCTGCACTGTTGTGTAACAGGCCCCAGCCCGCCAGGGTGTCGTCGCCCTGCATCCCGGATATAAGTTTTGTGCAGACGTCCAACTGTGCATTGAAACTGCAGGCCGCCCACTGCGGTGATGTCCACTTCGCGTCGACTTAAGTTTTGTGAAGAAGTCCAACTGTGCATTAAAGCTGCGGACCGCCCACCGCCGTGATGTCCACTTCGCGTCGCGGCGCCTGCCGGGGGGGGGGGGGGGGGGGTTCAGAGTGCCAGGGGCATCCGTGCAGGTTTTTGCCATCGCTAGCGGTGCGTGCCGGGCAGTGGATAGCTGCGCCGTCTTGACGGCCGCTGCCGTCGCTAACGGCGCTGCCTGTGCTCAGGTGTGGAGTTCGGCGCCCGCATGATCACAATCGATGGTAAACAAGTCAAACTGCAGATCTGGGACACGGTGAGTGACCTGTGTGGGGGAGGGAGCAGGGTCGATCAGGGCGCGGCTTCTGCTGAAGTGAGCCAGGGCCTACATAAACGTGCATGTTTTTGCGACTTCTTGTATGAATTATCGAAAGTTTCCTGTTTTCACATTTTCACCCGCTTTTTCCACCAACACCATCAAATTATCGAGAGAAAGCCAAAGGCCTGTGGTGAGCCTCGATCTCGTCGTGTATGGCTCGTCAGCTGGTGCCGCGTCACCAGCCGGGCGTGGGGCGGTGTGCCGCAGGCCGGCCAGGAGGCGTTCCGCTCCATCACGCGCTCCTACTACCGCGGCGCGGCTGGCGCCCTGCTCGTGTACGACATCACGCGGCGCGATACCTTCAACCACCTGACCACGTGGCTGGAGGACGCCCGGCAACACTCCAACTCCAATATGGTCATTATGCTCATCGGCAACAAGAGGTGGGTGTGGCCCGGCGTGCGTCGCGGTGGCGAGGCGAGAGCCGCGCTTGGCTCTGCTGCCGGGAAATCGATCCGACTATAAGCAAAGCTAGTGGGGCTCTGATTCAAAACTACGCCCCATTTGGGGCTGACTCGGATGGTAACTGCGCTGGCTGCGTCGGATGGTAACTGCGCTGGTATGTGAAGTCAAGTGCGTATACGATCAAGTCCTTAATCGATTTCTACGGAGTCGACTGCATTCGCCGTTGTTTGAAATACAAGGCGTGTCGCGTCGGGTGTAGATCAATATATGACATTGATTGCAACGGTAAAACAGCAGTGAGAGCGTTTGATCCATTTTCAGAGTGTGTCAGTGTCGGCATTAAAACATCGGTCGTAACCATAGCTGACTTTTATAGGTGGGTTCATCGATGATTCGAAAGGAAACAGTTGACATAATTCCGTCCACGACTCCCTGAATTTGTAGGGGGAATGGGCTCCGCCATGAATTGGGGTAAGCCGATGAAGTATAATATATATATATTTCGAACGAAGTATAATATATATATATATATATATATATATATATATATATATATATATATATATATATACAGTCCATTCAGTCCATTCCAACTCGGCTCCAACGCAGCACAAGTCTCCTGCCGACCGTATCGGCCCTTGCTGTCGGTCTGGACGCGGTACCGGCGGACCTTCAGGACCTGGAGTCTCAGTGACCTGGTGTCTCAGGGACCTGGTGTCACAGTATCCTGGAGTCACTGTGACTGTAATCGCAGTGACCTGGAGGGTCGGTAACCCGGAGTCGCGCTGGCTGACCAGACGGGCCGCTGTGTGACGGCTCCCTGACGGACCCCTCATTGACCTGGCGTGCTGGCTGACCAGACGGGCCGCTGTGTGACGGCTCCTGACCGACCCCCCAGTGACCTGGAGTCGCGGCGGGATGTGAAGCGCGAGGAGGGCGAGGCGTTCGCCCGCGAGCACGGCCTCATCTTCATGGAGACGTCGGCCAAGACGGCGGCCAACGTCGAGGAGGCGTTCATCAACACCGCCAAGGAGATCTACGAGAAGATCCAGGAGGGCGTGTTCGATATCAATAACGAGGTGCGTATCGGGCGGAGGGGGGGGGGGGGGGGCGTGGTCCCGTTGCGGTCGGTCCCAGAGGGCCCGGTTGTGTGCGTGGCTTGTTGCGGACCGCGCTGCCGTAGTGTGTTCGGCCACGAGCGCGTGATGTGTGCGCCAGCGGAGATTTCCAGGCTTGCCGCCCGCTTGTGTGATGCCCTTCCCTGTTAACTATCGTGTGTAGAGTAGGTGTGACATGTGTGGATGAATGAAGTCGTAAAGGATTTGAGTGCGGAAAAGCACAAGCCAAAGTATTGCAACGAAGAGTAGCGGGCTGATAATCGACGTCAGCACGAGGCGGGCACCTCCGAAGGGGATAGAAATGCGACTCCTGTACAATTATCTCCAACACGGACCCCAACTCCGACACCTTTGACATCTCCCGCGGTGTGGCTCGTCACCCTGCACGGAGCGTGGCCGACACCGTCCCTGTCCCCGTCCCCGTCCCCGTCCCCGTCCCCGTCCCCGTCCCCGTCCCCGTCCCCGTCCCCGTCCCCGTCCCTGTCCCCGTCTCCGCCCCCGTCCCCGTCCCCGTCTCCGTCCCCGTCCCCGTCCCCGTCCCCGTCCCCGTCCCCGTCCCCGTCCCCGTCCCCGTCCCCGTCCCCGTCCCCGTCCCCGTCTCCGCCCCCGTCTCCATATCTGTCTCCGTCTCCGTCTCCGTCTCCGTCTCCGTCCCCGCCCCCGCCCCCCGCCCCCGCCCCCGCCCCCGCCCCGCGCTAACCCGCCCTCCGACCGGCAGGCGAACGGCATCAAGCTGGGGCCGCAGCACTCGCCGGCGGCGGCCGGTGGCATGGCGGCCGGCGGTCTGGGCGGTTCGCAGGGTGGCAGCTGCTGCTAGGGGGGAGGCGCGCCGCGCCGCGCTCCGGCCGCCCCCCTCCCCCTCCCGCCTGCACGTGTGCGTCCATGCATGGCGTACGTATTTGTGTTGAGTATAGCTATATGCCCCGGTCGTTTGCGTTTTCACCGTGATTATATATGTTAGCGGTAAATTGTCGGCGTCCTCGTATGATTTGCTGGCGGCCCGGTGCGACCCACAGTGTGCTTACCGCGCCTCCCGGTGTATCCAGCACGCGCTCCGCTCTGTTCGAGACGCGACCCAGCGCGGTTGTCGTGGCCGGCATCGTTCGCGGCCGCCCGGGTCAGCCGCGGCCGCCACCCCGCCGCGGCAGCGCCGGTGCCCGCCGACATTCCATTGGACCTGGGTGGCGTCGGTCGGCTAGGGAAATCGAGTGCGTTGCGGTTGATGCGGTCGGCGCCGCCCGGGTGTACGTTTTTGGGTAGATATTGTCGCTCGCTTGTCTCTGCTGTGTGCTATCTTGTCGGTGTGCGTGGGCGCGTGAGCGGTGGACGCCTGGGGAACCGTACCTATAAATTATATTCTGGCGTGAATGTGGCGCGGTCTCCTGTGAGGTGTCTTTCATTTTGGGCATTGACTTTCACAGCTGTACCTCCCGTGCTTTTCCGTGTCCCGTTTTCACCGTAAGTTAACTCTTCGCGCCGCCGCTGCAGCGGTGTGTCGCCACCGTCGCGGGGGCTAGCGCCCGCTGTGCGAAGCATTGGTTGTTCAATACTGAATAAACTATATACATTACCTGTGACCACCGGTTGGTGTGTTAAAGTGGCAGGAGTGTGGCGTCGCGATGCGGTTCGTTCCGATCTTGACGTTATCGCGTAAGGCGCTCAGCTGTTCGCGTTTTCGAGACAGGTGACGCCAGAAACAACGAGCCCAGTGTGGTTCAGCCGAACCTGTTCAATGAGCGGTGTTCATAAAGCAATGTATTGTGAGTCTGTTGGGAATTTGGTTCTCGTGGATTCAACTAGAACCTAAGTGGCATGCAATTTCAAGGACGTCCGACGCTCGTGGCTGCTACTTCTGCGATGCGCCAGATGTCCTTTCAAAGCGGGGTCGAGATTGAGGCGGAATTACAGGCCTCAATAGGCCCTTTGGTCAGTGATTGGCCCCGTCCAGTGCAGAATGGCTCCCATACGGGTCAGAATGGGCCTTCTGCAGGGTAAAATAGACCCTCGACAGTCAACACTAAGCCCTCTAAAGGCTGACATTGGCCCGCTTCAGGTCAGGATGAGACCTCTACAGGTCAGAATGGGTCCTCATCAGGCCGGAATGGGCCTTCTAAAGGTCCGAATAAGCCATCCATTGTCAATAATATGCACTTTTCATGTCAGGCGGGCTCTACAGGCCATATGGACCCTCCACGGACCTGAATGGATGGGCCCTCTACAGGCCAGAGTGGGCCCTCCGCAGCCAATAAATTCCTCCAAAGGTCAGAATGGGCACTCAGCAGTTAAGTAATCGACATTCTACGGGTCAGAATGGGCCCTCTACAGGCCCAAAAGGGACCTCAGAATGAATGCTCAGAATGGATCCTAAGAGGCCAGAATGAGCCTTCGACAGGTCGGAATGAACTTGACATGCTTACATAATTCCCTCACAGTCCGGAGTTCACTCACCAGCATGGGTCCTCAAAGTTGGGGGACCGCCCCCCCCCCTCCGCTTTCAGATTGGGGGTGAGCTGACCTACTCTCCACCCCCCCCCCCCCCCTGTTCCCGTGTTCCTGGACTATCGGCCAGACAATCTAAATCGTTCATCTGCCGATATGACATCCATTGCTTCAAACCTATACCTTGGCGACCCATGCCTTACTGCGGCCTGCCGGTTGGTGGCGTGATGGCCAGAAAACGACAGCCCGGGAACATGCCTAAAATCGCGCGCGAAATGTGAGAATGTGAGCGATGACGCTGGAATACAGCTGCCGGCTGTCAGTATACCGCAATTTCCATATTAAGATGTTTATCTTACTCAGCTGATCAACCTCCTCCCCCGACAGCGGACCACTCAGTGGTGGGAGCATGTCCACAGCGGCTATTTGCGAAGTAACAACATCCACGTTGAAGTACTTCTTAAGGTCGTGTACGATGGGTGCACACGATTGTCAGTGTTGGGGGACTTTCGTCCTACACTTGAAATCGGTCATCGGCCGTTAGGACGTGTATTTGTTGAATCACGCCCCGCGGCACATTTCCTGTTTGCTTGCCGGCTTGACCATAGCGCCCGAATACTGCGGCAGGGAAAATTGCTGTCGCTAAGAGTATGACTGTGAACAATCGATTTCGCTATTACAGCGACGTCAGATGCTAGTACAACAAGCTTCTTTGATTCCGGCTTTCTTTGTATTCGGTCAGCCATACGTCAGCTTGTCTCTCAGTGTTCACGGGCGTCCGCCACCGGCGGTTTCCAGAGTAAGAACACTTAATTTAAACACATTCACTAGCGCGCGTAGATGGCAATCATACGCACACAATGCAACTGTGGGAGCACAGTCGGGCGCGAATTTTTAATCGCCTCATCGGCAGCAATGAGCTATTACTTTTTGTTCAAATAATCCCGGCGCATTGACGGCGCCTTTCTTACATATAAGCGGACCTCAACCGTGATGGCCAAAATGCGCCAAAAAGAAGCCATACTTCGCACGAAGAGTGCGGCTATTCATGCGCGGATCCACCGGTATCCGGTATTAGATTAACCTACCGGATTCAGGGTAACAGATAAGGTTCCGAAAAAGATGTTCCCAAAAGGGATTTCTTTAAATGCGCTAGACCACCCAAAATACAGACAAATGAAATGCAATGTATTATGAACGTCATTAACATTAAAATAAGTGTCCATTGCAGGATTTCATCTTCCGGCCATGTCAAGTCCCTTTAGTCAGGACTTAAGAATCAGTGTACGAGTGGCCGGTGCAGCGGGCCACTGACACGTTCAGACGGTGCCGCACCAGTGACAGCCGGCCGTCAGCTGTCGGGGGAACATTGAGACGGACACGGTGATGGGAGACCGTATGGGCCTGGCGCGCCAACGGCTGGGCGCTCGGCGCCTACACCCTGCAAAATGTCAGCCCGACGGGGGAATCGCCGACCCTTCGGAGATTCTCTGAGATACCCGGCCCTTTTCGTTTTAAAACCTCGCGATGTATTTATGCACTGTAAAGAAAGGAGACTTCAGGTCAAACCTTTTGACCTCCTTTTCTGCCGTTTAAGAGAGAGAGAGAGAGAGAGGAGAGAGAGGAGAGAGAGAGAGAGAGAGAGAGAGAGAGAGAGAGAGAGAGAGAGAGAGAGAGAGAGAGAGAGAAGAGAGAGAGAGAGAGGAGAGAGAGGAGAGGAGAGAGAGAGCGAGGAGAGAGAGAGAGAGAGGAGAGAGAGAGAGATAGATATATATATATATATATATATATATATATATATATATATGCCATATTGATATTTACAACTATCCGACATGTAACAGGGTGATCATGAATTTCATATCGAAATTCAAAGGTCTGATAGCCAACTGTCTGATTACAAACACTGTGTGCTACGTAAGTCAAAGCGTTGTCAGGTGTCCATGCGTCAGGCTTCTTTCAAAATCATCACTGTTAGCTCAGATTTGGTTTCAGTGCAGTTATTCAACTGGATGCCCCTAAGCAATGTCCTAGCACAAAATAGAACTAAGTATAAAATCATTAATATAACAGCATTTACTCCAATACTCATTAATATATCCACAAAATAACACAGAAAGGTCATAAATGATACGAAACGTTATAGAAAAACAGAATATCCAACTTAACTAGCCCTACAGGGAGGCGGTTTATTTAGTTGGGCGGTGGCTCACAATGCTGAGAGGAAAGAGGGTCAGATCTGAGGAGAAGTCTGTTCTAGATATATTTTGGAGGTAACTTCAGCCATTTTACATTGCTGAGCCCCTTCCCCTCCCACGTATTTTGCAAAGCTGCATCCTTGTGGCCCTACAGCTATTTACAAGCCTCCCACGTATTTTACAAAGCTGCATCCCTGTGGCACTACAGCATGACCTGAGACACACGACACACAGAAAGCAACAATATCATGCATTTGGGTGCACCTGTAGCACTAGGGTCATACTTGCAGCACTTCTGCACCAGTTAAACTAGCAGCCTATCACCCTAAAGTCGATGCACCTGTCAGCAGCAGAAAGCCGCCGATGAATTCTACTCATGTGTCGCTTGAGCGTCCTCCGTTGCCCTCTGGAGCGGGGGTTAGGGCACATGAGCTGGAGCTCTGGAGGGGCGCATGGGCCCTCTGGAGCTGCAGCTCTGGTATCCTCGAACGATTAGTCTCCTGGATCGGCAGGGCTTTCTCACGCTTTTGCCAGGGATGCCCTTCATGGCAAATCATTTGGAATTGTCAGCTGGAATACGTGACGTCACGCGTGCTGACGAAGCGTTCGATGTGCGGCTGACGAAAAAGTTTTTCCTTTACCTTTTTTCCTTTACATTTCAACTGCTTCAGACCACACACTAACTCTGGCTAACCACTGGCCATAACATACTACGTAAAAGTAATGTTTGGAAGTGTGGCTGCTGCTCCAGTTTAACCACCATCTTTCTCATTCATAAGCTGAGTGCTTTTTCCCCCTCCCATTGCATTCAAATTGATTTCCTTCTCATCTTAAGTATTCACTCAAAATTTCCTTTTGTGCAAAGGGTCTATCGATCCTTCACTGCTACTTATGCTGCCACGAAGCCCATCCTTCCATTTAACTCCCTCCTGTACTGACAAAGCCCATGTTCTAGACGCGAGGCATTTTTCCTGTTCTAGATTTTTTACGATTGCTCTAACGCCATTCATTTATTGGGGAACGCAACCATAAACCACACTTATCACCGTCAGTCATACGCTCCAGGTGGTTTGATGCCCAGCCGGTTTTCTGGTTAAAGCGTTGGTACAAGACTCATCATATATTTTCAGCGTAACAAGAACTGATAACAAGCAATGGGAGCGTGCCGGCAAGAAAGCGGCAAAACATACCACCGATAAACATGTATAATAAAACCGACACCTAAACAGTGGCACTCACACCCAATGGCCGTCGCCGTTCTTCAGCAATCCCATGACATTCCGGCTTCCCCGGGATGAAATATTGAAGTTCTCGCATGACTGTAGCACAGTCTTGTCGTCAGACACAGCGTCGAGGTCTCGCCGGTCCCGACGAAAGGGTGAAATGCTGAAAACAGTACGTCTTCAATACTGCCGGAGAAGTGGTTGGAAGCGATTAGACAAGGCAAGCTGGCTTAATGCTGGCGGATCGATAGGCCCATCTTTCCCCTGAGTACGGTGTGGAGTGGGTAATCGGTTATCAGGCGTGCCGTGACGCGGGCGCCATGCAGGGTTGCCGATTTCGTCGCCGACACCTGCCCCCGCGCCCGCCGTCGCCCGTCCCGACGTCTGCGGTCGCCTGGCGCGCGTCTGTGCCCCCCCCCCCCCCCCCCCCACGAGCAGCCAGACGCTGACCTTGAGCGTCGGCCCCGGGACGGACCGGCTCGGCGGCTCGCTGCACGTGGTCAGCTGGCGTCTGAGGAGAAGCGATTGGTCCGACCTTCGGCTGATGATGCGTCGGTCCGCTGAACCGGGCCGCGAGTCGAAGAATGAATGGCCTTTGCTTCGGTGGGGCATCTCACGAAGCTCTGATATTCCGCAGTACAGCAGAAGGTTCTAAGAGCCCGGGAAAACATTAACTTCTGTGATAGCTTTGCATAACATTTTTGCCTGCAGTGGAATTAGCATGCGTGCCCGAATAAATACGCGCGTTACCACTGATCTGCGCGCTAACACTGATAAATTATATTGCGTAGTAGATTTCTGTCACCTGTTAGAAACTATCAGGAATCGTGCTTCTAAGTTTGGAAGTGTGCAAGCGTGGGTGAGCACACACCAGTGCTAAGTGGAGTATTATCTAACGGGGGTCTGCTGTAAATCGTTCCAGTTTCACAATTTTGTCCTTAAAGCCCCCAAGCTGGCAAAATGACAATTTTGTCTCCAATCATATCCGGTAAATCGGCTATTTTTCACTCTCCCGTCATGCAGCGCAACAACACAGCATCACCAAGAAAGCCCGACTGAACGCCTTTCCCGTCACCATGGGAGAATCAAAACGCGGACCAGGTGTGATTTCAGGTCTGCGCTCCGCGATCAGGCTCTGTCTACGATCTGTCCGGTGTCGGACCATTCAGGACCGGGTAGTCCTTCAGGGAGACCGTGCAGTGGTCGCCCGGCCCGCAGGGCGCACCCTCCAGCTCCAGCAGCGTGATGACGTTGCTGCCCGGCTGGAGGAAGGGCGCCGGCACGTACAGCGTCAGCTGCGGCCCGGCGGCCGGCCAGTACCGGCCCAGGTTCTGCTCGTTGACGAACGCCACGCCCTTGCGCCACCCGTCCAGGTGGAGGAAGGTGTCGGCCGGCTTGCTGGGCGCGTTGAACTGGCCGCGATACAGCGCCGGCTGGTGTGGCTCGAGCGGCGTGGTCGGCGCCGCTGGCACCAGCTGCGTCAGCTGCTGCGGCACGGTGGTGACGTTCCAGTCATTCAGCTGGCGACCGCCCAGCGTCACCTCCTTCATCAGGCCCTTGCGGTCGTCGACATCGCCGTAGCAGAGGCGGCCGAGGCTCTCCACCAGCAGGGTGAGTCGGCTGCCGCGGTCGGCCATCACCGGCAGCTGGAGCACGCTGTCCTGGCGCGTCAGCACGCCCGCCAGCCGACCGTCCACCCAGACGTAGGCGCGGTCGCGCAGGCCCGGCACGTCCAGCACGGCCGGCGCGGTCGGCTTCCACGTCACAGCGGCAGAGTAGGCGACGAAGCCGTACGCCTGGTGCACGTCGCAGAACGGCACCACGGCCGAGTGCGAGACGCGCGTGACGTTCAGCTGGGACACGGCCTGCAGCAGGCCCGTCTGCCAGGTCATGGCGACGGCGCCGTACGCGACCACCGGCAGCGGATCGGGCACGGCCAGCGGCGTCATGTTGGTGTACGGGTAGATGAGTTCGCGCAGAGCCAGCAGCTTGTCGGTGGTGTTGCCATTCTCGGAGATGGGCGCGTCGAAGTCGTAGGACGTGGTGCACGGCTCGAACGTGTCGCCCATGTTGGCGCCGGCTGCGAAGCCAAAGGAAGTCCCACCGTGCATCATGTAGAAGTTGAAGCTAGCCCCGAGCGCCATCAATGCCTTCGTGGCGTTGACGACCTGTTGCGTGGACACGGTGTTGCGCGGGTAGCCCCAGTGGTTAATCCAGCCCGGGTAGAACTCGGAATTGACGCGCGGTCCGCCTATGGCGTTGTGGCGCCGCTGCGCCTCAAACGCCGCTTCCGCGTCGGCGTTGGTGTCGAAGTCGACCGTGGCGAACACGTCGGCTACCGGGCCGCACTTCAGGTAGTAGTCGGAGCCGCCGTCGGTCGTGAAGAGGACCACGTCGTCGCCCAGGTGCTTGCGCAGCAGATCCCGCAGCTGCGCCGTGTACACCGCGTCGCACGCCGGGTAACTGCCGTACTCGTTCTCCACCTGCAGCAGACATATCAGACGATTTTCAGGGACATCTAGAATCCTGTCTCGGTGGAATTTTGCGACATCGCGGGGATCGTCATAGAACAGGATTTGTCCGCAAGTTTTCGTCAACAGCCATAACATGGACGTAACTACACCCTAAATTTTGCCGTGTCCGTTGGTTTTGCAGTCACCAGCCGCCCGGAATCGACGTATCTAAGTACCGGACGGGGAAGTTACACGGAATATCTTGTCATTGTTACACATTCCGACTGCCTGGGAAAGCAGTGCACTGACAAGACTATTTACTTAAAACATTTTCCCAGTATCTTAATCACTTAGGAATTACTGTGTGGATCTAGTTGCTACAGTTTTCATGGTTTCTATTTTCCGTGTCCAAATTTGTTCAAGGAAGGAATTTGTCCATTTTGTATTTATCTCTATTTTATTTATATGTCCAGTTTATTTAAATGTCCATTAGTACTCAGTGATCGGGAACGCCATGGTGGGTGGCCATGGGCCTTTCATTGTAGTTATAATTTATGTTGATATTGTTGCTATCTATAGCTTCAGCTACCCAGAGTACGCCGATGGTATTGGAAGGCATGTCAATTTGTTATAACTTTGTACAATTGTCCGCTGACATTACGTTCAGTGAGAAATCTTTTGGCGGACCAGTGGGAGCAACAGACCAATATCGTGTGCCAAGATGTGTATGTGCTTAAGCGGATCCAAAGGAAAGGGCCGTAGGGTCGTGACCCCTCCCCCTTGAGCTGAAGGAACACCGGCCCCAAATCTTGGAGTTCACCAGAAATACGGATAACTGCGCATACAGAACGCATACAGAAAACTAGGCTAAAAAAATGAAGTGGAGCAAGCCCAGTGGGCCATTCTGGTACCAGATATTTTACTGATTAGAAAATTGGAATCTGAAAATAACGTGGCCGAAATCTGATGACTTTGTGTGGGGAGGTGGCGGTCATCAAGTTCCAGGGGCGTTGTACTAGAATTGATGACGTTGGGGGTAAAACAACACCCTGTGAGGAATAATGTTTACTCTTTTCCCCATGTTATGTGAATCTTTCACTATCATCTGATACTGTCTAACCACACATACTAGGCACATGCCTTCCTTTCAGCTGTTCTTCCGATGTCATCCGAGTCCTAGCCCACTTAAAGCCACCAAGCATAAAAAAGGCTTCACTGAATCTGAACATCTAAGCCTAAATGCTGCTTTGCCTACATCTGAGTGCCATGTGAATCACTGCGTATGAGTTACCAATGCAACATCCAAATCTTAACTTCTGTAACATGCTGGCTAATGGCTTCAACCTAGCTCGGAACAGAAAAAGTGAATCTTAGTGGAATGTTTGGTGATATTTGTTGATAACAAATGTGAGCGACTGAGATGCACCATGCTGGGCAAGAGATCCGGAGTTGGCTCATGCGATGCTGCATGTACGCGCACCGCACACCAGCAACGCTTTATAATGATGGAAAGATGACCATGACGGCACAAAGAGAACAGTGGCGGATCTAGCCTGGAGTTGTTTTTTTTTTTTTGGGTGGGGGCAACCGTTCGTCGCCAGCTGTCTGGTGTGGGATCCGAGGTCCAGTGCATGGTGCCTCCCGCGAGTACCTAGTAGGGACACCATTCAAAACCGAAAAAAGCACCGAAATGCTTTTGAATATTTAACAGAAGTTAAAACAAAACAGTTAAAACAGTCAAAGTCAAAACAGACGGTAGGCACACGAAACTTTTATGAAGTTCTGGGAATGTTGGGGGGGGGGAGGGCCAAAACATACTCTCAGAGGTTTTGGGGTGGCCATGGCCCCGTGGCCCCCCTCCTCCGCACGATCCGCCTATGAAAGAGAAGCGAGACATTTTACCCATACGCCAAACAAAAGTGCCTGACAGGAGCACAAGAGACGCAAATCGCGCGTCCTGACCCTGGACGCCTGCCTACGCATGCCCAGAGCAAGGGCACTAGGAACCTTCAGGCCCGAGAGCCCCAGAGACTCCAGCCGCTCGCATTCATCGATCCTGTTTTTTTTTACAAGGTGCACCATCATCTACGGCATTGCACGACAAAGCGACATGCGTCTTACATCCTCATCCCTCTGTTTTTGATGGAATTAGGATAACAGGATTGTCATCAGCGTTGATGTCGCCTGCGAAATTGGTAGATCTCTCAGTGGCACCGTTTCGGAGTCATAGACTTCGGCAAATTCGAGTTGCGTGGCTTCAAGGCTACCTTCGGTGACCTGTTTTTACGTCCTTGAAAGACAACTTGGCAAACCTAAACGTTAAAAGGATCAGAAAGCTGTCCAGAATATTGTTATGCTATTCTTGAAAGCGTCATGGCACAACAAAAAAAAAAAATAGCGACAATGGTCAGGGTACTATGAATTTTTGCCACAAAAAACATTGCTCGTATATCCTACTGATCTATTCCTCATTTATCTGTGAAAAAGCGTAGTTTTTTTAACCCAACATAGAACAGTTCACAAGGTGGTTCTCCTCTTGGAAAGATCCGGTTCATGCACCGAGGAATCATACGTAACGCACGAAGACTGGGCGTGCGGCGCGGCGCCGCGGCCGGCTGCCTCCCCCCCCCCCCCCCCCATGTGGCCTGTCGGGACCGGGCTAAATGGACCGGGAGGGGACGGGGAGGTGAGTGCGTACTGCGAGGGTGGCGCGTCTTTGTTTGCGAGGGATGATTCAGAAGTCAAACAAAGACCCAGTGATGGGGTCAGTGCCTCGGGTCAGTGCCCGGTGTACGGTTGAATCCCGTAGCAGTATTGGCAGTGTGTCTTGCGACAATGGAACGCTCAAACTACGTCAGTTGTGCCGATTCATTCGGGAATCAAAACGAGAGAGTGTCCAGGATTAGCAAATAAAAACGTAAGCGCTTCTGTGTTGCAACTGTCGCAAGAAACTTACTTAAGACCCTGGAAGCTTTCCTAGGGGCAATAACGCGGTTCCTCTCGCGGAACCGAAGTGCGAGTTACCTAGCTCCCAGTCCCAGGGACAAAATTCAACGAGCACTACCTCAACTCAGATGAAGCTGGAGATAATGTTCAGGTCGTTTTGGATTGTCTTGAACAAACCTTGTATTTAAAGTTAAAAATTATTTTTAATTTTTTAGAAAACTGCATGTTCGCCGTTCACGACGACGTTTCATTGAAAATTCAACGAAATTTCAACGAAAGCCGTTTCATTGGGACGCGCCGCAATTCACGCTGCATCCTTTCCTGGTACATTGACGAGAGGCTGAGAAGTTAGAATTAACGACTGCGCATGAAAGAATATTGCACACAAGAGTTAATGCGCTATCAGACGCGCTGAAACAGCATTACTGTGGCCCATACATTTCTACAGTACCTTTTACCGAAAAAAGCTTGATTTCAGACATGGAAAAAGTGCACTGCTTCTCAGAAAAATATCCTGTGCAGTGCACGGCACAGCTGATCAGCTAAAAAAATGAACCCGTCCTTGCATACAAGGACAGGTTCAATTTTTTGAACCGGTTTGCTTTGATAAGGAGGAATCTGGTGTGACGTGCGAGTGACATTCTTTTCCACATCCCAACAGAAGAACTCTTGCGACGGAGTTGGGGACATTAAAAACGGGTTGCTGCCAGTGCCAGCCTGTCGCGCCTCCATTCTGACCAAATTCATTACGCTAAGAAGCTATGCCAGTTCGTGCAGGGTAAAGCTAATGTGCAGATGGTAGGCTTCCTCGTACTAAAAGGAGAAGTCCTTCGAGCGGAGGATGCGTTTAGTATCAAACTGGCTACGGCCAAGACTGTCAGGGGGTCACTGACGGCTCACAGAGCACCCCCAGTGAATGTTCAGACGGCTCACAGAGCACCCCCAGTGAGTGTTCAGATGGCTCACAGAGCACCCCCAGTGATTGTTCAGACGGCTCACAGAGCACCCCCAGTGAGTGTTCAGACGGCCCACAGAGCACCCCCAGTGAGTGTTCAAACTGTCACTGTACGTGAGTTAGCGTCAAACATTGGGAGGGAAGTAGCGGTCCCTTGCTTTTAATGGTTTTGATGAGCTGGAATGAGTAAGACTCAGTCACTGGCGCACTGGGTCGACTTCCACTTGCATGCGAACTATGTGTTGTTAAGCTGATAGTTGTCTCACAATGCCATCATTTCCCTTTCAATACAAAATCAATGTACTTCACTGTGTTTCTGTTGTTTTGTTCCGTGCTTTAAAAAGACCATGGACAACCCGTGGAGCCTTTCGCCTGATTTCCGGCAGCAGAAGATGGCAAAATGAGGGGCCCGGCCTCACCCACATCCTCCCGAGATTAATCCTACATCCTCCCGAGATTGATTGATTGTATAGTCTAAGTACAGAGTACTGCGGTCCCAGGCCAGGAGACGCCTCCATCAGGACTCAGCGCTGCCGTCAGTGATGCTGATTATTGTCGTCTGCCACCACTCGGTCGTGTTCCTCTCACGCTAACAGGGGGAGCAGCCAAGCCATGCCCTCTCCGCAAGATGATCAATATTTGTGTAATAAAATAACACATTTCCGGACTTTGAAGGAAATATGATTATTTTTACTTGGGGAAGTTATATCAGATGCTGAGTGAGACAAAGGCTTGTCGGCAACTGTACCTGAGCGTGCACGTGTTTCTAGCAAAAAGCCCCGATTGACATGAGTACTTAACTTAAAAAAAAACAAAAAACAAAAACAGTATGTGTTTCAAAAAAGCTCTACCATTCACTAGCTCTGATTCAAAAATATATTTACCCATTACCTATCCACTGAATTATTTCTACTGCAAGTGCTTATAAGCGACAATAGTGTAAAAGGTATACTTGTTAGCAAACGTATACATGGTAAAACGTATACTTATTATCAAGCACACCCAAGTGGGCAATGCTGCAATTAAAAGTTCGTGGGCCCAGGGTCGCAGCCACGGGCTTGGTAAGGACGGAAAGGGGGGGGGGGGGGAGGAGAGCACTGGGTTGACAAACGAGCCTCACAACAAATCA